GGTGTTGGATCCCTGGACCTGGAGTTACAGATACTTATGAGCTGTCATGTGGGTGCTGGCAACTGGACTAGGGTCTTCTGGAAGAGCGGCCAGTGTTTTTAACCGCTGAGTCATATCTCTCTAGCCTATGTTTCCTCATTTCTAAGAAAGGTATAATAGGAGTGCTTATATCTCAAATGTTCATTTTTGGTGAAAACAAACTAACAAACTTAAATTTGAGAACAGTGCCTGACACAGAAGCACCATCCATGAAAATTCCTTTATTTCATGAATCGTTTGTCTCTTAGAGTTATCTGACGGGATAATAAGAAGGCCTACACAAAGAGGGTTACAAAAGACTGCAGAAGTTAAACAAAAACAGGGAATTTATTACAGATAAAAATGTATCGTTGATATGTCTAACAAACTCAAAAATGGTACATGGTACATCCTGTGCTCTGAAGTTATTTGATGATTATTTTTCACCTGTCAAATACTCAGAATAAGAGCACATGAAATAAATCAGTTAAGAAGAGGATGCATTTCAAACACTAATGTTAAGGAGAATGTTGATAAAACAACTGATGGTATTGGCATAAAACAGTCAATGGAACTGAATCAAAGACCCAGATGTAAATCCATACACCTATAGACAGCTGATTTTTGATAAAGAAGACAGGAATATAAAATAGAAAAAGAAAAGAATCTTCAACAAATGGTGGCTGGTCAAACTGAATGTTGTGTGTGGAAGAATGTGAATAGATCTGTATCTAACTCCCTGCACAGAACTCATGTCTAAATGGATCAAAGACCTCAACATAAATCCAGATAAACTGAACCTGATAGATGAAAAAATGAGGAACAGCCTTGAACACATGGGCACAGGAGACAACTTCCTGAACAGAACACCAATAGCACAGACATTAAGACTGACAATTAACAAATGGGACCTCATAAAACTGAAAGCTTCTATACGGCAAAGAACACTATCAACAGGACAAGATGGCAGCCAACAGAATGGGAAAGATCTTCACCAACCCTGACAGAGCACTGATCTCCAAAACACATAAAGAACTCAAGAAACTAGACTTAAAAAAATCCCGCAAATAATTCAGTTAAAAATGGGGTACATATCTAAATAGAATTGTCAACAGAAGAATCTCAGATGGCTGAGAGACCCTTAAAAAAATGTCCAACATCTTTAGCCATTAGGGAAATGCAAATCAAAATAACTCTGAGATTCTATCTTACATCTGTGAGAAAGGCTAATATTAAAAGCACAAGCAACAGCTCATGCTGGAGAGTATGTGGAGCAGGGGGAGCACTCCTCTATTTCTGGCGGGAGCACAAACTTGTTCAGCTACTTTGGAAATCAGTATGGCAATTTCTCAGAAAAGTGGGAATTGATCCCCTCAAAACCCAGCTATACCACTCCTGGGCATGTACCCAAAGGAGGCTGAATCACACCACGAGGACACTTGCTCACCTATGTTCATAGCAACTTTATTCATAATAGACAGAACCTAGAAACAACCTAGCTGCCCCTCAACTGAAGAATGGATAAGGAAAATGTGGTATATTTACACAGTGGATTATTACTCAGCTTTTCGAAACAACAATTTCATGAAATTTGCAGGCAAATGGATGAAACTAGAAAAAATCATCCTGAGTGGGGTAACCCAGATTCAGGAAGACAAACATGGTATGTACTCACTCATAGCTATAAAGTAAAGGATAATTGTGCTACAATCCACAGACCCAGAGAGTCTAAGCAACAAGGAGGGTTCAATCGGGGTACACATAGATCTCCCTGAGAAGGGGAAAGCGAACAAATTTCTTGGGTGGACTGGGGATGGGTGTGGATGGGAACAGGAAGGATTAGGTGGGGGGAGAGAGTACTGGGAGATGAGTGGAATTGGGGAGCATTTCAGGGGTGAGGCAATGGAAACTCCCAGGAATCCATGAGGGTGAGCCTGGCCAAGCCTCCTAGTAATGGGGGTACAGAACCTGTACCAATCGTTTTATGTAACCAGACTGGTATCTAGCATAACGGTCTTCAGAGAGAATTCTTCCAGCAATTGATGGGAGCAGATGCAGAGACACACAGTCATCATTAGGTGGAGCTCATGGAATCCTGCAGAAGAGGGCCAGGAAGAATGGTAGGATGCAGAGGGTTTAGGATTCTGTAAGGAAATAGCCCACAGAACCAACTAAGTAGAGCCCATACAGGCTCACAGAGCCTGAACTGACAGTCACAGATCCTGTAGTGGTCTGACCTAGGTCCTCTGCATATATGCTATGGTTGTGTAGCTTGGGGTTCCTGTGGTACTATTGACAGAGGAATCGAGGGCTGTCTCTGACTCTTACGTCTGTCTTCGGGGCCCTTTTCCTCCTACTGGGTTGCCTTGTCCAGCCTTAATATAAAGGAATGTGCCTAGTTTTATTGTAACTTCATCTGCCATGTTTGGTTGCTATCCCTAGGAGGCCTGTCCTTTTATGAAGAGAAAGGAGGGGGAGCAGATCTGGGGGAGAAGGGCTGTGGAGGGATCACAGGGAGAAATTGCAGCTGGAACTAATATATGAGAGAAAGGAAAGAGAGGATGTATTTCAAGCACTGGTCTTATGGAGAGTGCTGCAGGACTCTTGGACTCAGCACCCGACACCAACGAGAGTGGAAGAGAGGAGGGGTCACCAGTGACAGGAGCCAGGACAGCCCCTGAACGTCCTTAGTCCACGCCAGTCTAGTTTGCACTCTCATTTAGCCTCTAAAGCCACAAAGTGGGGCAGACAAGCAACCGAGATGTTACAGGCTCTGCAGTCAACTGGTCGTTAGGGGCAACAACCCATCGCATTAGCTCCTTCTTCAGTTCACTCTGCTCCCAGGAGTAAGTGAAGTCATGTTTGGCAAACAGGTTGCACTAGCAGTGCTTTAAGCAAACCACTAAACAATCAACAAATCAGTGGATAATAACTGGTCTTTTCTACCTTATTCTATTTTAAGACAAGAGAAAGGCACAAGGAAGAAGCGAGATGAGGGAAGTGCATGCCTTGGCCATCACTAGTGAGTCACAGGGAGAGAAGAGAATCCCGAGATGAATGGCAAGCAGCAAGCAACTGGCAGGTGCTCACAATTAGCCTCTTAACAACGTCTAACTTAGAAACATCATTCAGGGCTAGCCTCTTAACAACGTCTAACTTAGAAACATCATTCAGGGCTAGCCTCTTAACAACGTCTAACTTAGAAACATCATTCAGGGCTAGCCTCTTAATAACATCTAACTTAGAAACATCATTCAGGGCTAGCCTCTTAATAACATCTAACTTAGAAACATCATTCAGAATTTTCTTGTTAATGTCCCTACAAAGGTACAGAAAACCAAGAAACTTTGTTTCTCTTCATAACAGTTCATCCATTTATTTATGAGTGGCTCACTATTTATCTACTCAGCACACCAGGCCCTATCTTAGCTGTAGGAGAGACAGCAGAAGGCTGATTTGCTCGTCAGAGCTCTCCTACAGCTGGGCAAAGGCTGGTGCGTCGGATGGCAACCCAGGAGCAAGGAAGCAAAGCAGGTCTGGAGACAGTGAGGGTAAGCGGCTCAGGGGCAGGGATCTGTGCTGTTTCATATCTCGCAGTCAGAACGGCTCTCTGACAAGGTGAGATTTTAACAGATACCCGAGGACAGGCTAAGGAGTCTGTGTATGTCTGCAGACAAATCTCTGATATTTTCTGTGGATCAGAATGTATCAAATCTGTGAGTAAGGGACCGGATTGGTTCAGTCAATGCCCAAGCCCCCGAAAGGGCTGTCTGGAGCAAAGAAGGGTGTGTTATACAAGATGCTGGGAAAGGGAAGAGGCCATGTTGATCTCCCAAGTCCAGTGAAAGTACCTGGGCTTGTGCTTGGGTGACACAGGAAATTACTAGGAAAACCGAGCAGAGGGTTGACACAGATGAAGGCTAACAGTGCATAGTAAACTCATAACCTGTCAGACACGAGGGAGAAGACAGCTGCGACACCATGGCAAGAGTCTGGACGAGAGATCGCGGTCTATTATTGCTGGAGTAGAAGTCTTTATAAATTGAGGTTCAGAATAAAACTAATAGACAGGCATTGTTGCATACACATACCTTTTCTTCCCAACAACACTCAGGAACTAGAAGCATGTGGACTTCAAAAATCAAAAACACAAGAACAACAACAAAACAAAAAACAAACCAAAACCAAGAATAAAACTGGTGTCAATTACGTATACTACATATTTTATTTCAGGGTTTTACCTATGCATCCTTGGCTGGTCTAGCCCTTGCTACTTAGACCATGCTGGCCACAAACTGACAGAGACCCGCCTCTCTCTACCATACCTCCCTCCCATAAGTACTTTAAATATCCATGTTTTTGTACCTCATAAAACTGCGTTTTCCAATCTTACCTATTTAACATTGATCTCCTTAAAAACCCTTGAGCTTAAATTGCTTTTTAAAAATCACTTTGATAAGCCAGCAAGATGGCTTAGTTAGTGAAGGTATTGGTCTAGTAGGCCTGACAGCATGAGTTTCATTCCTGGGACCCACAAGTGGAAGAGACTCAGCTTCCACAAACTGTTCTGACTTCCACACGTGTACTGCAGCACATGGCTCCACACATATCCACAGGCTCTCATGAAATAAATAAACATGGTAAAACAATTAAAGAAAGTTCTTAAGCTTAAAACCCATATTTCATATTGACTTGTCCGGCAAATTTGTCACCCAATTCCATTTTAAGCCACGTCTCACCTCTTTTGGCAGTATAAGCAAAGGTTAAAAAGGTAGATTTCTTGGGGTGGAGAGGTATCTCGGTGGTTAAGAGCACTGGTTGCTCTTCTGGAGGGCCTAGTTTGATCCCTAGCACCCACATGGTGGCTCAAAACTCTGTAACTGTAGTTCTGGGGCATCTGACACCCCTTTGTGGCCTCTAAGGTGCTTGTGCACTACAAGCATGCATGTAGTAAAGTATTTTAGAGAGTAACTTGCCAAGAATAGTTGGACAATAATCAGCTTTAATAGTATAAAGAATTCCCAGGCATAGAAGACATCAGTGTTCTGTTAGTACTAGGCAATGATAAAATGACTGCATACTATACAGACCAGTGAAGATGAATAAACTACAAATATTCTGTACATTTCATCATAAAGTAGTTTTTAGGAAAAAAACGTTTCTTCAAAGTCTCATTAAGAAACTGTGAATTCAAACTTTTAAGTAAAAGCTACCGCAGAATATTAAGTCTGAACAGACTACAGATAGTAACGTAGGTGCAAGATAAATAAATCAGTAACGTACAGAGGCTTTTCCTATTTGAGTCTATGCAAGTGCTTAGGCCCCAGAATGAAGATGGGCCCTGGATTGAACTAAGGTCAGCCTCATACTCTTCCCATGTAACTGATTTCTGGAACATGATGCTGAGACAGTTGAGCCACCAAGAAAAGGACCGAGGAGAGGTCTAAGACTAAATCATCATTTATAAATGAACCTCCTAATTAAAAGTAAATCTCTGAAGCTTCTTGGTCAAAATATATGTTTATTTATTCATCAGTGGTGAGGTGGAACATGCTACCTCATGGGCCCAATTTGATAGCTAATCATTCCTGGAATTCCTTTAAATTCTTCCATCACTGAGAAATTACATTTTTAAAAAGCTAAATTAAATATAAGGAACACGAACCTTCAGGATTAACTGAGTTTTGTTGGTCATAATGAATGTTAAATAAAGCAAAAGAGAGCTTAGGGCTATTAACCCTGGTATAATTGGTAATCATTTCCCCCTACTCTACAAAAATGAGCTGATTTAGATAGCAAACTAGATGGACATTGTTTCAAACAAAACCAAGTCTTGCTCATACAGTGTTAGAACCACTTTCTTTTAAATAATACTGATGGGGGATGTCCTTATGTATATGTTTCTCTTATTAGTCGATGAATAAACCACTGATTGGCCGCTAGCCAGGCAGGAAGTACTGTCGAAGCTCTGAGATGAGAATTCTGGGGAGAGGAGGCAGAGAGAGGCCGCCAAGAAGAGACTCCATGTAGAGACTGGGAAGATATGATTTGCCAGGATTTCTCTGGTAAGATAAAGCCATGTAGAAATACATAGATTAGTAGTTATGAATTAATAGTTGAGAGAGAATTAGTAAGAAACCCTAGCCATCAGCCAACAGGTTATATTTTCTGGGGGCTAATCAGCTGTGGGACCAGGCTGGAAAGAAACTCCAGTTACACAATACAAGTAGTCTATTTCCACCTCAGTTCACTTTCAAACATAATCTATGATTACAAGACATTTACCAGGTTTCTAATTCTTTAATAATATCGACAGATACACATCTGTGTACATTTACTGTCCATTTGATGAAGGTAGGCAGGTTTCCAAGAAATGGGGACACATTTGTTTTGAGAAAATTCATGCCAGTTTTTACTCTAGCAGCAAACAGCAAAGGCCTATTACTTTTTTTCTTTTTCTTTTTTTTTGGGGGTGGTGGTGGTGGATGGTTTTCAAGACAGGGGTTCTCTGTATTGTTTTGGAGGCTGCTGGAACTCTCTCTGTAGATCAGGCTGGCCTCGAACTCACAGAGATCCACCTGCTTCTGCCTCCCGCAGGCTGGGATTAAAGGTGTGTGCCACCAACGCCCAGCAGGAAAGGGCTATTTCTAACAGAAGATTTTCCACTTCTTCTTAGTCTTTGTAAACTGTGTATCTGAAAGAATATGTTTATTCTTGCTTAAATAGTTTTTTGTTTGTTTTTAAGACAGGGTCTCATTATGTGCCTGACTGGCCAGGAATTCACTGTGTAGACCAGGCTGGCCTCGGAGTCACAGTGATCCATTTACTTCAGCCTCACATAAACACACACATCTTGGCTGCTTGTACATCTTCTGCCGTGAAGTGTCTTTTGGGGCAACTGTTAGTAAGACCTCTCTCTCTGTCTCCTTACCAGGTCTGTAAGAGCTTTATGGATACTCAGCTTTCATTATTTATAAAAATATGACTAACTTAAGGAACTATCATGGTGTTGTCACAGCACGGTTCACATCTTACTAATGGCTGACTTCTGATGACCAGGACATTTAGTGATTTACTGAAAGGCCTATGCACAAACACTTCCCTGCATTCTCTCCCTCTACCTCAAGATCATATATAGCCACGGCATTTCCTGTTTCGATGAGAAGAATCTCTTATATGTCACACCGTAAACTGTGCTAACCTCAGCACTGTTAATTTAATTTTTACTTGAGAATTGGACAGAAAATTGTTTTGACTTTATTCCTTTTACTATTTCTGAACAGGCCTAACAAACACAGAATTCTGTTAGCATTCTTGCAGTGAAATATAACTTGGAAGCTATCTACAATCAAAGATTTCATGGGTGATAAAAATAAAGGTATATGTAAACCTTTAGCTTAAAGGACAAATTACAGAGAAAAACCTACAGCTGTTGGGAACTTTAATCATTTCAGAACAGGGATGGATTTAAAGATATTTCTGGAAAATTCTTATTTAATAGTACCATAAACCATGGAGTGATAGTCAGATGCCTTGCTTGGTGGGTAAATGAAAATCCCCCATCTCAGGTAGCTTTAATCGATAAAAATATCATAAAATTCCCGATGACAATATATTTGATATTTACCTAAAACATTTAATGCCATCTGTGGATACACTATGATATATGCAAATCTGAAAATTACCCTGAACTGTTACAATGTGTGAGGTGGAAGTGATACTCTACTGTGTATGTTGGCTTTTTGCCACTGTGACAAATACGTGAGGAAAAACCGTAAGGAGGTAAGACTTCCTTCAGCGATGGTTACAGAGTCCGGGGCTGGTGTGCTCCTTTTCTGTGGTCTGTGGTCAGATGTAACATGGCAGCCAGAGCACACAGCGGAACAGAAGGAAGGATGGCCGGAAGGGCCTGGCATAGCGTAGCTCTCAAAGGCACTTCCTGCAATGACCTCGCCTTCCAGGCAGCCCACATCCTAGATTCCAGCACCTCCTGAGAGAGCACCATTGGATAGGGCCACACCTTCAGTACTTAAGTATGTGAGGTACATTTCATATTCAAACTGTAACAGGTTCCTCAACAATGCAGTGTCCATTAAAAAACAAAGTAAATAAAAAATTAAACAACCCAGTTAATAAATGAACTAATAAGATGAAAAGATAGTTCTCAAAAGATGCAATGTAAGTTGCCAACAAACATATGAAAGGATGTTCAACTTAACTGGCCATCAGAGAAATGCAAATCAAAACTACATTGAGATTCCATGTCACTCCAGTTAGGACGGCAGCCCTCAAGAAAACAAGCGGCACTATTGGGGACACAGACAAAGCAGCAGAAGGGACATGTGTCATTGCTGGTGGGAATGTAAGCAAGGCCAGCCACTGCAGAAGTCAGTATGGGGTTTCTCAAGAACACTAGAAACAGATCTTCCATATGACCCCACTGTACAACTTGTAGGGTAACTGAAAACAAATAAAAATGTGAGGAATGAAATGTGTAATGTGGGGAAATGTAAAGCAATGTTTAATCAAGAAGCATGGGGACTTGCATGTTAATCAGCTGATGCAGAGACAGTATGTAGGAAGAGAACAGCCCGCAGTGCACGACTCCTCAAAGGTAACGCACCATAACACCATTACTATTGAGAGAACCAGCGAGAAAGAATCAGCCCAACATCTACTCCCTTCCAGTGCCTTCTGCATACCTCAGTACTGTACCTTGGGAAAGCAGACAATGCTACAAAGTAAGCAGAGATGCCTTACTTTGGGAATATAAGTTTTACATGAGGTAGATTAAGGGAGGAAATTGTAGAGAAATTCCAAATCACATACATACTCAACAAAACGGAATGAAGGTAAGAAAAGGAAGAGTAGGGTATATGACAAAGAAATGCTCAGGAAAGCTTTAAAAACACAATGAGAGGAAGTAACAGGGACCTGGGCATGGAGTGAGAAAGTGGCCGAGACCTAGCTACATGTGGTCGTTGCTCTGCAGTGAAGGGAAACCAAGTGACGAGCGAGCAAGCAGAGGCAGATTCTAAGGGCTGGAAAGATGTTCAAGCACACAACAACAACTGGAACGAGGAAGGAGAGAGATCTGCCTTAGATCACTGCTGAGGAGAGAGCTCTGCCTTAGATCACCGCTGAGGAGAGAGCTCTGCTTTAGATCACTGCTGAGGAGAGAGCTCTGCTTTAGATCACTGCTGAGGAGAGAGCTCTGCTTTAGATGACTGCTGAGGAGAGAGATCTGCCTCAGATCACTGCTGAGGAGAGAGCTCTGCTTTAGATCACTGCTGAGGAGAGAGATCTGCCTTAGATGACTGCTGAGGAGAGAGATCTGCCTTAGATGACTGCTGAGGAGAGAGATCTGTTTTAGATGACTGCTGAGGAGAGAGCTCTGCTTTAGATGACTGCTGAGGAGAGAGATCTGCCTTAGATGACTGCTGAGGAGAGAGATCTGCTTTAGATGACTGCTGAGGAGAGAGCTCTGCCTTAGATGACTGCTGAGGAGAGAGCTCTGCCTTAGATGACTGCTGAGGAGAGAGCTCTGCTTTAGATCACTGCTGAGGAGAGAGCTCTGCCTTAGATGACTGCTGAGGAGAGAGCTCTGCTTTAGATCACTGCTGAGGAGAGAGCTCTGCCTTAGATGACTGCTGAGGAGAGAGCTCTGCTTTAGATCACTGCTGAGGACATTCACATAAATAAATAGAAGGGCCTGGTAGCAGAAGGAAGAAAATAAGAACTCGTATTGCTTTGATTTTTAAGGTATGTGTTTCACATTTTTCCATTTCCAAAGTAGAGAAACAAGTTACCTTTCACCAACATGTACAAGTCAATGGCAATTTTTGTAATTCATGATGCCAAAGAACAGAATTATCGTTTTGAACAGTGATGAATTTAAATTACTCTGCTAAATTAAAAATCAATAGTTTTACATTATTTCCTCTGAGTTTGAGGATGTCCCGAGTCTATGATCTTCAATACAAGCAGCTTACTACTGCAGCCCAAATGCTACTACTATGGACCTCTGCCTATCCCTGCAGACATTATGAAGCAGGCAATAAAGTAAACAGTGTACATGTAGGAAACGTGTTGGGGGGGGATGTTCACACTGTTAGACAGGGAATGGCAATGGCCCCAGCTGGAACTGTTTCGGGAGGACTAGCAGGTGTGGCTTTCTTGGGGGAGGTGTGTCACTGGAGGCAGGCTTTGAGGTTTCCAAAGACTCATGTGATCCCTAGTGCTCTTTCTTTGCCTCAAGGTTGTGGTTCCAGATGTAAGGTCTCAGCTGTTCCTGCCACCATACTATGCTTCTGCTCCACCATCACAGACTCTCACCCTCTGAAAACATAAGCCAATTAAACTCTTTCTTTTAATACTAGCCTTGGCCATGGTTCTTTGTCTCAGCAGTAAATAAAGTAACTAATATACCCCACAAAAAGTGAGTAGAAGATTCTATAATGTAGATACTTGTATTTTAGGGGGGTGGTGGTAGGAAGTTGAATGTTGTATATAAACAAGTGAAATAAGTTTACGCACCCAAAAATCTTATGTGTCTTATTTTATAATCATATCCTGATTGTGACTCTTTTGAAGAGAAAATGACTAAAGGAAACTGAGGAACATTACCCCTGCTTTTCAGAGCACATATCTCAGTGAGAGTGAGTGAGCTGCTCAATTTTGTGGGATTCCGAGTACTTTGTTTGTTTTTCTCCAGCATTACAAATAAATATTTCTACAAACACAGTACTTACCAAGCATTGTAGGGTAAATATCCACAAGAGAAACAAGATTTGGTACTTGTACGTTGACCTTAATTCCTGGTCCCATCATCAAGAGTGGAACATGGGCACTTGCTTCATACATACTCATTTTATAAAACTGGCGGTGCTCCATGGCCATCTCTCCGTGGTCTGCCGTGTATATAACAATAGTTTTCTGAAGAAGATCTAACTCACGAAGGGTCAAAATAATTTCACCTACCGTAAAAGTCAAGAGAGTTCTTTGGGTTAGCTTTAGTTGGTGTTTTAGTTTGCCACACTGAGTTTAAACCAGAGTTTGTTGCAATTCCTCTTACCATCTAAGTAAAACCTAATGCTCTCACATGCTTTCTCCTCAGCTGGCAGACTAGAGAGAGGAAGGGAGGCAGTATCTACAGGATCACCTCTTCAGCTTCTGTCTGAGAATATGTGAGGTCAGAGGGGCATCTTCCTCTCAGTGTCTCAAATGGGCACAGACAGATGAGTCCAGATGTCATGCTGGACATAACTCAGATGTTAATGAAGATTGCTACCACTACTGACCCACACTTTCTGCACAGTAAGAGGGGTTATGAGCAATCTGAACTTCCAGGCTGTCTCTTCTTCTAGGTCCTTATGCAGCTGCCATTGTATCCTCCTAAAGCAGGCTTAGTTATAGATATCCCACCTTAAAGAAGGATGAGCCATGAGCACATGGCGTTACTTGGGAATAATTAACAGTAATGTTCTGAGAGGCTTTGTCTCTTTGACTTGATAGCTGCTTCCCATTGGAATTATGAGAATCACAAGAAAGCATAGTGCAGAGAAAGGAGAAACTCTATTTTGCTAGATCTTGAATTTGAGGTATAAGGGTCTATATTAAATACATGTATTTGTAGGTCCAGTCAGAGTTGAGGTCCAATGCTCTACAGAATTAAGAACTCATGATCTTTTAACTGGACAAAAGGAATTGATTACTACATTTTTTCTTCTCTACTCCTCTTTCCCCTCAATAGTATTCCTTGCACACTCTGATGGATGCCTTATTTCTACAAGATCTGATAACCTAGTCTTGTCATATGTCTAATTAAAACTTCAGATAATATTAGGCATGTTCAGGGTGGTATGGCCTTAGACTAAAACGTTCTTCAACTTCCTATATCTAACTCTTTAGGAGGACACACAAGTTCCTCCTCTATTCTCCATACTTAGCTCCCTCAACTATCTGGTAAAGCCTTACCTTCCAGCATTCCTAGACTACAAAGTGTGCCCTGAAAGCTCACAGACCCCAGTCTGACAGCTGGGGAACCAGCATAGGACTGAACTAGGACCCCTGAACGTGGGGGGTTGATGGTCTGTGGTCTCTCGACTTTTTGGCCTTATCAAAAATCCCGGTACTGGATGACCATGTGTGTCTCAGACTCAGGGAACCCTGGCCCCTGATTTGTGCTTGAGGGACCACAACAATCAGTCTGCCTTTCATATCCGATCCTCCCTTAGTCTCTGGGACGTTGGAGAGTATAGGCTTTGGATCTTCTACGACCATATTAAACCATGTGCCCGCTTACTGGCACCTCACACTCTACCAGTGATCCACAGTTGAGAGTGTGGCCTCTGCTCATTTTCACTTGTCTGTTTCCCTCCTCTTCCCGAATTCTAAATCTCTCCACCTGCCACAGTGGTGTCCCGCAGCTTCTGGTCATGGCTAAGCCTGTCTCAGGGCGGGAGCCTCCTTCCACCTGGGAATGTCCTGTTTCGCTAGAACTCTTATGTTCCTGTTCAAAATGTCTCTCACCCTCCTGTTTGTCCTATCTCTGCTGCCCTTCTACCGTGTTTTGAAAGGGGTAAACTAAGCTCAATGACTTCACTTCTAATAATTTAGAAATAAAGGGACCAGACCCTCACTCAGCCCCCTGCTTTAGCAGCCACGGCAGGCTACAGAAAAGGCCTCTGACACAAGGAAACTCCAGATCCTCTGGCCTCCCAGAGCCTAGGGCCAAAACTGAACACAAAGAAACTCCAGATCCCACCCCCCAGCCTTCTAGACACTTGATTCCTGGGAACTGTTTGGTCACAGAAGAAACTCCAGGGGGGACCAAAACCTCTCCTCCAGTCTCCAGGTTATAGTTCTGAAAACTATCGGTATCTATCTACAACAGGCCACCTGCAAGTAACAAGACAATGTCATAGAAACCACAGAATGTCCCCTCTCAGCACTCACCATTGAAAATAATTGGCACACAGGTATTTCATGCCAAAACAGGACTTTGAAAAATTCTCCTGATTGTTCCCAAATGTCAACCAATCAGAAACCAACCCGTACCTACTGATGTCATCCTGTAACTTTTGTCTTTAACTAGCAGTAGACAGGGACCTTCACTCCCTCTGGAGGCTGTGAGACAGCTAGTCAGACGGGATTCCTGCCATGAGTGGATGAACAATTAAAACCTTGCTTTTGCAGTCTGGTGGGTCTGTCTTCCTGGTGGTCTCTGGGGACTGTGTGACTTGGGCACAACAGTTTCTTCTCCGTGCAGACGCCAGGAGCTCACAGTGAGCTGACCTGGGGCAGCATCTGCTTGGCACGCTCTCAGAGTTTTTTATTTTTCTTTTTTTCCCCACAAATGAGGTTTTCGGGCTTTGTCCTGACTGATGCAGTCATTCCTCAGACCCACAGGGAATCTCTCAGGTTTTGTACCCCAGCACTGTCCATAGAATGATGCATCCATTCCTCAGACCTACAGTGGTTTTTTTGGATGTTGTGACCCCTGGACTTTGGTGTCCTGTGGTTTCACACATCTTTCTGCCTCACTCATGGAGAAAAAAATCCAACAAAATCGTATCTCAAAACTTTCTAACTCCTGCGAGCAGACAGGAGCATGCTTATGGAAGCAGCCATCTTGACCACGTGGCCCAGCTGTAGGCCCGCCTACTCCATGGGTCACTCCCTTTCCTTGGCCTATGCAGAGGGGACAGTCTAGCCCGCTCCTGCTGACATTTTGCCTTTTATTTTTGCCTCTAATTTCTTCTTTCATTGGCTCTGTTGCGTATGGCTCAGACAACTATGCACACAAAAGCCTTGCCTGTTCCATCTGCAGCCGTTCTGTCTGCTGTCTCTTTAAATCTCCTTCTGTTTGCTACAATGTGCAAATCAGAGATTACATGCTGGTTCTCCCTTTTTACTTTTATCCAGTCCTGTTTTATATATCTGCTTGCCTCTGTACATGTGATTTAAATTTAACTTATATATAAATGCAAGCTAACTCTATGCAACTTAAATTCAACTTAAATTCAAAATTGTTATATATCTTTAAATGGTGGCAAACATTTAAGGTTATAAAGGTCTATTTCAAATTAACAAATATTTATGCCACCCAGTCCTTCCTTTCAGCTGTTTACAAAGGCTAAGCGTCTATTACAAAAGGGGATTTTTCTCTACTTCTTTGTCCGTTAGAGGTGTCAATTTAATCTATTAAGATAAGACCAGCTACAGTCAGGCTAGAGGGCTCTGAAAAAAACATCCCTCCACAGCCTCTCAGCTTCAACCCAGTTCTCCAAACAGATCCTGCAACTAATCTGTATCCATACAAATTAATTACAGGAATAAAGCCTTACCTAGTCACCTATGTGCTTAAGGCAAGTAATGAAAGACAAATTTTGTATGCTGAGATATACTAAAAAGATAGACAGTCCTCGAATGTTCAGAGATCCAGAGAATATGACATTTAAAATGTTTTATTAAAAAGCTTTTTATAACTGAGAGACAGGCCAGCTGCTGGCCCCACCCCATTTCCTTCAAGAAGACTGGTGGGCACTGAAGAAACTCCACCCACAAGAGTGGTAGCGCTAGCCACTGAGCAATCCTGCTTTTAACCTCAACTGCTGCAAAGGACTCTTCGGACTGTGGACAAGAGGACAATGGAATCGACTTTCTCCATGTTGCTTGGGCCAACAGTAGGCAAGTCTTCCTAAAGTTCCTAATCCACAGGTTCCACACTATCAGCAGAAGGCAGTTGTCCTTAAAGCCCCCGCCCTCCACAGTTATGGAGTACTTTGGAAGTGGCTGTACATGCAGTCAGCTAGCAAGTCTCTCTCATTCTCTAATAATTAACTCAGGCAAAATCTTATCCTTTTCAAGAACTCTGATGCTTTTGACGACTGGAAGCTTTGCCAGCTTAAAGCAACAGCCAAAGCTCCAACTGTCACAAAACAGATTTCAGGAACAGGTATTTTAAGGTTTATCTATGTGAAGAAGGTAATGTAAGGTGTATGAATTAAAGTTATGAAGTCTGGGGATAAACAGGCTTCAGTGATGACAAATAAAGTGAGCTGAGTCATTCAAAAGAATGAAACATGCTCCAGACCTCTCTCTTTCATTATGCTGCTGTTCATAGTCTTCACATTAATCAGTGAAGTTTTAGTAAACTACTAGTCCAACTCTGATAGAGTCCTAAACACTATACCACTATAAGATAACTACAAGGTCAAAATTAAGGTACTTTTTATTATGCCAAAAATATCTGTCAATTTAAAACATGTTAATGCTTTCAGCCAAGTCGCTTTTAACATGAATATGCTGCTAATGTGTCTAATACTTATGCTTTCACAAACTCAAAGGATTCCTGTAAGTTCCAGGGAGCCGAACTGGACCCACCCAAACAGGTCAGATTCACTCCAGATATTATTAAACCTTCTCGGGTCCTGGGACTCCTTTCCCTCATCTTGGGACCCCTCAGAAGCTCCTCCCTCATTTTATAATCCTCCCCTCAGTACCAGGATCTATGAAAACAATGCGTTTCTAAATTAACCTTGTCCTCTACTCTGCTCACATCTCGCCAGGTCTACAGAGGCACCAGAATTCCAAGTAGCCAGGACTGCAATGGAACAACCAGCCAGCCCAGGACCTGGCAGCACCCCAGCTTTCTCAGGGCCCCCAGATAAGTAGGAAGCACTCTTGAGAACTCCACATCCTTATTCTCTAACTTTCCAAGCCTAACACCCCACCTTTTAATAATAAATAAAGGTAGGAATCTAAGGACTCAGGCACTCTGCTGGCCAGCCCCTGTCACCTGGCAGAATGCACTCAGGCAGTACCTTGGTCAGGCCAGGGTTCCATGAGTACAGTCTGCACGCAGGTGCAAAGGACCCCTCTAAAAGACAGACCCTGCCCACTTACACTCTCTTACTCTCTTTGCTCTCCTTTCTTGCTCTGTCGCCCTTTAATAAACTCCATGGCTAATGTGTCTCTTGGTTCATGTTCCACCGCACACCTGGAAAATTTAAGCGAAAGAACAACAGGTGGGGGGCATGGGAGGAGGGGAGGGAGAGGGAAATGAGATTGGTATGTAAAATAAGATTGTTTCTAATTTAAATAAAAATTTATAAAAAAGTGTACCCTGAAGAGTCGATTAGTTTATACCTTTTCTGGTACCTCTGTGCTGAATGTCCATTTTCTTACCCTTCCTTGTAACATGAGTCAACTCAAGCATTAGCTGGGGAAGCCTTCCCTGCTCTCCCCACACACTGAATCACTCTGTTCCCCGAGCTCCCTCTGGTTTCTTCACAGACGCACTAATGCATTGTAAACCTGGTGTTTATCTATACGTATGTGTGTCTATGAGCATGCGTGAGCCATAGTACTGGGGTGGAGGCCGAGGGCAACTCTGGGAGTTGGTTCTTTCCTCCTTCTAAGCTTGATGACAAGCATTTTACCGACCTCTTTGTGAAGTCCACATCTATGCTCTGTGATATAACTTTCTTTGCTCTTCTTTCTTAATGTTCATGCATGGAAGAGTATGTGTTATTATATGTATGTAAAGTAAAAATTATAAAGAGTATTTTGAAATATATTGTCCATTTCTCTCTCTAAAGAATTAAACACCAATTTAAGACATTACAACTATTTCTCCACCTCAGGGCCTTCGTATTTTCTGCTTCATCTAGCTGGAACATCCTTGTTTTTGATTTACATTGCTGGCCTGACCTCACAACAGCTCTCAGGAGCGTCTCCCAGACATCTGTTAGTTTCCCAGTCTTACCTGTCCCTCCACAGTTCACGTCACTTCCCTACAACATCTGCTCCCAGCCAGGCTCAGCATCTGCTCACTCTTTTTTCACGCTGAAGACACTGGGAGAGCTGTGCTGTTCCACTGCTGCAGCACAGAGCACACAGTGTTCCACATTAGAAAATGTACTTGCAAACCTTCGAAAGCCACTGGGGAATGCAGATGAGTAAACGTTTCCAGTGTCAGGAAATACCAATGAAATATGGCCCAATGGTCATATGCTACATCAAAACTAACTGTCATAGTTATGGCTAAAGAAAAGCTTAGCATATCGTTATGAGGGAGAACTTGGAGCCATGTGTGGTGGTGTGCACTAATCCAGTGCTTGTGAGACAGCAGCAGAAAAATCAGGAACTCAAGGCCAGCCTAAGCTACATAGTGGGTTCAAGGTTACTCTCAAGCACACACACACACACACACACACACACACACACACACACTGAAAACTTGAAAGTCCTTGCTATTTTTCATATATACATTGATTATATAAATAATGTGCCTGCATGGCTTCCTTTTTTCTTCCTCTGTATTCTATTTACTCAGTGAACACCTCTAATAACAAACACTGTTTGTCCTCAAAGTCTTTCTGTATACAGAAAGAAGTGCTGCCCACACTTCACCAATGCAGTTATGTTCTACCCCCAAAATGTAGCAAAGTAAGTGACACTATGTTGTGAAAACAACTTGTCATCAAAACAGCTGCTGATTTTTAAAAACAAGGTTTCCTAATGTAGGAAGTGGAAACAGCATTAATGTGACCAGAGAGAACTCTTTGACAACCATCTCATGGAAGTAGGCTTGTCTGAGCTGACTCTGAGCCTGAATGTCAGGAAACCCAATGATTGCAACAGAGGAAATGGATCTGAGCTGGGGGTAAGCCTTACTCTAAAGGGTCTAGGGAGAATGAATCTGCTACAAGTGTGGAAACACTATAAGTGCTAACAAACGAGTCCCTCTCTTAAAAAAATATTAGAGACATTAAAATGAGACTGGTACATGTACAGTAAAACCATTAAAATGGCAGTAAATATTGGGGTGTTAATTATTTACACTGAAGATATTTTCTACACAGAGAATGTTTACCTTAGAGCTAGAAAATTATAGAAATAATTTCATCTACAACTTTTATCAACAAGTGACTTTTTCTATCATTACATAAAAATATTACTTGATAACCTGTGATACTAAGCATATGTAAGAAATTAACATCTGCTCGGAGAAAAGTTAGTTTAATTCCTCTATCCATCGAACACCTGATGACCATTCTCCTGGGATTCCAAAGAAGGTGTTTGCAAATCACCAAACTGATTCCTCTACATCAGTGTTTGGAATGTGAAACTCGTCCTGTCTTGGAAGCAAAGCTGCCTCACAATTATGTGCTTGTCACATGCTCCCATGTTTAGCCAAGTACAGACATGTTGAAGGCCACTAGTGCTTTGTTTCAAACAGAAAACTGCTTACTATGACTTTTTATGTATGAACAAATCTGAGAACTTATGAATAACTAAAATAGAAAGGGCCCTTTATTCTGTTGTTAATGTATTTTTGTGAGCTAAGAGCCTCAAAGTTCTAAGTCTGAGGGACCTAAGAAATATCTGAGATGCTTCTGCAAGCCTCAACCAGCACAGTCACAATTTGTTGGGAAATCGTACCTTTTTCCCTGTAATTGTTTACTAATTATACCACCTACCTAGCATGGCATCTGTTTCAGCACACATAGCATAATAAAACGCTCTAATATTCTTAATTTCCTCTTCAGTAAATTTCCCTGTGCAGTTTTTTGTATAGGAAGAGTAATAGTCCACAGGGTGCATTTCTGACAAAGCCAGCCACTTTGGGATTTTGATGGCATCATAAGCTACCTGAAAAGGAAGAAGAAAAAGCTTTACACGAGCAAAGTCACAATATACCTTTCTCCCAACAGGTATCTGTGGCAAACCTCACAATGTTTCATACACAGGATGGTTGAAAAGAACAGCAATGAAGTATGCCAATTCTCCAAGCAAGAGTAACCCTCATTTACACTATCTGGAGAAGGAGTGTTTCAGATTTTGATAAGCTTTCTTCGAAAGGTCATAAAGAGAACAGATTTGTCTCCCAAGGATAACTCCATGAGACACTTCACAAGAGTGGATAATGAAAGAAGACTCAACAAAGATGGACACTCAGTAAAGAGATGAAAAGTGCTATGACTGGAGTGAATTCAAATTACACATATAGGACATAATCCATGAAAGGCTAGTCTTGGGATGCTCATAGTGCAGCTCTCTCAAAGAATTCAGAATCACAGTCAGAGGACTGGACATCAATCATCACAAGGAAGACCAGTTTGAAGAAAAGGATTGAGAGTCACATAGAGAAACTGGTAAAAATGTTCACATTGAAGGAACTTTTACAGATATGTTTATATTGGAAGCCAAAGAGTAAAAATGTAGAGAGTTGATCCAAATAAAGAGAGAAATAGACAATCTGCAAAGTCAAGAGAAGATGCTTGTTGAACAGGGGAAGACGGGCACTGCTCACACTGCACAGGGGAAGACGGTCACGGCTCACACTGCGCAGGGGAAGACAGGCACTGCACAGGGGAAGACAGGCACTGCACAGGGGAAGACGGGCACTGCTCACACTGCACAGGGGAAGACGGTCACGGCTCACACTGCACAGGGGAAGACGGGCACTGCACAGGGGAAGACGGGCACTGCACAGGGGAAGGCGGGCACTGCTCACACTGCACAGGGGAAGACGAGCACTGCTCACACTGCACAGGGGAAGACAGGCACTGCACAGGGGAAGGCGGGCACTGCTCACACTGCACAGGGGAAGGCGGGCACTGCTCACACTGCACAGGGGAAGACGGGCACTGCTCACACTGCACAGGGGAAGACAGGCACTGCACAGGGGAAGGCGGGCACTGCTCACACTGCACAGGGGAAGACGGTCACGGCTCACACTGCACAGGGGAAGATGGGCACTGCACAGGGGAAGACGGGCACTGCTCACACTGCACAGGGGAAGACGGGCACTGCTCACACTGCACAGGGGAAGATGGGCACTGCACAGGGGAAGACGGGCACTGCACAGGGGAAGGCGGGCACTGCTCACACTGCACAGGGGAAGACGGGCACTGCTCACACTGCACAGGGGAAGGCGGGCACTGCTCACACTGCACAGGGGAAGACGGGCACTGCTCACACTGCACAGGGAAAGGCGGGCACTGATCACACTGCACAGGGAAAGGCGGGCACTGCTCACACTGCACAGGGGAAGACGGGTACTGCTCACACTGCACAGGGGAAGACGGGTACTGCTCACACTGCACAGGGGAAGACGGGCACTGCACAGGGGAAGACGGGCACTGCTCACACTGCACAGGGGAAGATGGGCACTGCTCACACTGCACAGGGGAAGGCGGGCACTGCTCACACTGCACAGGGAAAGGCGGGCACTGCTCACACTGCACAGGGGAAGGCGGGCACTGCTCACACTGCACAGGGGAAGGCGGGCACTGCTCACACTGCACAGGGGAAGGCGGGCACTGCTTACACTGCACAGGGGAAGGCGGGCACTGCTCACACTGCACAGGGGAAGACGGGCACTGCTTACACTGCACAGGGGAAGGCGGGCACTGCTCACACCGCACAGGGGAAGATGGGCATGGCTCATACTGTACCTAGTACACTTTTTATTACACTGATCCCAAGCATTTCTAAATAATAGATTTTTCTATTTCTATCTTGACAAACCAAAGCATAATTTTATATAATTTGACAGATGTTTTAAAAATTTTTAGAAAAAAAGGGTATCTTCTTCCTTTTGACAATTAAGATTATTTTTCAGTTTTATTCTGCATCGTTATTTTTATTATCCTGAACTGGGGATGTGAAGCCTGCCCACACTCCAAAGATAATGTCTTTCAGCTCCTTTTTATAGACATATGTAAATTTATGTTAGTAAATTCTAATATTTTATTTCCAAAATATATCATCCTTTTAACAAAACCATTACTGTTTCAGTTTAAAAGTATAAATTTCCAATTTTTCCATAAAAATGATAAAAGTGAAAAACTGAGCCAACACCAGGTGTCATTGCATGTGATATCAATGTCGACTTTTGAGCACACACAGAATCCTTACCTTTTCAAGCCAATACAGAGATGTGCGAAATGTAGAAGCACCAAAGTTTTCTCCTGAAGAAGGTGAAGGGTAAGGGTGTGGCAAATTCAACCCCAAGTAAAGGACGAATGGTTTGGTGTCGTTAGCGGCTTCCTGTCTCAGCCAGCCGATCGCTCTGTCTGTGTTCTGCCAGTCCTTTTCCATAACTCTCCTTCTGTCCTTATCAGGGATGAGATTAACCACAGGCCTGCCTTCTTGTCTGAGTAAGAATGCAACGTCTCTTGTCCACGCTTCCACACGGTTACTGAGGGTGTCAGAACACAGCCATATCAGAGAACACTCACGCAGGGTTAGAAACTGCCTAAACAAAGCTGGAAAGCAACAGGAGAAACTTATTTAAAAACTGTGGAAAACAACTGATTATTAATTTGTGTTAAGATTATTACAGATTGCTTAGATTAGTTAATTTTTCTTAGAGAAAGATATTCAGTTGTGCTGGCTTGTTTTATGTCAACTTGACGTAAGCTAGAGTTATCTGAAAGGAGGGAACCTCAATTAAGAAATTGCTTCAGCTTTCAGGCACTTTCTTAATTACTGATTGATGGGGGAGAGCCAAGCCCATTGTGGGTGGTGCCAGCCCTGGGCTGCCGGTCCTGGGTTCTATAAGAAAGCAGGTTGAGCAAGCCATGGGGAGCAAGTCAGTAAGAAGCACCTCTCCATGCCTCTGCCTCAGCTCCTGCCTCCAGGTTTCTGCCCTGCAGGGAGTTCCTGTTCTGACCTCCTTCAGTGATATCAGAACAGTGCTGTGGAAGCGTGAGCCAAATAAACTCCTTTCTTCCAGAGCTGCTTTGGTCATGATGCTTTATCACACTGATAGTAACCCTAAGAAAGACAGTACTTACAGTATTTCATATTCCTAGTGTTTTTCCCATTGCATTTTCTAGCATTTTAGTATCTTTCTCTCAGAAGAGACCATTTCTAACCAAAGTCACTATAATTTCTTTGCATCACTATAAAGCTTCTACCCCCATTTGTACTTCTTATGTTTCTAAATTCTATGTTTTAATATGCTCTGTTTTGGTCATGGTCTGAACTGTCATAATATTGATGCAACTTTTTTAGTCACTAGAGTCTAGGTATGTTTTTGTCTTTGCTGCCTGACTTACACATTAATGACCTAACTCAATTTTAGTCTTTATCACATACTGTTTGCTGTTTTCAAGAAATGTCCAGAGTTATGAAGCTGACACTGCTGTTTGCAGAGGACACTCAGCATCGCCGAGAAACATGTTTACAGTCTTTACTAGTATAAGTGCCTCTGAAGTGCTCTATCGGATTAGAAACATTTTTTAAGAATCCAGAGAACAACCCCAACAGAAAACAACGGCCTAGTTTTCTTTTACAAACATGGACACCTTTAAAATCTGACTTTATTATCACCCTTCACTAAACTGTGACTTTTTCCTTTCTAATACAGACAGGAAACTACCTAACATACCACCAACTAATTGCTGCATGAATTTGTCTGTGAGGTTTTCTGTGCCAGGTCTCCTGCTATAACAGCGGGTACAACTCATAGGTAACAAGGAATAACATATGTAGTAGCAAGTGCATCCGAAGAAAAATCACACATTGCATCAACTATGAGAAACGAGCTTTTTTTGAATGTGAAGCAGCAGCGTAGCAAAACTGCAGCTTTCTGGGTCTCCCACGAAACCTGCCAGTCTAACTTCTACAGCTCTGCTGGTCCTCTCCACACTGTTTTTGATGGAACTGGAGAAGCAATGATTCTTTTGTATAGGCAAATGATAGTTCTAAAATTTCCCTTCCAAATTTCTGAACCATGTAATAAATTTTATGTTAAAAAAGGAATCCACCATTCCCTATTGAATGCTCTTTTGTTATTATGAATAAACTTCAGATTTGTTCTTACTTTCATATTTTATATCAGAGACTAAATCTTACCCTGATCAGCAATTATGAAAATTCTGGCAAGAAATGTGAGTTGGACTTACGATCCTTTGCGGGGTCATGGTTGGGAGTGATGCAGTTAAACAAAACCCAAGGCTCAGAGTAGATCCGAAAACCAAGTCATGAGCCAGGTGACTAAGGATCAAAGTGCCATTGATGCCTGCCCCTGGGGCCACTAAACCTGTACTGGATTCAAAATTGTTTCCTAGTTCCATTGAGAGAAGTGTGTAATAGGCCTTGGCTGAAGACTGATAATCCAATCCCTAATCAATGTATGCAAGTCCTTATATTACAGTCATGCTCCTGATACCCTGAGAAACCCCCAATCTTGTGAATTCATTTTATGGAAACATTTCATGGCATTCCAGAAGTAAGAATATTGTCTTAGTTACTTCCCCATTACTGTGATAGAACACCATGGCCAAGGTAACTTCTATAGACTGTATCTGGGGTTTACAGTTCCAGGGTTATGACCAGCATGGCAGGGTCATGGTAGCAGGCAGACAGGCACGGTGCCAGAGCAGCAGCTGAGACATCACTCCTCAGTTCAGAAGCAGGAGCCTAAAGTCTACCTTCAGTGACATACCTTCTCCAAGGCCACACCTCTCGATCTTTCCCAAACAGTTCCACCAAAAGGGACCATGTTTTAAAACAAATGAGCCTATAGTGGCCATGCTCACTGAAACCACTACATTCCACTCCCTGGCCCCCACAGGCTTTCATATATCATAATGCAAAATTCACTTAGTCTAACTTTAAAAGTCCGCATAATCTATTGCAATCTCAACACTGTTGAAAAGGCCAAAGTTCAACGTCTCTTCTGAAATTTATGGCAATCTCTTAAGTGTAACATTCCATAAAATCACAATCAACTTACACACATTACCATTCTGAAAGAGAGGATGGGGACATACTGAGGAAATAATGAACCCAAGCTAGACCAGAACCAGCAGGACAAACTCTTATCCTGTAGCTCCTTGTGTGAAGTCAAAGGGCTTAGACGGTGCCACACTTCCAGCTTTGCTGACAGCATCACACTTCTCTTGGTTAGTCTGGTCCGCCTCCCTGTAAGCAGCTGTCCCTGGCAGACATCCCACGGCTCTGGTGTCTCCACCGCCACCACTGTCTAGGCTTCACTTTTACAGCTTCACCCACTCAATAGCCTCTCAGGTCCTTCATGCAGGAACTTCCCTTCCATACACCTGACCTGGCTGGTTTCCTTAATCTCCCAGGAAGGTTCTGTAACCCTTTCTTCCTGAATCCTTCAGGACTCTAAAACCTGAAGCATGTGGCCTGATGCTGCCAAGTTCCTGTGCTTGCTTGAGATGGACCTTGGCCCCTCCCTGAATTATATTGGTAGCTGCTTGAGGAGGAAATCCCTCTTCTTCTACAAGCTGCATGATTAGCTGGGTGGGGTCTGGCCCGAGCCACTCTCATTATTCCATTATTCCATTTGCCCCAGGCCTCTCAACGCTGAGTGTCCGCCTTGGCTCTATCATTAACTCTTACTCCTCTAACTGGGCATTTTGTGTTTCCTTTTGCCCTGTTCATTCTCCTTTTATGTAGACCTGCATAAAAGTGATAACAAATAATCATACCACAGAGGCAACATTAGGTTTCCTTGAAATGTCCTGGACCAAGAAAATCAATTCATTATTTTTCAGTTTACCTTCAGGCAAATTTTGAGGAAAGGGCAGGAAACAGCCATAGTTTTGCCAAAATATCACAAGAATGGTCTCTAGCCCAGTTTCTAATATTGCTCTCCTCTGAAACCTTGAGCTGGACTTGCATAATTCCACACTGCTCTCAGTACCACTGTCTTCCAAGCTCCTACTAGGATGTCCCACTAATCCCCACTTATAGCTTTCAAAGGCTTTCCTAATCCACGGTTCCCAAGTCTTCCACACTTCTTCCAAAAGCAGCATGACCACACCTGTCTCCACAATGCCTCCGGGCTCATTCCATGTCTGTCCTACTTACTTTTTGATTGCTATGATAAGACACCACAACCAAGGCAACTTAGAAAAGAGCATCTATTTGGACTTACAGTTTCAGGGGCTATGACCATCATGGCAGGGAGCCTCAGGGCAGCAGGCATGGTACTAGAGCAGTAGCTAAGGGCTCCCATGTCAGTCTACAAGCACGAGGCAGAGAGAAGTAACTGGGAATTGTGTGAGCTTCTGAAAGCTCACAGCCCACCCCCAATGACACACCTTCTCCAATTAGGCTACACCTCCCAACCTTTCCCACACAGTTCTACCAACTGGGGACCAAGTATTTAAATATAGGAGCCCGTGGGGGCAGCTCTCAGGAGAAATTTGTGCAATTCCATGCAATCGCAAAAGGCAGGGGTTGTAAGGCTTGTTGACTGGATTCCACATCATCCAATCTTTCCCACCGAAAGGATGTTTATTCTGTACCAGGCACCGCTACACGCTTACTTTCATTTACTCCTGTTATAGCATCTTCAATATTAAACCAGATAAGACTCAGCTGTTCAATGAGTGATTAGATTCCAACTTATACGGGGCCCACACTTAGAGAAGTAAGAGACTTGCCCAGGACAAGGATGTAGACAGGGTAACACTGCTCACACACTGTGCTGTCTGCACTCTCTCTCTGCTACATTCTCAAAGCAAAGCAGAACACAGGGAGACTCAGACCCAGAAGACCCACCTTGTCCCTGGTGAAAACCACATCAAGGACATTTTAGTAAGATTAGGTATGTGCTGCAGTAGAGCGTGGCATGAAATCAGACAGTACGCAGGCGTGGTCTCAGAAACCATGCAGCAGGTGTGGGATTCTAGTGAAATGAGAGAATAATAATGCACCCAAAGCACGTAAGTCATGTGACCGATTAGTGTATATTTAAAGATCACCACTGAGGATGAGATCACCCAGAGGCCATTTTGATAACTCAAGCAGGAATGACAGGAACCTGGTGGGGGCAGTAATCAAGTAAGATGGGGATGCTTTATATAGAACCAACAACGCGTGGTGATGAAAGACAGAGGGAGACTCGGGATGTTAGCATGACTTCTGAATTCGTAGTGTGGCTATATTTTATATCTTAAACACAGAAAAGGAGGGAACTTTAATATTAGAAAGAACAACAAAATAACTCAGATTATTCTAGTTTTAATACTCAGATAATTCTAGTGTTAATACTCAGATTATTCTAGTTTTAATACTCAGATAATTCCAGTGTTAATACTCAGACAATTCCAGTATTAATATTCAGATTATTCTAGTATTGGTTTAACTGCAAACTCACTGGACTACATCCTGAGGGCTTGCTTAATAAGTTACCACCGAATGAGTCACTTAAAGCAGCAGTGTGTGCGTCCACACCTCCAGAGACTAAGTCTGACTAGTGTGTCGGCAGAGCCATACTCCTCCTAAAGGCTCTGCGAGACTGTCGGCTGTCGTCCTGGTTTATGGTGACTCCAGGGATTCTGTCACATTCCTAACTTGTTCTGGTTTCACTCCAGTCCCTGCTTCTGACCTTAACTGTCCCATTATGCATCTGTGCCTTTCTCCTGCTAAACAACAGTGGAAGGTACTGCATTTTCATTTATCCTAAGTACAGAGTTTGTCTTCTTGAGATGCTTAACGGTTACATCTGTAACTGGGATCATTTCCAAATGAGTTAACGCTCTACAGACCCAGTGCTCATGACGTCTGGGTGGGACATTGTTCAGTTCATCACCCTGAGTGCTACTTTTATGACATTTGGTTTTCAGTTCTTTCACTTATCATCTCTCATCAATATTATTATTATTATTGTCACTCGCAACGATCACTTACTGAGCACAGGTGCTGCCTAGTCTTGTGTTTTTGTTGGGAGTCCCAGGTTTGCAGGAGGAACTGTAGGACTTGGGGTATGCTTTTACATCAAAGTGCACAAAGCAAAATCAGCACAAAGAGATACCCAACCAGACACAGGCTTCCGAGCAGAGAGCTAGGGTACCCAGATTCTCCCAGTTCGAAACTGTGACTAAGGGATGACACACTGTTGCGATTCAATACATGTGAAGTAGTATTTTCACTTAAGAGAACTTTTTACTGAAGGCTAATCATTTGGGCACCTTGGACCTACCCTATACCAAACTTCTTGTCTCTGAAGAAAGCTGATTGTTTACCATAAATCACACCAAACAAACACTTCGGGCCATGTTTACAGTTATAGAATGGTGGAAAACACCTTTGAAACCCAAGATCCCAGATACCAGCCAGGGCCAATCATTTGTGTAGGAAAATAGTGTTAAGGTAAGTTTCAGGTCTGCATGTCAGCACTTTACTGGATAATTATCTAGTTCAGTCATCACATTAATTAAAGTTAAGAGAGCTCAGGTGTGTTCAAGATTACACAACCACAAGTTTAGTAGTAATTACTGAAACAAGAATTCAAAATTAGGCAATCTGGTTCTACAACTTTACTCTCCAACACAATCTTAGCTGCTCATTTATGTTTGTGGTGGTGTGGGTAGAGCCCAGGGTCTTGTGCATATAAGCACATTCTCTAACACTGAGCCAAATCCCTACTAAGATATCTGCTTGTCTTTTGAAGGTTTACTAAAATGAAAGAAAAGTTATAGTAGTTTCAAGGTCTAGAAAACTATCAAAGGTAAATAGAAGTCTACTGTTACAAAGATTGTAAAATGAAAAAAGTGTTATATGACAGAAACTCACAAAGTAATTCACAGGCTAAATTATTTCACAAATATTAAAATTCACTAATTATAGATATTAATGTTTTAGACAAAAACCCATCAGGATATTAACAATTTTAATAGTTTCAGAAGATTAAAGAAAGTTAAGCTTTAGCCAAACTGGCACAACTGAGGGAATAAGAAAATGATTTTAAGCCTTGTGGTAAAGAGTACGTGAATGTGTGACTAGCGTTGGGTTAACTTCTCTGTTTTAATTTTTACCTAATGGAATGATGTCCTGAAGTATAGTCTAGTTTTCCAAATTTTTGAGTCTGATAGCCATGCTTTTCCATGACATCCATCCACGTTGTATAATTTGGAGCAAGACCCTTAAAATTATTCCAAGATTCTGTTAAGTGAGTGAAGAGGCCACTCCACATTGCTGAGGGAAAAAGAGAAATAAAAAAAAACTGATTAAGGCAAAGCTTAACAATTTAACTATAAACAGTTACTCTGAGAGTGTGGCTGGCTGTTTTACAGTCTGTGACCTGGAATAAGGAATGCCATCACTTGAGACAGTCTCCAGCTATTTCTCATTCTACTCATTTTATCAGAGGGAAAGCCCTACAAGCAGTTTGTATTTCTATTCTTCAGATGAACCCACCAAGGCCTAGAGATTAAGCTGATTAAGGTATTTGTTGTATTTATGGCTAGAATTAAACATAAAGCTTGCACATTTGGTGTTTTTCAGTCATAAAAGCTACCTGTATTTTTTCTAATCTTTTAAAGCATAAGTTAGTGGACTGACAGTTATAGACACTGTTTTCTGTAGAAGGGGACTTTTCTCCTTCTTTTCTGGTCCCACTGGACCAGTTTTCTCTCCACCCACCAAGTCCCTGTAGCTGCTTATGGAATAACCACTCTGAGGCTGAATATCAATTACTGTTGTTTGGCCAATGGCTTCTTACTAGCTAGCTCTCTCTTAAAATATTAACCCATCTCTATTAATCTGTGTATCACCATATGGCTGTAGCTTACTGGTGATGCCCTGGCATCTTGTTTCCCAGGTGGCTACATGGCATTTGACCTCACCCTCCTTCTCTCTCTATCCATGTTTGGAATACTGCCTAGGGATATTTTGCCTGGCCATTAGCTGAAACGGCTTTGTTCACCAACCAATAAAAGCAACATATATATGCAGCCTACATAAGGACATCCTACATCAGTTTCCCTTACATCTTCAAGGACTTTTCCATTCATTATCTTTCACCAGGTTTTTCTAAGAAAAAGAAAGAAACAAGAATGTTATGTGTTCTCTCAAATCTTAACAAACACTTCTCCTTTTCTCCTTTCTGTGTGCAAACACAGTAAGCTCATTCTTTCCCCTGTGTGCATATGCATGTCTAGGGTGTCTCCCTAAATAGTTTTTAAGGTAAGATCTCTGTCACTGAACCTGGAGTTTGCTGTATGGCTTGACTGGCTAGTCAGCAAGCCCCAGGGATCTTTCTGTCTGTTAGCGTTCCAGGCATGCACTGCCACACCCAATTTATCATTACCTTTTTAATACACAGTGCTGAGTATTCAAACTCCAGTCTCATGCCTGGCAGCAAGCACTTTATCAAGTGAGCCATCTTCCAAGCCCCTCTCTTCTTTTCTGATCTAAGAAAATACTCACTGAGAGGTGGGGTTTGAATCACAATAACAACAGTTCTGGTATGTCCTCTCACGTTATTTGACCATTTTGTTTTAGTTTTCTTCTGCAAACTGGGCTAATACCAATAACCATGCTCCTGGAAGTATGAGGATCATACACCAAAATATTAGAAGATATTTAGAATATCTCCAAATGCAGCAAGAATACACCAATCATTTTTATCACTGTCATTCCTTGTCAGAATATGTTTTTTGTTTTTTTTTTTTTGTTTTTTTTTTTTTTGGGGAAGACGCCTTAGTGAGACTTCCAGAGTTTGCTAACCCTTTCTCATTTGTTCTTGCACTTGACAACCGTGTTTACTGTGAGGGCACCCGTAGCATTCTGTAGATGAGGAAACTGGGCTACTTCCGTTAAAGGGCTCACTGAGGGTTAGAATCATCTTAACCCTAGCTGGGGCTCCTGGTCAACGCAGGATAGAAGTTAGCAAACATGATTTTACATATGATATGTCCTTTGTCATTGAAATATCAATTAGGATAATGTAGGGTTCCTTTAACCGTTGGTTACCAGATAGTGCTAATGTGTCTAAAATTTATCTTTTCACAAAGAATTCTTGTAAGTTACAGAGAGCCGAATTGGACGCACCCAAACAGGACAGATTCACTGCAGATAAATATTATTCACTCTTCCCCTGGTCCCAGGACTCCCTTCCTTCATCTTGGGACCCCTCGGGGATCCCACCCTTAAGATCCTCCTCCCCTCAAGTACCAGGACCTAAGAAAAATCTTTTTCTTAAACTTAACCTTGTTCTCTGCTCTGCCAACACCTTGCCAGTCTAAGAGGTGCCATAGAGTTCCATACATCCAGGACTGTGATACAGCAACCAGCTACCCCAGGACGTGGTAGCACCCCAGCATTCCCAGGTCCCCCAAAGATGGCTGACACCCCCCATGTCAGCAGGAAGTAGTCTTGAGAACTCATTGCCCTCATTCCCTAACCTGCCAGCCTAACTCCTCACCTTTTTAATAACAAGAAAAGGTGGGAATCTAAGGACTCAGGCACTCTGCTGGCCACCCCTGTCACCTGGCAGAATGCACTCAGGCAGTACTGTGGTCAGCCCAGGCTTCCATGGCTACTAGTCTGCAAGCTGGTGCAGAGGACCCCTTAAAAGAAAAACCACTGCCCACTTATGCTCTCTTTCCTGCTGTTCCCCTGGGGCAGAGAGGACTTTTCCTGTCTCCCTCTTCTCTTCAGTCCTCTCTGTCTCTGTGTCTCTTTACCTCTTTTCTCTTTCCTTCCCCCCTTCCCTTTCTAACAAAACTCACTTAAGCTCTGTCTGCCTGCTGTGTTTGTCCCCACTTAGGTCACCTTTGCCCGCCATGGAATCCGCCAAGGTTCCCCACATGCTTTATCCTAGAAAGTGAAGGTGGTTATAACTGAAACCATAGAGACCATCATCTCAGTGGCTCATAAACCAGACGTTGGTGTCATTTACAGGTTCCATGGCAGACAGGCAAAGGAAGACAACCTCAGACAAGACTCTTAAAACCAAACTTTCATTCTCTAAACTTATGGCTTATGATTCCTGCAATACTTGACATGGTATTTGTAAAATTGTTGCAATAAGGTGAGCGCTTAGATCTGTGATAGATGTAATTTGGGGCAGAAGAGAAAGAGATGAAATGCAGTCTGAAATCACTAGGGACACTTAAGACAAGCATGGATATGAGTTCTGTCTGGGAAGAGTATCCAAGATAGCTTGCTGACTCCTTCCTAAACCCTCACAGAAAGACTTCCTGCAGAACGCCATGAAGCATGGGTACCTACTCATCTGCTTCAACAGTCAAATGAAGAAATGAAATAGCAACACAGGACCTAGACAGTATCCCAGGAAAGAAAAAGCCCTTCTTCAGAAAAATGAGAAATTCAAATGACCCAACATTCACCCCTTAGGACACACGGCAGTTATACGGAGGCACATTTACTAGGCACTAGATGTGAGCTTACCAGAGCCTTTTGCATATGGCGTCTTAAATCTAGGTGTCCTTCTATGGCTCAGCCCATTCCCATCAACATCAGCACATTCATACCTGCACGGGATGGACAGCAGATGGGAGAGTTTGTGTAGGCGTTCAGGAAGGTGGTGCCACGTGCTCTCATGAAGTTGATAAAAGGAAGTCTTACTACCTGACTTCCTGGTTGAAGTGTTAGTCTTCCGTCCTGAAATAAAGAAATGCAACCACTGCTGATCACCTAGCATGTGGAGGACAGAGGGCAACCTTAGGCGTCCATCCCCACTCTTCTACTTTAACTTTTATTATGCAGACAGCAAGCTCAGGTCACCAGGCTTGTGCAACAATCCATTTTGCCACCTAAGCTCCCCTATTCCCAACCCAGTGCCTCTTCTTCCACATAACCACCACAGGCTAGAACAACAGCGGGGTGGCCATCATGTTCTTCTCATTGCCGTCTCCAGACTGCACGCGAAAGTGTCCTCGTTTATGATGCTGTTTCATAGCACTATTACCCATGCTTAAATCAATGTTGGGCTTCAAGAACCAAAGACAGGAAGCTACAAAATTCAGGTTGTTAAATCAAGAACAAGATCATGGAATGCTAAAATCCAAGGAAGTATTAGAAGAAAAATAAGGGGAGGAGGAGAAGGAGGCCGAAAAGAAGGATAAACTCATTTAATAACAAGTATTACTTATCATTGACACACATAAGAATAGATTTGTTTAGGGGCTAGAGAGGTTGCTTATCAGCTGGGAGCATTGGCTGTTCTTCTAGAGGACCTGGGTTTGGCTTCCAGCACACACATGATGGCTCTCACCTGTTTGTAATTCCATTCCAGGGCTTCTGACATCTTTGATTACGATACCCCCCAAACATTCTCCCTTTATTTTAAACACAAAATTTACTACCCCAAAGACTCCGATATGCTTGTATGAAATCTCAAAAAGAATAAAAAGCAAGCTCAGTGGTATGCCATAAGGGTCTAGTACACAAATAAAATTTGAAAGTGTTATGCTGAAATTCATTTGCATATATTAAGTTATAGTACTTCTTGGAAAGTACTTTTGGAGAATGAAAAAATGATTTAAAAATTATTTCAACAAACTTTAAGTACCTATGTGTTTATGTGTCAGGCACCTTGCAATATCTGAGTATACAATGGTGATATAAAATAGAGTTCTATTCCCAGGCACCCTTCGGGGAGAAGTGAAAAGAACATTAGCAAATTAACGGTGAATACTTATGATTTATGTGTGTAATCTGCACAAACATAGACTTTTTTCCTTTGAAACAGGGTCTCATGTATCCCGGGGGCCTTTGACTTGCTATGATGACCTTGAGCTTCTGATTCTCAGCCTCCACCTACTGAGTGCTGGGGTCAGAGGCATACACTACTGTGCCGTCATTATGTGCTGCTGGTACCCGAACCCAGGGCTTTGTGCATGCTTGGACAACCACTGTACTACGTGAACTACGTCCCAGCTGTGGCTATGAATTCTAACAAATTCTAATTGCTGCTTCTGAACCATTATCATTCTGGCCAAGGAGGATCAAAGGAGAAGTTTAGATTTCAAGCATTGTTCTAGTTTTATTCTGTTGTTGTGACAAACATAACCATAATCCAAAGCAATTTACGGGAAGAAAGATTTATTAGTTCCAGGTCACAGTCCACCACTGAGAAAAGTCAGAGCAGGAACTCAAGCAGGATACCAAGAGTTAGAAACCAAGAAGAAATACTTTTTGCTGGATTGGTTCCCAGCCAGCTCACTCACCATTTTATGGTTAGTTAGTGTTCTTTTTTTCCCACTGTTTTTTAAGGCATGCTTTGTTCAGCTTGCTCCTTTTCATTATAAATCTTCCTCAGAGTTAGCACTAATAACCACATGAAAGATTCTATACTAGCTTTTCTGGGATTTCCTCTGCCAATGGAATTAATCCAAAACTCTTCACTTTATCCTCTATGCCATATATTAATATTCTTCTCTTCTGCAACCCTTTGAGCTCATCACACCACACCAGCACCACTCTCTTCTATGCTCCCACCAGTATGGCCCATAAGCTGTGCCTAACGCATTCCACTGGTTTCCTAATCCAAGTACCAAATCCAAATTCCTCCAGACAAAAACATGGTCTGGCCCATTACAGCAATGGCCCAGTCCCTGGCACCAACTTCTGTCTTAGCTAAGGTTTTCTATTGCTGTGCAGAGACACATGACCATGGCAACTCTTACAAAGGAAAACATTCAATTGCTTACAGTTCAGAGGTTCAGTCTATTTTCATCATGGTGGGGAGTATGGAGTCATGTACGTTGATATGGTGCTGGCTTCATCTTGATCAGATGGCAATAGGAAGTGGACTGTCACACTGAGTGAAGCTTGAGCAAAAGAGACCTCAAAGGCTGCCCCCATGGTGACACATTCCTCTAACAAGGCCACACCCACTCCAACAAAGCCACACCTCCTAGTAGGGGCATTCCCTTTGGGGACCATTGTGTTTCAAACCATCACACCACTGAAGCTGCAACAGTGGGGAAGTGCAGTGTATTGGATGTGGGGGTCCACCAGGGACCCTTGTCCTTAAAGTCCAAGCAGAAGGGCTTCCTATCTTTTCTTAAGAACAAAACAAATTTTATCCAGATAGAAGTTACATACAACTTACTCATTTACAGTGTTCAGTTCAAAGGTTTTAGTATATTCAGAAAGTCATTTAGAACACCTTCATCATTCCCAATAAAACACTTAGCCATCACCTGGACTTACCCAAAACTGAGGCAACTACGAACTTACTTCCTGTCTCTACACAGGAAGTTCATATAAATGTACTCATATAAAATGTAATTCATCACCGCGAGTTGGTGGCGAATGTCTTTAATCCCAGCACTCGGGAGGCAGAAGCAGGCGGATCTCTGTGAGTTCAAGGCCAGCCTGGTCTACAGAGCGAGTTTCAGGACAACCTCCAAAACAATACAGAGAAACCCTGTCCACGAAAGAAGAATGTAATTCATCATTCCTTTTACTGACAGCATATAGTTTTTTAGGTTCAACCACTTTGTAATATGCATGTATTTACATCCCCAGCTGGGAGCAGAGCAGATACACTGAGGAAAGCAGCCAAGCTTACTGCAACCTGTGGTGGTCCTTGGCTCCCGAGCTCCAGACACTCAGTATTCTGTGACACCCTAGTGCCAGAACACCTGACCCATCCTTATCCGCTGAAAAGCCTACACACCTAACATTAATTTTTGCCAATGTGGGTGACTGGCACGTCATTCTGCAAAACGAATAAGCGTTTATGGAAGTGCATAATACATTTCCCTTCAAAACTGAGTTACGCCAGGACACAGGTTAAACATTTATTAACAATTAATTAAGGATGGCATAAACGCTTCAGGGGACCATGTCTGACATTAACAGTGCCGTGGGTGTGCGGTTCCTCTGGAGAGGCGGAGGCAGAAGGACCACCAGAGGCCAGGAGCTCGAGGCCTGCTTGCCACTGTGCGTGTCCCCGTGGACACACCAGGGTCGCGCTCCCCGCGAGGCTCTCCGCTCGCCCCCTCGGGGCACTTACGAAGGAGTCGCTGGCGATGATCACTACGTTGGGGGCCCGGGCCACTCGCATCTCGTGCTCTCGAGTTCCCGGGGTCGGCGCCGCGAGCGCGGACGCTGCGACCGCTGACACCCACAGCAGCAGCATCGCCGGCCGGCAGGGGCGTCCAGCCGGGGCCACCGAGCCCGCCTCCTCCGGACTGCAGGCCAGCAACGGGCACGGAAGCGACCCTGAACTGCCAATGTGGGTGGCACCGCCAAACTACAACTCCCATCGGGCTCAGGGCACGCGCACGCGCGACGCCGGGGGTGGGGTCCGCGCTCTCGCCTTTAAGCCACGTAAAGCCCGTGTTAATCAAACTCGGAGCTAATGAACGCTCAGCCCCTTCCGAGCGATGCCTGGGGGGAGTGCGCATGCGTCTTCCAGATTTGTACTTTGAGGTAAGCCCTGCGTGCTCCAGGTGGGTTCTGGTTGCTCCAGCAGAAGTTAAACTCCAGGGGCAGCCTAGGTGGTCAGGGGAGAGGGGGGCGGTGCGGGACAGCGTGGCTGGAAGCTCGCTGGCACGGAGCTGGGCGTGCTGAGGGGCCGTGCCCTGCCTAGGCTGGAGGGGCTGCGGCCTCGGGCCTCCCCAGCGCGGGCTGGGCACTGGCTTGGGTCGCCTGCGGCCCCGGAGCTCCCGTGCAGCTGCCCCCGGGCCGCCTCCTGCGGCCGGCAGCAGGGGTGGTGCTGGCGTAGGGAGAGGAGCAGAGCGTGCACCGTGAGTTTCGGGTCCCTGACGCGGAACGGTTTGGCTGCCCCTTGGCCTTCAGAGTCGCAGAGGCGTAGGGGTCGGGGGCTTGCGGGGCAGGAGAAAGAAAGAAAGCATCGGGTCTAGAAGGAAGAAGCATGGGCTGTTGTGCCACTGTTGGGTGCAGAGTAACGTGATTCCGTTTTCGATTGTTAGATTCCTTTAGAGAATTCCGGAAGAAGCAAGTTTCTGTGTCAGAGTCAAATTCTTCACTTAACTATAGCTTCCGGCATGTGTAATTGTACATTAAATCAGTTGTTTTGATTTTTTTCTGGCAGGAAAGGAGTTGTTCTGTTTATTTAAAAACTTAACTCTGATATCTTGGCAGTGTTTTGTACAGGATAATTACGAGGGAAATACCTTACATATCTAATGCATAGTGGTGTGTACTGAGCCCTCACTGTGTGTTTACTGTGTAGCATGCTTTCCTGTAGCCCTCACTCGGACTACTTTGCAAATGATAAAACAGATGGGAGAGGTTAAATGACTTTTCCAGGGTTTTGCAAGGAAACTATTCGAAGAAGAAATTGATTAGCCGGTGCCCTAACTCATAAATACTTTGTCTCCAGTTGCAAATTTTTATGAGTCTACCGAGTTCCATCTCTATTAGTAAACAATGCTGCTTGTCCAGCCTCACCCTATAGATATGTGTGGGTATGAATAAGCACACCCTTAGTCCCTGAGGAATATACACTCCTGGGGAGAAAGACCCAGCGTACATAAAGTATCCAAGTAGATTGCCTCAGAAGCAGGGCACACTCCCCCAAATTGTGTTAAGTTCATTTGGAATGTACAGCGTATTTTACAGAGGCAATGCCAACTGGCATTTACAGTTACAAAAATGATACATAGTTTTCTCTTCTGGCATAGTAGTGTTCAGGCCCTGGTCTTGATGACAGGAGCACATCTGTTTTTTCTTCTTTCTGTCCTTGCTGTGTCAGAGACAGCAGATGCTACAGTGTGTTGATGCAACATAGGTGTTTTAGGGACCCAGGGACAGAGTGCTACCAGAATCTAAGGGGCTTCTAGTCCTGCTTCTGTCTGATGTTCAGTGGGACCTAGAATGTTCCTGCCTGGTGGATTGTCCAGCTGTAATGTAGCATGAAGAATAAAAACCCAGAGATGATCGGAGAAGCAAAGCAGCCAAGCCACCAGAGAGCTCTTACCTCTACCAGTGCTGGGGAGATCGTGTCCTCAACGTGGCTGGAGACCAATTGTCAGAATCTGAGACCCTGCTCCTATCTTATGCACCTCCCTAGTGCTGGGATTAAAGGTGTGAGCTCTGATTCTCTTTTAGACTGAATCACTCTCATGTAGCCAAGGGTGAACTCACAGAGGTCCATCTGCCTCTGTCCTGAGTCCTGTGATTAAAAGGGTGTGCCCCTACTGCCCAGCTTCTATGGCTGTGGCTAGCTTTGCATTCTGATCCTTCAGGCAAGCTTTATTTAATCATAAATAATATGTCACCACACATATAGGTCTTCATCTTCCCTGATACTAACCTTCCTATGAGTAAGTTCCTTACACGTGTGTAGGTTCAAGTATTACAGTTCTGATTTTTTGTTTTGTTTTGTTTTTTATTTTTTGAGGCCGGGTTTCTCTGTAGCTTTGGAGCCTGTCCTGGAACTCATTCTGTAAACCAGGCTGGCCTTAAACTTACGAGGTCCACCTCCTGGCCAAACCTGTCTACTTTTCAGCACCCATTTATTCATTACTTTTTGATTTTGCGTGGATAAATGCCTGTCTTTGTACTTCGTCTCCATTAGTCGTCTTTTCAGTCTTTTCCCAGTTCTTCTGCTAGTTATCGTTTCACTTCAGGGCTCTTCGTTGTTTAATGACTGACTTTACTCAGCCAGTGAGCCAAGAAACTTCTACGTGTGCAAGTGTTTATGCAGTTAGGTAGCATTCAGGATAGGAGCTCTGGTTCATGGCTGGTATAACAAAATACCATAGCATAACTATATTTTCTCATAATTTTGGAGTTTGGAAGTCCAGAATCAAAGAGTTGTCAAGTTTGGTTTCTTTGAGGCTGTTGTCACTGTCTTGTCACCTCAGCATGTTTTCACCTGATCTGTCTTCTATGCATGTGCATCCGGGTATGTCTACATTTCTTTCAAGAGTGACAGATTGGATCAGGGGCTTTTTACATAGCCTCATTTGGCCTTTATTGCCTTTGTACTTGGCAAATACTGTTGTTTTCTGAAGCAGTGGGGCTGGTATTTTGATGTGTGAATTTTGGGGTGTTGTATGTCTTCCTGTGAAAACATGAAGAAACATCTGTGCACCCCAGCTAGGGCACCAGTGATAGATCAGAGTAACTCTGCTATAGTTCAGCATGCTGCCTTAAAGAGTTTTGGGGCTTACATACAGAACGTGGTTGAGGGCTTCCTTAGAGGAACATGAATGACTCAGGGTGATGACTGATAAAGTCTGTGTTCTTGAAGCTCCCTGTATAACCTGCTAATAGCTCAGCTACTTGGAGAGTATCCTGCCCCATGCTACTGCTCCTTTAACCTTGGGGGAAGAGTCTTGTCAATAATGTAAGTTTCAGGTGATTTCTGAGACTTGTGAGTTGTTTATTTGTTGAGCCTCAATAAGCTTTCTGAATCTTTTTTTTTTTTGGTTTTACGAGACAGGGTTTCTCTGTATTGTTTTTTGGAGGCTGTCGGTCCAGCCTGGCCTCGAACTCACAGAGATCCGCCTGCCTCTGCCTCCCGAGTGCTGGGATTAAAGGCGTGCGTCACCACCGCCTGGCTCAGATTTTTTTTAAAGATTTACTTTTTTTATTACATATACACTGTTCTGCCCGCATGTATCCCTGCACAACAGAAGAGGGCACCAGATCTCATTACAGATGGTTGTGAGCCACTATGTGGTTGCTGGGAATTGAACTCAGGACCTCTGGAAGAGCAGCCAATGCTCTTAACCTCTGAGCAATCTCTCCAGCCCCCTTTTTTTTTTTAAAGATTTATTTATTTATTATATATACACCAAATTGAATTGTAGATGGTTGTCAGCCACCATGTGGTTGCTGGGAATTGAACTCAGGACCTCTGGAAGAGCAGTCAGTGCTCTTAACCTCTGAGCCATCTCTCCAGCCCAAGCTTTCTGAATCTTAAACCTCCCTCCAGGATGGATTATTTTGATTTAGAAGAAATCACTATATAATGCAGGGGGATACAATTATCCCCACAACAGGCTCAGGTCTGTCTGTCTATCATTTTACATCAAAAGCTGATGATTTCCATGTTAGAGACAGGTTGCTTTAGTTAAAAATACTCTGCTTTTTAGATGTTAGAGAAGTCTTCAGTTGAACAGTCTGGGCCTACCTTATGGAATCTGCAGTTTTTTTTTTTTAAATTATGTATGCAGTGTTCTGTCCCTGCAGACCAGAAGAGGGTACCAGATCTCATTACAGATGCTTGTGAGCCACCCTGTGTTTGCTGAGAATGGAACTCAGGATCTCTGGAACCTCTGCAGGTCTTTTAATATCCAAAGTAACAACAGAATTTCCTAAAGGACTACCAGTCAGTTTTGGGAAACACATAGATGTACATACTTGTAAGTCCAATAAGCCTTGAAAAGGTATTAGAAAGTATTGGTAATGGTTGAATTAAACACACACACACACACACACACACACACACACACACACACACACACAAGCAGTAATGTCTCAAGTTATATTCTGGAGCATGCTAGTGTTTTCAAGAAGGCAGCTGGTTGCTGCAGTTGGCTGTGTTGTGGTCATTGGATTTCCTAGAGGGTTTAAATGGCAGTATACATCTAGAACAAAGAGTGAGATCTGCGTGGTAGACACAACTTTCCTGCACCATGGAGTAATGCCTTCAAGCATGAATATATACACACAACCTGTTGAGTCAGTTTATTGTTGTTCTTTTATATATGTTTTTAAGACTGACCACTTGGTACTGGATAACCAATCAGTGATCTCATTCCTCTCCCAGCAGTCATGAATTGCCTATAGCTCTTCAACTGTAGGCGGAGATTTTTGAGATTTCCACCATTCATGTTGGCATGTTAGCTAGTGTTGTCATTGCCCAGGTCTTGTTTAGGTAACCATATTGTTTTGAGCTTATGGGGGCAGCGTCCCTGTCACATATTGGGAACACATGTCTGCAGCAGATGTGCTGGTCCTCCAAGTCTTATAATTTGATATCCTCTGGGTGAGTGCTAGGTGTAGTGGTTGTGCTGTAGGCGTATCCAAGGGGTTGGGTGACCACAATAGGTGTAGACGTATCCAAGGGGTTGGGTGACTACAGTAGGTGTAGACGTATCCATGGGGTTGGGTGACCACAGTAGGTGTAGACGTATCCAAGGGGTTGGGTGACTACAGTAGGTGTAGACGTATCCAAGGGGTTGGGTGACCACAAAAGGTGTAGACGTATCCAAGGGGTTGGGTGACCACAATAGGTGTAGGATTGTGCTGTAGGCATATCCATGGGGTTGGGTGACCACAATAGGTATAGATGTATCCATGGGGTTGGGTGACTACAGTAGGTGTAGACGTATCCATGGGGTTGGGTGACCACAGTAGGTGTAGATGTATCCATGGGGTTGGGTGACCACAGTAGGTGGAGGCGTGTCCATGGGGTTGGTTGACCACGGTCAGTTTTGTGCTCTGACCAGCTGTGGTTTTTGCTATCTATGTATGGGAAGCAGTGTTCTCAGAATTGACAGTTCTAAAGCCAAAATAGTCATCAGTTCGGAAAGATTTTGAAGGTACTCTGTATCTTGCTGTATCCAATATCTATCCAAGATTTAATTCTTTGTCTAGGAATAAACATTCATTTCACTATCGTGCAAATTTTCTTTGTTATTTAATAAATTGTGTGTATACCAAAGAATTGTTTTAAAGTAAACTTTATGTTTTACTCTTAATAAGTATTTGATTTGTATACCATTGTTTATGCGCCTGACTACTGACGGTGGCATACATTTTACAGGTGAAGGGAGTCATGATTGAAAGCAGCTTAAGTACTGGTTTAAACCAGTTCAGAAATTTGGAGATGCAAATCAGTGTCCCTCTGGGAAAGATAAAAGACTAAAGTCATGTGGAATTATTTCTCACGTTTTAAATTGCAGCCATGGTGAATCTGATTTTAAAAAGCTTTGGAAGGTTTTGGTTGTCTTATGTGACTGTCTCATGGTTGTTTTTACTTAATTTAGAAGAGAAATGTGTAAGGGACAGTTGCACACTCAGTTCAGGAAGAAGATGCAGGTGTGGTGACAGGAAAGCGATGAGTGGCATGCTAAAGTAACAAGCAGTCAGTCTGCCTTTACTCAGGCATCCTTTCCAGGTCCTTCCATAGAAGGACTAATGATAGGTTTTTTTTTTTTTTTGTATTATACTACAGGTCAAACAAATGTGTGGTGTTTTGAATGTAATTGACCCCCATAATCTCATAGGGAATGGCATTGTTAGGAGGTGTGGCGTGGTTGGAGTCGGTATAGTCTTGTTGAAGGAAGTGTACCATTTTGAGGGTGGGCTTTGAGGTATCTTTGGCTCGAGCGTCACTCTGTGTGACAGTCAGTTGACTTCTGTTGCCTGCAAGATGTAGGACTCTCAGCTATTTCTCCAGCACCACATTGCCTGCATTCCATGCTCCCTGTCATGATGATAGTGGATTGAACCTCTGAAACTGTAAGCAACTTCTTCCATTGTTTTCTTTATATGAATTGCCCTGGCCATGGTGTCTCTTCACAGCAATAGAAACCTTGACTAAGACAAAATACCTTTAGATTTTTGCTATTTAATCATTGTTACTGTTTTCTCCTTTTATAATTAACTCCTTTGCCATGATCATTTCTGATTCTTACTACTATTATTTTCATTTTTTGGGATCTGTGGATGCTCATCCAGGTTATGCTTTTAAGTTCCTGTGACTTTAGCTAAAGAGGTCCTATCAAGCCATTTCTCCCGTGTTGATACATTTTCTAACCCTTTGAAAATGTAGTTGTTGCTACTTTTTAAGCTTAATTTGAATAAAAATCTTTTAAGTTCATAGAGGAGAAATTTTCATTGGATAAAAGTGTGGAAAAATGAGTATGTTCCCTTGCTAACGGTTATTGTATTCAGCATCTTTCCATACCTTTGTGTTTCAACACTGCAGTGTAGTTCTCTGTTCTCTTCCCATCTCTCATTTAGCATTGTGTGCTAAATTTTAACTTGGGAGGAAGGAGGACAAATGAAGGGAGGAGAGGAATTAGGGAAAACATTAGTAGAGTTGTGGCCAAGAATTGCAGCCTTTCTAAGGAGATAATCTTGGAAATACTTAGAATTGAGGAAACTAGACAAAATAGAGGAGCATAGTGTACATAGAGTAATTTTGGATAATGGGTTTTTCATGAACAAAAATGTTTTTGAGTGCTACTTACTTAATTGAGATGGTTAGTTTACTAAGGTTTATTATGTTTTTAAGTGGTTAATTGGCCTCTTCCTCTCCTATGTCAAAAAGTTATTTTCCGAGACATATTACTTCATGTTTGAAACTGACATTCATACGCATATGTGCACTCGTGTGTGTGTATGTGTGTGTGTGTGTGTGTGTGAGAGAGAGAGAGAGAGAGAGAGAGAGAGAGAGAGAGAGGGGGAGTACCTGAGAGCCTGCATACTGTGCTAACTGAGGAAGAAATGGGAAGAGAATAGACGCTTACATTGCAGTGTAAAGAACCCATGTGGGATCACAGAGATGAGGAAGGTACTGAGAACAGCAGCTGTTAGCAAGAGAAATGTGTTTCTCGTGGGCTTTAAAAGCACTGAGCGCAGAGTCTAGTGTCTTCCTGCTGCTGTCCTTCTCCACATGTGTCCACGTGACTCACTGCTCTTCACCTACCCTAGCTGGCTTCTGATAGTTGGTGTGTGCAATCTGCTCAGTGTGGTTTTCTCATTCTCTCTCCATTCCCTTCCTGCCCCTTCCTCCCGTGTCTCCCGTCTCCTACTGCAGTGGCTTTCTTTCTTCTCTGCGTTGCCATGTCATGTCTTCTCCTAGTAGTCATTGATTGCTTTACACAGCTCACTTTTGTTGTTTTTACTTTTTGGCTCTTTGGGAGGCCCACCACCCAGCTCCCAAATAAGTGCACAGAACCTTATTCTTCCTTATGAACGCTCAGCTTTAACTTGGCTTGTTTCTAGCTAGCTTTTCTTAACAATGTAAGTCTCATCTGCCTTTTGCCTCTCGGCTTTTACCTTTCTCTATTTCTGTATATCTTTTCTTTCCTTCTTATTCCGTGGCTGGCTGTGTTGCTGGGTCTTGCTCCTAGATCTAGATCCCTCTCCCCAGATTTCTCCTCCTATTTATTCTCTCTGCATGCCTGCCCTGCCTATCCTTTCTCCTACCTTGCTATTGGCCATTTAGCTCTTCATTAGACCAATCAGGTGTTTTAGACAGGCAAACAATAACAGCTTCACAGAGTTAAACAAATGCAACATAAAAGAATGCAACACATCTTTGCATCATTAAAACAAATATTCCACAGCATAGAAAAAGGAACACATCTTTTTTTTTTGTTTGTTTGTTTGTTTTTTTGAGACAGGGTTTCTCTGTATTGTTTTGGAGGCTGTCCTGGAACTCACTCTGTAGACCAGGCTGGCCTTGAACTCACAGAGATCTGCCTGCCTCTGCCTCCCGAGTGCTGGGATTAAAGGCATGCGCCACCAACGCCCGGCAAAGGAACACATCTTAAAATAGCATTCAACAACAGCACACTTCTCTAAATTCCTGTGGTGCCTTTCCTTTTAATCTTTAGCATCATTTGATGTCTTAGGTGTTTCTCCTGCATTAGCCTGTGTTCAGAGCAGCATGGCCCTTTTCTGTGTCATCATGCATTGATGAGTTTGGGGCCATGTGGAGGTTGCCTATCATTTCTTCCTTGTTTATGCTCCCACCTAAAGTCTTCTTTTTCTTTTCTTTTCTTTTTTTTTTTTTTTTTACACTGGAATAGCTCTCTTTATTTGTCTAGGTCAGCAATCCTCATTAACCTCTTTCTTTTAGTCCACAGGTTATTTTGCAGAAAGAATGTGACTTGAGAAAGTTAATGTGAAATCAATGTTGAACTTGGTTAACTGCCATCAAGATTTGTAGACTAAAAATATTTCTTCTCCAATTTACCTCTGGATTAATATCAAGATACTTTAAGGTACGGTAGTAGTTTTAAAGATGATAGAATGATCTGTGCTATTTTAAATTAATTATTGCAACAAGATCTTAAATTATATTTGGCAAATTTGAATGTATCACAGGTAAATTGATTTTATAGTGTCTTAATTTTTATATTATTCTGAATTCTAGCTTACTTTAAGTTAAAACAGTCTTATCTTCAAATCTTTAACTTCTCAGATTTCTTTTGTTTTATACTTGTACATTTTACTTTGGTTAGAATGTACTGGTAATGTTCTGTTAGGGTACTATGTTAGTGTACCGTGCACATTGCACACTGCATTAGTGTAGTGTGTTAGTGTATTTATTGCATTAGTGTAGTGTGCTAGTGTACTACATTTGTGTATTACATTAGTGTAATGTGTTATTGCACTATATTTATGTACAGAGATAGCCTACTGTGTTAGTGTACTATTTAGTATACTGTGTGTGCAGTGTTAGTGTACTGTGTGTGCAGTGTTAGTGTACAGTGTGTGTGCAGTGTTAGTGTACTGTGTGTGCAGTGTTAGTGTACTGTGTGTGTGCAGTGTTAGTGTACAGTGTGTGTGCAGTGTTAGTGTACTGTGTGTGTGCAGTGTTAGTGTACAATGTGTGCAGTGTTAGTGTACTGTGTGTGCAGTGTTAGTGTACTGTGTGTGCAGTGTTAGTGTACTGTGTGTGTGCAGTGTTAGTGTACAGTGTGTGTGCAGTGTTAGTGTACTGTGTGTGCAGTGTTAGTGTACTGTGTGTGCAGTGTTAGTGTACTGTGTGTGTGCAGTGTTAGTGTACTGTGTGTGTGCAGTGTTAGTGCACAGTGTGTGCAGTGTTAGTGTACAATGTGTGCAGTGTTAGTGTGTGCAGTGTTAGTGTACTGCATTAGTGTATTGTGCTTGTGTATTGTATTAATGGTTAATGTACCATGTTAGTGTATTTTGTCAGTGTACTGTGTTAGGGCACTGCGTGAGTGAATTGTGTTAGTGTACTCCATTAGTACACTGTGTATAAAGTGTTTGTGTATTGTGTTAACAGATTGTGTTCATGTACTATGCTTATGTAATGTGTTAGTGTACTTACTGTGGTAGGGTATTTACTCTGTTCCCTCACAGCATTTGAATACTATGGTAGTGTATAGTGGTGGTCACCCAGTTTGATACTCTGAATATCTGGAGTCTGTAACTGTTTAATATCTACCTAACTTTGCTTTATCTTTATGGTGAGATTAGAAATAGGTTGATTCAGCAGAAAATACAAATGTTTCTTTTGTAAAACATTGTATTGTGATTGTATTTGGGTTGGGTAACATGGGCTTCTTTATTTAAAATTAAATTTTTTTATCATTTTTTATTTTAATTTTAAATAGCTTGTTTTACATGTCAATCCCAGTTCCCTCTCCCTCCCCTCCTCCCGCACTCCCCTTCCCCCCCACCCTCCCACCCTATTGCCAAATCCTTCCACATAGGGGATATCTAGAGTATGTCATTTCACTCTGGGTAGGGTCCAGGCACTCCCCTAAGAGTCCAGGCTGAGAGAGCATCTCTCTTTGTGCTATAGGCACACGAAGACTGTATTCCAGGGATAGACACTGAACCACAGCTCAGGGCCCCATAGGTTGCCCAGGCCTTCTCACTGACACTCACATTTGGGGGGGTCCAGATCAGTCCCATGCTGGCCTCCCCACTGTCGGTCTGGGGTCCAAGAGCTCTCCCCTGTTCAGATCAGCTGTCTCTGCTGGTTTTGCCAGCCCATTCTTTGCCAATTTGCTCATCACTCCTCTCTCTCTGTCACTGGGTTCCTTGGGTTCAGTTCAGTGATTAATTGTGTGTTTGCCTCTGTTTCCATCAGTCACAGGATGAAGGCTCCCGGATGGTTATAGACATCAAGTTCATTATCAGGAATGGGCATTCGAGGTGGTCTCTCCACTATTGCTTAGCTTGCCAATTGGTGTTATCCCTTTAGGTCACTCTGGTGCCTGATCTGTCTTCTATCCTATGATTCCCTCTTCCCCCTATTCTACCCCCACCCACTCAACTTCCTGTTCCCCCATGACCAACTCTCTTCCTCTTCACCCCCTCTCTTCTTCCCAGCTCCCACTCCCCCCCACCCCTCGCCGTGTTCCCCATCCATTCAGAGGATCTTGTCTCAATCCTCTTCTCTTGGGTACTATGCATATATGCATATCTTTCAGGTTCTTTCCTGTTTCCCAGACTCTCTATCAGTGGAAGTGCAGACTAGCACTATCCTGATCCATGTCTAACATCCATATATGATGATTACATACCATGTTTGTCTTTTTGCGACTGGGTTACCTCACTCAGGATGGTTTCTTCCAGTGCTATCCATTTACCTGCGAATTTCAAGATTCCATTGTTTTTTTCTGCTGAGTAATACTCCATTGTGTAAATGTACCACATTTTCTCTATCCACTCTTCAGTTGAGGGGCATCTAGGTTGCTTCCAGGTTCTGGCTATTACAAATAATGCTGCTATGAACATAGTGGAGCAGATGCCCTTGTTGTATGAATTTGCCTCATTTGGATATATGCCTAAGAGTGGAATTGCTGGGTCTAGTGGTAGATTAATTCCCATTTTCCTGAGGAATCTCCATACTGATTTCCAAAGAGGCTGTACGAGTCGGCACTCCCACCAGCAGTGGAGGAGTGTCCCTCTCTCTCCACATCCTCTCCAGCATAAATTGTCTTCCTGTGTTGTAATATTAAATGAAGTATTTTGACTGTAAAGTAAAATATCTTTAAACTTTTTCAATTTTTATTTAAAAAATTAGTATACAGAGTATTAGGTTTCATGTAGAGAAGTTTGGCCTTTAGCTGTGTAGCAGAGGATGGCCTTGAATTCCTGATTCTTCTGCCTCTACTTCCCTAGTAATGGGATTAAGGAATATGCTGCCACACTTGGACATGTCCCTTCATGGCTGAGATTATGTACAATTTTGCATAGTCACCATTCTATTCTTGTGTAAACATTTATATTTATTTCTCATTAGAGGAAGTAATATTATGGCGACTTTCAATATGAAGGCCGTATCCCGGTTTATGTATTAATAATCTAATATTAAAATCACTTTATTAGTCTTTAAAAAATCTTTCATATTAGTTATTAAAGCTATTTATGTTTTTCTCTGTCTTGAGCTTATTCTGCTGGATCTTGGTTATAAAATTGGATTGGAATTACTATGTATTGTATGTTCACAAGATCATTTGTATTTTAGCTAAATGTGTGGAGAGTGAGTATAACTCTAATATTTCAACATGCATTTATTGGTCACCTGCATTTGTTAGATAGTAATCCTATTGATGGAAACACAGTAATAGACAAACCCGGTTCCTACAGAGCTTACATTCACTGGGGTTAGACACACGGTAGACTAAAGACACAGAGTTATGGTACAGGAGATGTGCTGAGTGCTTTGAAGTAAGTAGAGCAAGGAAGGACATAAGGAGAAGTGAGTGGTGTTGGGTAGGAGACGGAGGAGTAAGATCTCCAGTAGCTTGTCCAGAGAGCGGTCCAACGAGGAGGAGACATTTGAGTAGAATCTAAAGAACTGAGGGAATGAACTGTGTGGTGTGTGTGTGTGTGGGGGGGCAGACTATTCCAGAGAGAAGGAATTCGATGACTCTTTTTCAGATGGTTAAGTTTATTGGGACTCTTATCATTGGGGGGATATTATTGTATATTAACTGTGGCTTCTTGTCTTGATAGAATGTCTAGCAAAGAAGTGAAGACTGCCCTAAAAAGTGCAAGAGATGCAATCAGAAACAAAGAGTACAAAGAAGCTTTGAAACATTGCAAGGTAAAGGATACTTTTCTCTTTGGCAGACAAATACATTGCCAATTTATGAGTTATTGTAAGGTATAAGTCACTTATTGTCCCCCTCAGCCACGTGGTAGAACCTATAGAGCAGTTAGATCCCTCTCTCCTTGTTAGTGGAGTAGGCTAAATTACTGCACTTAATGTTTTTACTGCTAAATCACTAAAGCCATGTTCTCAAAGCCAGACATATAAGCACCTTGAATTATTATTGTATTGTGTTAAAACTGTGTCTTTAGTGTGTGTTATGCTTGTGGAGTCAGAGGACAAATTGTAGGAGTCAGCTCTCTCCTACCATGCCAGTCCTGGGGTTTGAACTCAGATCATTAGATTTGATCACAGACGTCTTAGCCTCTGGGCCACCTTGCCCACCCGCATTTTTATTACTTTAAGGTTGTTGACATTCCAGTTTCTGTCTGAGCGGTGGGTAAAAGAATAAAGATTCCAAAGCTTCCTCATGTGCTGACGGGACTGCTCCTGCTAAAGAGAGAAATTGAATGTGCTGGAGAGATAGTGGGGACAGAAGTGAGCAGGAGAAAAGATAGGTACAGATCCATTATAGGGCTTGATTTGCTGATTTGGCAGTGGAAAGGTAAGTGCATTTTTCCTGATGGCTTCTATTTTTGGTGACACATGGCAAGAGTTGTGCAAGGATGTTTGAGACTAAAGCAAGTTTGAAGCAGTTGTTATTCATGCTGAGAAAACTTATGAACAAGAAGTTAAAGGATTGCTAACTTATGAGTAAGAATTTGAATGATTGCTGGCTCTAAACAATGCCCACTTGAAATTTGGTGTTATTCAAGTGAGGTCAGTGAATGTTGGAATTCAGGGATTGAAGGGAGAGAGACATAGGAGTCAATGATGGCAGAGGATGGATGACAAGGATGAGTCATCAGGAGGGATAAGCCAAGGAGTAAGAAAGAGTGCAGAGTCCTGAGCTGAGAGTTGTCATGGTGAGACCATTACAATAATTGAATTGGGGTAGATGCGCTGGTGAACACATTAGTGGTGACCCCAGAGGCACCAGAATCACTGGTGCTACATTAAGGACAGGAACCAAAGTGTTTCCTCTTGGAGTACTTTGGCCTAGAGCAAACCCTGTTTAGAATTTCCTACTTCTCTCACTGTGTCTTCCATCTGTCTGTAGTTCATGGTTCCAGGCCTCTGAGATCTCTCTATTGCCTGAGTCTGAATCTGTACTTGTGTGAATGCTGTCTGTGACTCTGTCCCTCCAGGGGCTTTTGTTAACTTTCATTGTTCAGGATAGTGAGCATCACAAAGGGAAGGAGTGAGGAGTACTTTACAGAAACCTTTAACACTTTCCCAAGGGACCAAATATCACTGGGCCAGAAGCACTCAGAAAAGCAAACATAACACAACCTCAACAGGTGGATATCTGTTTAAAAGGACACTTGTGACCTGTTTGCTGTTTTCAGCAAATGATTATATGGTAGCACACATGTAAACACATGGGAAACCAAAGCAAGTAGGGTATTTGTTACATTGTAGTCTTTTGTTTTTTCTTTCCTCCATCGGGTTCTCTGTGTAACAGCTCTGGCTGTCCTGGAACTCTAGACCAGGCTGGCCTCAAACTTAGAGATCCTCCTGTCTTTTCCTCCATTGTGCTGGGATTAAAGGCATGCACCACAGCCTCCAAGTGCTGCATTGTATTCTTAAAAGCAAGTTAAACAAACAGACCACCCAGTACACAGCAGGACAGCAGTCCTAATTTTTACATGGCCTCCCCTGAGGTCCAGCAAAAGTGCCAGCCTCCCTGAGTTTAAATTTATACATAGAAGTGTGTTGACGACTGAGACTAGCAGGAATGTGAAGTCAGGGTGGTACTAATCTGGTGCAGAGGTGAGTAGTTTGTACATGTGGGGTACGATGAGAGGGACCGTTTCTTCCAGCACTGGTCTTCTCTAACTAACCCTTACATATGATTATGCTTCTAAATTGTTATTGTTATCATTATTACTATTAGTGTGTGTGTGTGTGTCTGTGTGTGTATGTGTGCATGGTACATGACATACCCATGTGGAGATCAGAGACTGAACTGAGCTCCTTAAGCCTGGGTGGCCCACCAAGCCATTTACTGACCCATATTTCCATTACATTACTTAGCATGGATATCTTTCTGTGGGTATTCTGTAAAATTTTGACATGAATTTCATCAAGTAGCTCATAATTTATAATGGCAAAATCCCGCTATAGACTCTAAATGGAGAATAGTGCAATGGGAGATGTCTCTCATCAGTAGTAACCCGGAATTAGTTGAGACTAAAGCAAAGCTACCCGAGAGTATATTTGCTGTGGTTCTGTCCTGTGGAACTCTAGGGCATGGGATAAGCATTCCCTTAGGAAGCTGTCTTCAGTTTGTGTATGTAGTTAGGTACTTTTTTTCTTTGTGTTTGAAAAGTTTCTACACCCTGATAAACCACAGGTCTCTTTTCTGGGGGTCAGTTTAAATACCCTGTGGGAGTGGTCTTGAGCATCTCTGGGGGAGAGATCATCATTTGGAGGGCTTTCTGAGATGCAGCAGAGTTTGGGGGGAGATGGGGAGGGGGCTGGTGGAACTTTCACCATAACATCCCAGACTCTTTGGGGGTTGGATGCCAGGGGCTGGGGCGAAGCTTCCACCGTACCAGTGTTCTCCCAGTGTCTTCTATGTATTTCACCACATTTCTTTTTTGTGTGATTATTTCCTTAAAAATGTATCCCAGAATCTGAAATCCAGATCATTAACCAGACAGTAATTATTGATTGGTGGTTGACATGTACCTTGTGTCATTTGATAAGCAATTATGTGTTGTAGAATATTATCTTATATGCTCTGGAACATTTGTTTAATGATGCAAAGATATGTTTGATTAAATAAAATTCACCTGCAGTCAGGAGACTGGGTCAGTAACTAGCTGACAGGAAGCTGTAGGGAGGAGCCAAGTGGAGAAAGGTTTGTATGGAGGGGTGAGAAGGAGCAAGAGGACTTCTTGGGAGGCAAAAGAGGTGAGCTATGTAGCTGCTTGCTATTCAGCCTCTCTGGGAAGCAGAATTTTGAGTTCTTTAGCTGGATGGAGATTTAAATAAATTTAGTTCTGAAAGAGTCAGTGTCTGTGGGAGCAGGCTTCCGCTCTTGTGGCTTAGCTGTTGCTGAATAAGATAGTTATTGCTGAATGGCATAGCCATAGCATAAAAGGCAGCAACAAATAAAAAAGAAAAACAACAATAATGTGCCAGCCGTTGTACTTGGTGTTTAGAACATAAGCAGAACAAGTCCTGGTATTGGAGTTTACTTTGTTGGGTACCTCATTGCTGAGCTGTAGAGGCATCATTATTGGGTAGAGTGCAGCTTGCACAGTACATTGGTGACAGACCACTCAGAGTATGTGTGGATACACACACCTAATCAGTGGAGAGGTCAACTCATGGAAATGTGAGTTTCCCTAGCATATGCAAAACCTTGAGAGTTGGTTTTATTTTAGCTCCTGGTTGTTTTTCTTTCCCTAGAATATATTAATCTTGCTTTAAGCTTTTTACTTTAGTAAGTACTCTTATTTCTGAGAGAAATATTTCTGTGTATAATTTTGTTTTAGATGACAGGTATTATGTAAACATTTACTGCCATTGTTTATTTTTTTGGTATAATGCCTATGACTGCCAAAAAGAATCCATCTTTTATATGGGAACTTTTTATAATGCAAAAGAAAATATTAGATTTGGATGAAGTGATGTGGAGGCTGGGAATTACTGTTCTTTTCTACCCAGCATTCTCATGGGGTGCGGGTCAGGGAATTTCATGTAGGTATCAAGATCCCTTGGGCATTTACTGAAATCCTTTACAGTCTTGCATTCACTGTACCTGGCTAGGTACCATTGTATGGGTCGCTGTGTTGGTGGCAGGCCCAGTGTCCTGACTATTGCTTTGTTGTTTGTTCAGTAGTTTCTGAAATGTAATAACTTAATCTACTTCTTTTTTAATCAGACAGTGTTAAAGCAAGAGAAAAATAACTATAATGCCTGGGTTTTCATTGGTGTTGCTGCAGCTGAACTAGAGCAGCCCGATCAGGCCCAGGGTGCCTATAAGAAAGCCGCAGAACTGGAGCCAGAGCAGCTTCTTGCTTGGCAGGTATGGAGGAGATAGGTTTTATTTCTCATAATATGGGGAAAGCATTTGTTTTCCATTTTCAAAGTGTAGGCTCCAGTGTTAAAATAAGCAATTAAACCTGTCTCGTGAAAAAAATTGAAATTTTCTAAATCTAAAAGTTAATTTTAGGTGCCTAAGATACTGTTTATCACTTCTTAACTTCCTACCCAATGGATTATTTTTAAATAGAAGACTTTAACTATAAAGATTCCCTCTTACCTTCACTTTACTTGGAGGGACATTCTACACATATTTCATCTGTAGTCCATTGTTTCATACAATAAATAAAAGGGGGGGACTTGAGGTTTTGCTAAAGATAATTAGCACTGCTTCCTTCTTTAGGGGCTAGCAAGTTTGTATGAGAAGTGTGATCACGAAAATGCTAAGGGTGATTTATGCGGTGTTTACCAAAAGCTGCTGGATCTCTATGAAAGGTAAGGGAAAGGCTAGTTTCTTTACAGGTCTCACTTTAGTGATCAGAAATTATATAGAGCTGGGCAGTGGTGGCACATGCAGAGGCAAGACGATCTTTGTGAGTTTGAGGGCTACCCTGGTCTACTCTGTGAGTCCCAGGACAGCCAGGGCTATACAGAGAAACCCTGTCTCAAAAACCAAAAAAAAGGGGGGGATTATATAGAAATTGTGTTAGGGTTCTCTAGATACTGATAGAATGAATACATGCATACATACATACTTACATATAAAAAGCAGGATTTATCAGAGTGGCTTACAGGCTGTGGTTGGATTATTCCAATGTTAGGAAGTTTCATGAATCCAATTATAGTTCTGACCATGCGGCTGACAGTCCCAGGTGGTCTTAGGTAAACTAGGAATCCCAAAGAAGTAGGCTTTAATGCCATTAAGGTGATGGACTTCCAGAGTGGGGTGAGCAGGCAAAGATAGCATCCTCCTCTTATGTCCTCTGTGTAGGCTGCCACCAGAAGGCGTGGGACAGAGTTTAAGGTGGGTCTTCCCACCTCCAGTGGTTCAGCCCAAAATTTCTTCCAGCTGTGTCCAGCATCTTGGTTTTAGGTAATTCTAGACGTAGTCCAGTTGACACCCAGAATAGCCATCACAGAGCTGGAAGGACTGGTGACATTTACTGAGAATTTAGAAACAGTTTTCTCTCAAATTCGTCACCAAGTTTCTTGTGATTGAATTAGACTTGAAAGACTAATATGATGATTGGCTCAATTCAGAATTTTAAAATGTGTGGGTCAAGATCATGAAAGATGATCTTTCCTCATCCTTTACAAAAGGCTTGTTGTATACAATAACGTTATAGTATCAGATGCTTGAGGCTTTTAAGTGTTTGCTTGGTTCTTCTGTCAGATTAAAATCCTTTTCCTTCTTCTCTTTAACCTGAGTGTTGACAAGCAGAAGTGGTGTGATGTCTGTAAGAAACTTGTGCACCTGCATCACCAGGAGAAGAGATACCTAGAGGTTGGTCAGTGACTTCTAAAAAGTTTTCATCTAGCTAATACAAGTTAAGAATGAAAATATCAAAAATGTTTAGTATAACATAGCTGTTTAAATCTCCTTTTCAATAGGTGGCTCGGACATGGTATAAATTGATAAAGACACGGCAGGAAGATGGAGCAGACAAGCAGGAGCTCAGGGAGCTGTGGAGAAGACTGATTGAGTTGCTAGCTGAGAATGCAGAGGACCAGGACAATGAAACACAGCAGATGGTATCATCTTCTTTATTCCTCATAGTTTATGACATGGAAATCGATACTTAATTGAATTGGAAAACAGAGGCATAATGAAGTAACAGAGGAACATACCCTTGTCAGTGCAGCGAGCGCTGGGCATGCTCAGTTTAAATTCCGCACACAGGAAGTACCCTTGTCAGTGCAGCCATTGCTGGACATGCTCAGTTTAAATCCCAAACACAGGAAGTACCGTATGTCAGCACAGTGAGTGTTGGGCATCCTCAAATTCATAGAGATTCTTGCTGATAAAATTAGAAACCTTTGCTTTCAGTCTCATATAATGTGGAGAGGGCAGACTTGGGTCTTAGAGTATTAGATTTTCAGGTCCTTGTATTTATAAGAATCTACAGTAGATCATCAACTTAGTCACTATAGAAAGGAAAATATGTAAAGACAGATTTTCACAAAACTGTAACTTCTAGAACGTTGAACTTTCTACGTATTCTTTATACTTGTTAACTGTAGGCACTGAATTACTTAGTAATCACTTAATTCAATTAAAATGTTTATATTTAATAGTTAGATTATGTTGGATAATTCCTTTTTTAATGTATTGGCTCTAATTTATTGAAAGGGTTTTTTAAAATATTGTAAAATGTTAATTTTAAAGTATGGCTGGAAATGCCTCTATTCCATATTTTATTAGTATAATAGCAACTTAATTTTTATCATAATTATTAGCTATTCAGTGTCCTTGTTACATTGAGTGTAATTTAAAATCTTAACAGTTATAGACTGTACGCAATGGAAACTTTGCATATGTTCACATGTTCAGTCATCAGTTTGTTCTTTGTTCAGAAAATTTTGTTGCAAATGTTTTGTATGCCAGGCTGTCCCCAACGGGCCAGTCAGTGCTCTGTCACCAGGAAGGTTTACTTTGGCTCACACCTTCAGATGTGTCTCTCTGCTGTTCTGTGTGTAGAGCATCAGGGTCAGGAGCCCATGCAGACCACAGCTGTTCACATGCGGTGCCTAGGATGAAAAGAGCCTAAGGTAGGCCAGGATGCAGGTCTGCTCCAGGGGTACCTACTTAACTTATACTGGGCCCCACTTCCCAAAGCCTCTACCACCTGCCAGAGCACCACAGGCTGTGACGAAGTCCTCAACACATGGCCTTTCAAGATGTTTAGACTCAGTTATAACATGCCATAGTAATGACTTGTCTTGTACAAGCAGTTGTGAAAGAAATTTAATAGTGACACAATTGGATAGCTCATCTATTTCTTTTAAGCTGTATCTATGTTATATAGCCTTACAATTTTTCTTGGTTAACAGAGTATCAAACTTATACCAAAATTAGTAAAATATATTTTGGTTTACTTATACTCCATGGAAGAAAATTCATAAATAAAGAGAGAATACTGCCTTACTGTGTTGCACAGGCTGGCCCAATTCCTGAGTTTATGTAGTCCTCAGCAGGCAAGCTTTCTCTTGTCCTTGTTTCTCTGCCCTCTCCACGGTCCTCATTCCTCTTCTCCTTTCCCCATTTCACCCTCCTTTTATCTTTCCTTCATCCTTCTCGTTTCTTTTCTTCTTTCCTTCCCCCTCTCCTTCCCTTTCCTTTTTTCTTTCTGTGTAGACATATGAATCTAGTGCCTTGCGTGTTCTAGGACCATACAGAATATTGAGTCATTACCAGTCCCCAGGTAACACGCACACGCACATGCATGCACAAAGACATGCAGACATTTTTGTTTGCTTCTTTGTTTTTTTTTTTTTATTTTGAGACAGGATCTTATTATGTAGCCCAGGCTGTCTTTGAATTCTCTTTTTTCTGTCTGTCTGTCTGTCTGTCTGTCTGTCTGTCTGTCTGTCTACATCCTGACCACATCCTCACCTCCCTTCTCTCTTCCCATCCCCCATCCACCCTTCCTCTGTGTAGGAAAAAGGGTCCAGCCAAAGAAACACACTTTGAGCAAAGCCAAAGAAACACACTTTGGCCCTGCAAACAGAACCAAAGAAATGTACCCTGACTCTGAAACCAATGCCAAAGAAACACACTTTGTCCCTGGAATCAGAGTCAGCGAAAGAAATACACCCTGGCCCTAAAACTAGAGCCAAAAGGCTAAAAAGGACCAGAGAAAGAAACACACTTTGGCCCTGAAACCAGAACTAAATCTGACCCTAACCCTGTGCAGAAAACTAACCAATCCTTGAGCAGGAGATCTAGCCTTCGTGAGCTCAGGGATTGAAATGTGACCAATCCCCACCCTGGAAAAACTCTATCCCCTAAGAATCCCTGTATAAACCCTGTGTCTGTTCAGCTTGTGGCTGTTCAAGCTGCCCGGCTATCCTCTGCTACCTTGGCGGAGGGCAGCCACTCTCCTGGATTCTTCCTTCCCAGTAAATCTCTTGAATGAGGTTTGGGTGAGACCTTCTTTCAGAGGAGCAGAGAAGACCCAGAGCAGAGGGGAGCAGGGCTGTAACACTTTTTGCCCAGGGAAACCTTCCCCTGGCTAAGTGAAGTTGTTACATTCCTCTCTCCTGGGGACTGGAGCCGAACTGGAAACCCTCTCCTGCTGGAGCAGAGCTGACACACTAGGGAAGCCTTTCTCTGGAGCAGGGCTGTAAGCTGCTAAGCTTACTGTGACCTATTGTATTCCTTTGCTCCTCATTTCCAGAATACCTTTCCATCCAAGCTGTAACACTCAGTATTCTTTAACTTCCGAGTGCCAGAATCCATCCCATCCAATCTGTTGAATGCTTACAACACAGGCAACTAAGGAATACTGAGAGCAGAAGTCTTCCCCAAGGGAGGTATCCCCTAATTGGTTATTCAGTACCAAGTGGTCAGCCCTGAAATCGTATACATGCAAGCAAGACTGAATGAACTCAGATATCTGTATGAATTAATATGTTAATTCATATGAATGCATAATGATAACAATTAAAGATAAGGAGGCCAGGAATTTCTGTGTTGTTTGTCTAGGTGGGGGCTCATGAGATTTCCCCTTCCATGTTACATGTCCATTGGTGGTCTTTGTTCAGCTTTGTTTTCAGCACCCGTGTTATTGAGAGATCAGAGATGTGCTGCCCTGTAGTTTCGATAAGGCACAATTTCACAGCAGATTTCCCAGTCCTTTCTGTGCCCACTTCTGGAATGTTCTCTGAGCCTTGGGTGCAGGAGTTACGTTCAAGCTGGGCACCCCATGATCAGTTGTTCTCTGCATTTGGAGTTGTGGTTTTCTGTGATGACCTCTGTGGCAAAGAGTGGGAAGGTAGCTTCCTCAGTGAGGGTCAGGTGCTGCCCTTATTTGTAGATAAATATTTAGGATGCAGTTGGGAATTGTGCTGGTTTAGTAACGTGGTTCTTCTCTAAGGCCCATGAAATCACTAGGCTTGAGGAGTTGGCTATGTTTCTTCTCCCCTCCCATTAGATAAATTCTGGTTACTACCAGAATGAGAGTGCCACCATTGCATCATTAGGATGTCTTGCCAGCCTTGTCATTGCTGTACTTCGTAGGGTTCATACTTGGGTAGGGCTGTTGGTTCCTTCTCTCCCTGGGCAGCTTTCAGGGCTATGAGAGCTTGTATTCAGGGAAGATCATTTCAATTCAGATCCAGCTCTGATCTTCAAAGTCCCATGTCCAAAGTACATGGTATCTTAAGCAATAGGGACTTACCTTCAACTTCAGGGAGGTGACTGAGGACAATAACAACCACTTGTATTGCTACCCTGAAAGGAAGTTTATCAAGCCTGGTATTGGAGTTTTCATCAGATAGTGTGTGGCTCTTGAAGGGAGCCTTATCAGCCCAAGTGGCCTAACTTTCTTTAAACTATGTATGTTTTTCTTATTCCCCCATTCACATCACCAGTGTACTGCTATTCCCCTCTCTAGTGCTCCTTTTTCTTAGTCCTTAATAATATACTTTTAAGAACATATTTCTTAAAATAATGAGTGTTCCTTAAAAACATCACTTATTTTCCATTTGGAATACCTGAATTATTATCTGAAAAAGCAAGTTATGTTAAATCATCTTAAGGTTACTGTGAGATCATTATCCTGATCAGAACAGTGAAATTTACTTTTTCCTATCTTTATAATTAACAAGGGGATACTGAGGTAATGAGTTAGTAGGGGTTGGTTGTGATGACTAATTTTGTCCACTTGATTGGATTAAGAAGCACTAAGGGAGGCGTGTGACTGAGTGCTTCCTAATAAAGATTTACTGGAGTGGTTGAGGCTGGGGAGCCCTGCTCAGTATGTGAGTGGCACCAGCCCATGACCTGGGGTCTTGACCTGAATGAAAAGGAGAAAAAGAAATGTTGGCCTTCTCCTCCTCACCACATACTGATCTGCTCAAATGTGAGCACACAGCTTCTTGCTACTGCTGTGATAGCTTCAAACGGTGCTTTCTGCCATGATGGACTGTACCCTCAAACTGTGAGCCATAATAAAGTCTTCGCCTCATCTCTTAAGTTGCTTCTCATCAGCAATAAGGCAAGTGACTAATATAGGGGATTGATTAGGTCATGAATATACCCTTGAAGGTAAAGACCTTACCTAATGAAATGGAGGGTATAATATGCCGTAAAGTGCTTGCTTCTTCCTGTTCTTATGCAAGACATTTAGAATGCTTCTTTCAAGATTTTCTTCAAAGTGAGTTAATACTGTATTAAGAGAAATAGATTTATTACACTTCTCTATTTTTTTTCTGATGAAGTATAACCCAGCTTCATAATTTTTCTTCAAAGATTTCCTGCTCTTGGAGATTTTCAAAGAATGTGCTTGTAATACTGTATTACCATTAAGATAATGTTATAGCTGATTGCTTTGTAGCAGGCAGCAGTGAAGGGAAAATACTTTATTAAGCTACTGTTTTAAATTTGTACTTATCCCTTACTAGTTTAGTATAGTCTATTGGCCAGTTGGAGTTAGAATGTATTTTAAAACTTATGTAGACTCTTCTCCCCCTTCCCCCGCATCATTCAAATTGTCAGGGCCAAGTTGATTGAGGTGGCTAATCTGTAAACCCTGTCATTGGGAGGCTGAGGCAAGAGCGTCTCCACAGATCAAGGCTGGCTTAGGCTACAGATCTGACCCAGGGTTAGTTTTCATAAAGGAGTCTTTAGCCTGACTGTCCTGGTACTTCCTTTGTAGACCAGGCTGGCCTCAAACCCACAGAGATCCATCTTCCTCTGCCTCCTGAGTGCTGAGATTATACTACCACTGCCTGGTTTATGAAGGAGTTTTAACACAGTATAGTACTTGCCACATTTTCACTTAGCATGCCACATAATAGCTTTTTGGTTTGTTTCAGCTTTTAACTGCATTTGAGAATGCGCTGGACTTAGCAGATAGTATTCCCAGTGAGGATCACCAAGTACTCTATAGGCATTTCATTCAGCGCTTGTCTAAAGTAAGTGACATGTATCATTTCTAGTCATGAAAATGTTCATCAGTGTGGCTTACTGCTGTTGGGATTCACTTCATCATGCTTTTATTTTTCCAAGCTTCCTCATGAGACTGCAAGATTAAAGAACGCCTGTGAAGGAATGATAAATGTCTACCCCACTGTACAGTATCCTCTAGAAGTAATTTGTTTGCACTTGATTGAGTCAGGTAACTTCAATAATTCCCAGAAGTGTGTGATTATACGAGAATGATATTGTGTCCCAGAGGTGTGTGATTATACGAGAGTGATATTGCATCCCAGAGGTGTGTGATTATATGAGAGTGATATTGCATTCCAGAGGGGTGTGATTATATGAGAGTAATATTGCTTCCCAGAGGTGTGTGATTATATGAGAGTGATATTGCAATCAATTAAGCATGGTTTTAGTGTTTACTATGTATAAAATATTTTATCAGTGTTCCTGAATATAAAAGAAATACATTTATGTAATGTTGTTATTTACAGAAAGCCTGAGAAGTATAGGAGAGTAGAATGATACAGGACTTGTGAGTTATAAAGCTATTGGTTCATCAATGAAATTCTCGTATTTTTATTATTTATTTTTATTTTGTTTTAATTCTGTGAAGTCCTTTTGGTGGTGGGACTTGAAGGATGTCTTGAACTTTCTCTGACATTAGATGGAACAGGTAGGTCTGGTAGTCCAGGTGGCAGGGTAGAGTTGTGGTGCTAGATACAGTCCCCTCCTTTTTAATTGGAATAGTAAAATAGATTTGTATGATGTAGTAGAAGGAATAACTGAAACCTATTTGGCTAAATGGGTTGGATTACATTACACAAGTCTTGACTGCCAGAAAAGGAAACTTTAAGCTTCACAGTGTTGACATTAATACTATAGTGGTGGACTGTTTTTTTTTTTTTAAACTTTGCAGTATTGTGAACTAGAGTAAATTCACGTTGGAGAGTGTGTCTTGGTGTGTGTGACACACTTGCTTCTTTGTGTACTTTGGTAGAAGAAAGATGGTTATTAACAGCTGGGTTATTGGGAGTTGGCACATCCGAAGTGTGTGTCTGTGACCTAGGCAGGTATTTGTGGGGGTTGACCACTGTGGTTTTCATGACAGCCTCTGTCCTTGTCAGTGTTTGTGCTGAATAGTGCTTTATGGTGACTGGGATGCACTCCTACACATGCTTTTATCCACCTGAAGCAAACAAGTTCATAGAAACCAAGGATGAAACGGAACCGGAAGTAGCGTGCTGGTGATTGGCTCACCATGGGACTTCCCCAGCACAGTGAATCTGTTTTTACTTGGTTGCAAAATTGATAAATACATGGAACAGTTTGTGTGAATGACTCACATTTGTCATAGTAGGGAAATATGATTGAGTTCTCGAGAACCGAGGGAGAGTCCCTGGTAGGCTCTGAGCGTTGCACCCATCTCCATTCTGCCCATGCTCTCCCTTATCACTCCTGTGTTTCCTGGTCTGTATGAAGTCATTGCCCTTACTTTTAGTCTTGGAATTTCCATGAACAAGTAAGAGGCTTTTCTTAGTCTCAAAGAGAATATTTCTCATTATCATGAAAAGTAACAAAAGTTTCAGAGTGAATTACTTTATGAAGTCCAAGTGCTTAGACTAATAATGCTCAGGATGGACTGGAGGAGAGACGACCAAGTGCGCTGAGAGTGAGTAAATGAACTTGGAACATGGTGGTGACAGAAAGGCACAGATGAATGGAAAACATTACTCAGCTGCTCAAAGGGAAGGGCAAAGTTATATTGTAGTTCTTCTACAACTTAGCCCAGTGTAGAGAAAAAAGATGGTTTATGTGGAAAATACACTTTAAAGGAACTGTTAAAGTAGACAACATTCATCAGTTGTTTGTAAATGGGAAGTAGCAAACTATAAAACTAAACATGTAGTTTGGAAATCATTTGTATGAAAGTGAGATGGAGTGATTGACATTAGAGAAGACCAAGGTCTAGAAGGCTGAGGATGGCTGCTTGTGTGGTGCTGTCTGGCGGGGAAGAAGAAGAAAAGAATGAAGATCAAGAAAGGGATAGGTGAGAGAGCAAGGTGGGTCCATGTGAAGCCAAAGAACGTTTCAGAAAGAAGACTGTGGGGACGGTCATGACAGACTGAGTAAACTGAAGACTGTGTGGACCATGACAGACTGAGTAACTGAAGACTGTGGGGACTGTCATAACAGACTGAGTAACTGAAGACTGTGGGGACGGTCATGACAGACTGAGTAACTGAAGATTGTGTGGACCATGACAGACTGAGTAACTGAAGACTGTGGGGACTGTCATGACAGACTGAGTAACTGAAGACTGTGGGGACTGTCATGACAGACTGAGTAACTGAAGACTGTGGGGACTGTCATGACAGACTGAGTAACTGAAGACTGTGGGGACTGTCATAACAGACTGAGTAACTGAAGACTGTGTGGACCATGACAGACTGAGTAACTGAAGACTGTGGGGACTGTCATGACAGACTGAGTAACTGAAGACTGTGGGGACTGTCATGACAGACTGAGTAACTGAAGACTGTGGGGACTGTCATGACAGACTGAGTAACTGAAGACTGTGGGGACTGTCATGACAGACTGAGTAACTGAAGACTGTGGGGACTGTCATGACAGACTGAGTAACTGAAGACTGTGGGGACGGTCATGACAGACTGAGTAACTGAAGACTGTGGGGACCATGACAGACTGAGTAACTGAAGACTGTGTGGACCATGACAGACTGAGTAACTGAAGACTGTGGGGACTGTCATGACAGACTGAGTAACTGAAGACTGTGTGGACCATGACAGACTGAGTAACTGAAGACTGTGGGGACTGTCATGACAGACTGAGTAACTGAAGACTGTGGGGACTGTCATAACAGACTGAGTAACTGAAGACTGTGTGGACCATGACAGACTGAGTAACTGAAGACTGTGGGGACGGTCATGACAGACTGAGTAACTGAAGACTGTGGGGACCATGACAGACTGAGTAACTGAAGACTGTGGGGACTGTCATGACAGACTGAGTAACTGAAGACTGTGGGGACTGTCATGACAGACTGAGTAACTGAAGACTGTGGGGATGGTCATGACAGACTGAGTAACTGAAGACTGTGGGGACTGTCATGACAGACTGAGTAACTGAAGACTGTGGGGACTGTCATGACAGACTGAGTAACTGAAGACTGTGGGGGCTGTCATGAAGACTGAGTAACTGAAGACTGTGGGGACCATGACAGACTGAGTAACTGAAGACTGTGGGGACTGTCATGACAGACTGAGTAACTGAAGACTGTGTGGACCATGACAGATTGAGTAACTGAAGACTGTGGGGACTGTCATGACAGACTGAGTAACTGAAGACTGTGGGGACGGTCATGACAGACTGAGTAACTGAAGACTGTGGGGACTGTCATGACAGACTGAGTAACTGAAGACTGTGGGGACTGCCATGACAGACTGAGTAACTGAAGACTGTGGGGACTGTCATAACAGACTGAGTAACTGATTTTATGATTAAGAAAGCTGACAGTGATTGAACTGAAGTAATGATAGAAAAATTGAGGAAGTGGTTAGAGGTTTAAGAAGAAAAGTAGTCTAGGAACTTTACTAAGTGCATTTATGGGAAGTGTGAGTTGGGAGCAGCAAGAGAAGCAGCAGCAGGGTTGCAGTGATGTCTCCTGTCTGGACCATTTCAAGACAGAAGGCATGTGATGGGGTGTCCAGCTGTCAGAGGGGCAGGAGAAGGGTTACTGTGATGTCTCTCTGGACCGTGACAACCACTGTGTTAAGCCCTTGGGAGATAAGGCACACAAGGGAACTGTTGGTACAGTGTTTTTGTTTTTCATCTGATAGGAAGTCTTAGTTCAAGATCATCCAGTTTCTTCAGCTTTTATTGTAAGACCCAGTGTGTGATAGAAAGATAGGATATGACATTTGTGGCTGAGTTGCCTTTGAGAATTAGTGACTGGTGGTTACTCTTGCCAGTTCTGCTTAGCTGTTAGTGGTTTGCACCATTTTGTCTTTAGTCTGCTCATGACTAAATGGTATAAGGTCAGTATTTGGAAAACTGACTGAATGCTTTCTCAGTAAGTGTGAATTTGCCTGTAACATATTTGTTTGTTTGTTTGTTTTGGGGGTAAACATGGCTCTGGTATTTCAGAATGCCTATAAAACAGCAGGGAGACATGGAATAAACTCTATCTGCAGAGTTTTACACATAAATTCATTGGCCTCTGTAATAAAGAGACTATTCCTTCCTCAATCAGTGTGAATTCTTGGTGTAAGAAAAAAAATGAGATGCTTTCTAACATAATATCCATCAAAATGTCTATCTATCTAGCATTCCTTGAGGTTTGCAATAAAATGGATTTGAGATTTTACTTAGATTCTGCTCTAGAATGACTTGGAGAGAACTAAAACATAAATGAAATGTTGCAAAACACTGACTGTTAAACAACACCCAGTATCATCGTGTGGGCATTTAGAAACGTCAGATAAAAGTTGGACTGGGGTATAGTAGATGGGTAAGTGATGGAGTGCTTGTCTAGTGTGCAAGAGGCCCTGGCTTTATCTTACGGTGTGTGTGTGATAGTAAAGACATCATAAAGGGATTATACTGACTGATAAGAAAACATGCAGCTTTACAAACTACAAAATACTTCAATAAAAAATGGAGTACAGATCTAAACAGTGAATTCTCAACAGAACAATCTCAAATGGCAGAAAGACACTTAAGGGAATGCTCAAAATCCTTAGTCATCAGGGAAATGCAAATCAAAACCACTCTGAGATTACATCTTACACTGATCAGAATGGCTAAAATCAAAAACAATAACAGCTTATGCTGGAGAGGATGTGGAGAAAGAGGAACACTCCTCCATTGCTGGTGGGAGTGCAAACTTGTACAGACTGTGGAAATCAATGTGGCGATTTCTCAGAAAGTTAGGGATCAGCCTACCTCAAGACTCAATAACGTTGTTGGTCATTTACCCAAAGGAGGCACATTCACACTACAAGGACATTTGCTCAACTATGTTCATAGCACCATTATTTGTAGTAGCCAGATCTTGGAAACAGCCTAGATGCCCTTCAACTGAAGGATGGATAAAGAAAATGTGGTGTATTGACACAATGGAGTATTACTCAGCTGTAAGAAACAATGACATCCTAAAATTAGCAGGCAAATGGGCAGAACTAGAAAAAAACATCCTGAGTGAGGTAACCCCAAACAAGAAAGACAAATATAGTATGTACTCTCTCATAAGTGGATACCAGACATAAAACAAAAGATACCCATCTTACAATCCATAACCTTGGAGAAGCTTCTCTTCCAGAAACAGAAGGAAGCAGATGCAGAAATCCGCAACTAACCAATGGGCCAACTCCTGGAGAACAATCAAAGTGAGGGAGGAGCGATAATATGAACAAAGGAGTTAAGATCATGATGGAGAAACCCACAGAATCAGCAGACCAGAGCTAGTGAGAGATCATGACTCCCATTTGACAAATGGGGAACCTGCATAAGACTGAACTAGACTCCCTTAATATAGGTGACAGTGGTGTGACTGGGACAATATATGAGGCCACTGGCAGTGGGTTCAAGACCTAACACTAATGCACAAGCTGACTTAGTGGAGCCCATTCTGTATGGAGAGATACCTTGATCAGCCTAGACACGGGTGTGGGGGTGGAGAGATGCCTTGGTCTTGCCTCAACTAGATGATGGGACAGACTTAGTAGACTACCTAAGGGAGGCCTTACCCTCTCTGAGGAGCTGATGGGAGGAGCAGGGAGTGGAGGGTTGTGGGAAGGTAGGAGTGAGGGGGAACTGAGAATGGCATGTAAAAAGTAAATAATAACATTTTAAAAGAGAAAACATACAGCTTTAAAAGCTGGGTAAGATTATAGGTTCATGCCTGTAATCTCAGCACTTGGAAGGGTTCAGTCAGCTCCAGCTGCATACCAAGTGTGAGGCCAGCCTGAACTGCTTGAGACTCAGCCTCAGCAAAAGAAAACAAGACAGTATTGTTGAAAAGCCTTTGGGGAGCAGTGTTGTGTAGAATTATTGGGAGGTCGGTCTGTGCCATGGTGAATAGGAGTGCATGTGTGGTAAGACTCAGTTCTTATTCTAGGACAGTGAAAAGCTGTGCATGATTCTTTTCATCATTCTAAGCCAAATTTACAGATTCTGAAGACTAAGTGTTTCTAGGAACCTTGAAGGCCTCTAGAAGCCAGCACACCTTTCCTCCCCCAGAGTACTTGAGTATTGTGATCTGTGCTTTACAGCAGCTAATCACTGTGTCTCTGCACCAAGGACAGATGTATTCCATATTTCTAGGTCTTGCTTTGTGTGTTGAGGCTCAAGATTCATTTCCAATATGTCTCGTTTGTCAAGCTTCATGGAAACAAAGTTGGAGAGACTTTCCCCATTGTCATTGGTTGAAAGGTGTTTTTTAAGTGTGTATGTGCTAAATAGCCCTTTTGACTCACTTCACCTTGAGGCTGAGATGCAAGAGGACAAGGAGGCTTGGCTCCTCACAGTTAAGCAGAGGACAACTTCCTTAAGGGTTAGTTAGGCTTATGTGTTCAGGCCCAGGGAAGTAGCTCAGTGTGGAACACTTGCCGAGCAGAGCTGGTGAAGCTCTGGGTTTGCACTGACAATGAAAAATAGTGAAGTTTTATGTCTTGAAAATGCCAGTGGAAATAGAGAAACGAGTGCCGTCAAATTCTATCTTCTTTCTCCCTCCAAAACTAGGTTTATTTAAAGTGAAAGTTTGTAGTGTTCATTGGTTTCTTTGGTATGTCTGAAGTGATTTTAAAAACAATACCTTTTATTGTGGTGTAAATCTGGAAACTGAATTTCATAGAGTTATTTTGTATCCATCAATTTTATACTTGAGGTTTTACTATTTAGCAACCTTAGGTCTAGACTGTCTTTTGGAGAGGTAAAATTATGTTGCTAAACTATTTTTTTGTTGTTTATTTTTCGAGACAGGGTTTCTCTCTGTAGAGCTTTGTAAATCAGGCTGGCCTGGAACTCACAGAGATCTGCCTGCCTCTGACTCCTGGGTGCTGGGATTAAAGGTGTGGCCACCACCGCCATGCCGTTGTTACTTTTTTATAATTGTTTACTATACTTACTTTTTGAGGTTATAATGTAATTCCACCATTCCCTCTTTCCTTGTTCCAAATCTTTCCATTGCCCCTCCTTGCTCTTTTTCAAGTTCATGGCCTCTCTTTCCATTGATTATTGTTATGATTAACTTATAGGACTCCGTAACTACTTTTAGAGAATGCTATTGACAGGATCTCATGTATTCTAGGCTGACCTTGAATTCTTCAGCTGAGGGTGGTGACCTTGAACTCCTGAATGTCTGGCCTTTGTCTCAACTGCTGAAGTCAGAGGCATGTGCCAGCTGTCTTTTGTTTTTATAATTGTGCTTCCAGATATTAGCAAAAGGAATATATTAGGAAGGTACCTTGATTTAAGAGTTGTTCTTGTTCATTGTGGCCTTTGGGAAGCTACCTGTACATACTATGTTTACCTGTGTGTAGTTTGGATACTCTTAGCTGGGGATTGACATCGGAGAGATTCATGACTATCTTTCCCTTTCATCATCCTAGGTATGTTTGTGATAAAGGCAATTTGTGTTGCAAAACGTAGTCTGTCATGAATTATGCTTTCAAAGGCTCAACATACTATTTAATAAATGCTTACCATGTATGCTATACCTATGCCAGTCTCTCCCCTCTAGAATTTTTCATTTAGTTACAGAGACAGCAGTGTCACTCCAAGTGCTGGGATTGTCTTTGTGTGAGCTCTGTTTCTCTTTTAGACTGCATCAATTCCGTGTAGCCCAGGTGGCCTTGAACTCACAGAGATCTGTCTGCCTGTCTCCTCAGTGCTGGGATTAAAGATGTGTGCCACCACTGCCTGACCTCTGTGGCTAACTTTGCACTCTGTATACACTCTATGTGCTGTGATCTTCAGGCAAGCTGTATTTGTTAGATCATAAACAAAATGACCCCACATTTTCATTCAGTGTCCTGATGCTAGCCCAGCGTCCTTCGATAACTACGATGCTGGGAAAGTCCATCAGAGTTGATTGCTACCTCTCTAGGGACCCAGTAAGATACTCTGTTTCATGAAAATACTAAAGTTGATATGGTTGAATAGGTAATACTGCTAAGAGTTGAATAGGAAAACTACCTGGCAAGCCATGGGCTATATGACAGCCCATGGACTAGTAGCAATAGGTTCTTCCTTTGAAACCTTCAAGCATGAATTCAGAGTATGTGTGTAAGTGTGTGTGTGTGTGTGTGTGTGTGTGTAAAGTAATTCTATTTCCAGTGTCTAAATACTATTTGCTGCTTTATTAAGTTTTTATTTTCTTAAATCAGGACTTAGTCAAGTATGTATGAAACATCTTTGAAATTTACATATATATGTATGGTAGTTAAGAATTTGTTGTACTTGTGTGTATATATATATGTATATACACAGATATACATATATACATATACATATATATCTATATATGAATGCTAATATTGTTTTCTTTTAATTTCAGGGAGTCTGACAGATGAAGGACAGCAGTATTGTTGTAGGCTAGTAGAAATGAATTCAGAAAGTGGTCCAGGCCTCATTGGCTTGGGCATTAAAGCTTTACGAGACAAGAAGTATGAAGATGCTGTTAGTCACCTAACAGAAGGTAATGTATGGAGTATAATATTTAATATGAAGTGTAGTTACTCAGTCAATCTGGACTACTATTTCAGCCTTCCTATCAGGAGATAAACTAAAGCGAAATGGAAAATGAATATACGTATTCTGGAGCCTGTTTATTAGATTTAAATTTCAAGTCGTAAACTTAAGACTATGGAAAAGTGAAACTTTATGTGTCCCAGTGATTTCCTTTGTATAGTAGTGATACTTTGAGGAAGCCTTGGAAACAGAGAGGCTTAGCAACTCAGGTATGGGGTTTTATTTCTGTTTTTAGTAAACTTATATTCAAGCTGAGATATGACTAACAGAGTGAGGAAGGTAGATGGGGAGTGGGAGGAACATTGTCAGTCAAGGAGTGCATTTGTGGAGGAGCAGAGCTAAGAAGAAACCTGTTCAGGGTAGTTCAGTAAGATTTGAGGATGGAGTGTGGGTCAGGGAGGAATAGGAAGTGAGACTGAGCATGGCCTTGCAGACATTGTTAATGAGCTTACAGTACATCAAGGACAGCAGGAGCCCATGAAAGGCCCTAAGCATAGAAACACAGTAGTCTGGTTTGCATGGGTCTGGAGAGGTAGGTCAGTCTGTGAAGTGCTTGTCATGTGAGCATCAGGACCTGTGGACGACTCCTAGAACCTGGTATTTGTCATTACTTCATCCTAGGCTTGAAAGACATCCCTTTCTGCGTAGCTGCCTGGTGTCATTTAGCTGAAGCCCAAGTCAGAATGCACAGACCCAAAGAAGCTATTCTTTCCTGTGACCAAGGTATTCTTGCTGCACTTTGTGTTTGCATAGAAGGGGACCAATGCTGCTTGCTTTCATCTGACTTGAGCAAGATGTTATTTTTAAAATCAGGGACTTTTGAAGTTTCATGTTAAATTTGTGGTTGATTTAAATTTCACTGAGGAAGATAAATAAATGCCCAATCTGTGAATGCTGCTATTATATTTATTTTTAAGGCGAGGGCTGGGGTACGGATGTCTGCCTTTCCAAAAAGGAACTTTCTGGTGTGTTAACCTTCATGAATTCGTGATGTCATGGATGCAGATGAGGGATAACTCTTTGTTCTCGACCCTTTTAGTTGCTGAACTTTTGTGATTGACAGTCCTTTCTAATCCAGCTTCTTTCCCCTTGCAGTGTCCATAGACAGTCTGTCATAGTTAGGGTTTCTACTGCTGTGAAGAGACATGATGGCTTTGGCAACTCTTACTAAGGAAAACATTTAATTGGGTGGCTTACAGTTGAGAGTTCTGTCCGTTATCATCATGGTGGGACATGGCAGCATGCAGGCAGACGTGGTGCTGGAGAAGAAGCTGAGAGTCCTTCATCTTGCAGGCAACAGGAAGTAGCCTGCCTCCACAATGACACGCTTTCTCCAACAAGATCACACCTCCCATTAGTCTCACTCCATTTGGGGGCCGTTTTCTTTCAAACCACCACATCGTGTCCATTCTAATTCAACTTCTTCCCCTCCCGGTGTCCTTAATTTGCTGGGTGCAGAGGACTAGTAGCCATTGTTATTCTTAAGCACCTTCAATTTTATTCATGCCATGTGAAGACAGAGGTCTTAAATTCATGTGTTTGGTTTCCAATTCAGATCTTTCTAGAAGAATTTGAGAGAACTCTTGTGTCTGAATTTCCATCTCTGTGTGTGTGTGTGTGTGTGTATGTGTGTGTGTGTGTGTAGTATTATGTATTAGAAATCTTGCTCACTGTATCTACAGTGTATTATGGTACTATTTTTTTTAAAGAATCGTTAAACTGTAAGGCTGTCTCTATGCTGTGTGCATGGAAATGCCCACATGCCCACATGTATGGCTTTGTATCATGTTTATGCATTATTGTGGAGGCCAGCTCCCTGGAATGGGAATTGTAGGCGCTTGTGAGCTGCCCTGTGAGTGCTGGAAATCAAACCTGAGACTTTTGGAAGAACAATCAGTGTTCTTAACTACAGAGCCATCTCTCTATTACTGTTGTTTAAAGGTTTTTTTAACACTCGTTCATTTATTTGTGTGTGTGTGTGTGTGTGTGTGTACGTGCACAAATGTGCATGTGCCATGGCATGAGTGTAGAAGTCAGAAGACAACTTGGCAGAATTTGGTTCCCTTCTATCATGCGGTTCCTGGCACTGAATTCAGGTTGCAAGGTCAGGCAAGTGTCACTATCATCCTAGCTGTCTCACTGGCTGTGTCTGTCTCATTCATAAAAAAGCAAGCAAATGCAATGCTGGGCATTGATTCCCATGTCCTCAATCTTGTCAGCACTGAAGAGCATAGATAACCACAGTGCAGCAGGGAGCAGACGTCATCAGAAGAGTCTGTGTCTTCTTCTGAAGGCTGAGGCTTTGCTTAAACTCTCAGACTGTGAATCTTCAGAGGAAGCAATTCGTGTTCTTGATCAGGTGGGTGGTCTCAGTTTTCCTCTCCAGCTTCAGCTTCCAGTCACTAGCTGCCAGCCATTTCTCCCTGCCAAATGCTTACCTTCATAAATTTTGTGTTACAGATAACAAATTCAGTCTGTACACTCTGATAAATCTTCCACACTCGGAAACTACTTGTCTTGGAGTTTCTATGCTGTCAAGAGACACCATGACCACAGCAACTCTTAGAAAACACTTAATTGGGGTGGCTTACAGTTTCAGATTCTTAGTCCATTATCACCGTGGTGGGACATGGTGGCATGCCCGCAGACGTGGTGTCAGGGAAGGAGCTGAGAGTTCTATGTCTTGATCCTTGGGCAACATCTCATGTGAAGACATTCTGTTTTGTATTAGTGCCTATTCTCCCATCTGTTTTCTTAAGGCTTTTGGTGTAATTGAAATTCCTTAGTGAGAAAACATAATGGGCAGATCATGAATTTTAGCAACATGTTTCTTAAAGAATTTTGTCAAATATATTAGTTGGTGCAGTTTTTTTTTTGTCATTGCTTTTTGTATTTCAAAGGGCTTTGCTTTTTCTGTTTTCTTTGAAATTGAAATACCAGCCGCTGTTGGTCTTCTGTAAGAACCCCAAGCAGCTGGCTGGGGTGGTTCACGCCTGTAATCCCAGCACAGAGGCTCAGGCAGAAAGATGGCCATGAGTTCAAGGCCAGCCCGAGTAGCACTGGGAGCCCCGTCTCTAAAAACAAAGAAAACCAAAATCCCAATACCTTCTTTTTCTACTTGTCTGTCCGCAGCATGTATCTTGTACAGATGCTTTTAGATACCTTTCCAGTACCTTTTTTCACACACACAAAAACCATAATGAAAAACTTCTTTAAAATCTGTAAGGGTCCATATCCGAGACACAGAATTTGTAAGTTGAGTGCAAAACATGTTATGCAGAAAGCACAGAAACTATAAAATTATGAACTACAGTAACCAGACATAGGAGCTGCCCAAGGAGGGCAGCAGTACATGTGTTGAGAGAAACACTGTGTTTAGATGTGTTTAGCTTCATGTGTGCATGATGCTACCAAAAAGAAAAACCGATCACAGCAAGCTTGTGAAAGCGTCACGGGCTGATGTGAAGGAACAAACTGGAAGGAGTGAAAGCCTTTATTGTGCCTATCTTACCAGCTGCTCATCGAGACAGCCAAATGGGTGACAAGGGAAGACAAGTTCCTCTTGCTTTCGTATTCCAGGTGATAAGGGAAAGAGCAATGCTTGACTAGAGGCCATTTAGTAATCTTTAATGAATAGATGTAGGCATTGAGGATCAGTGACTTCCACAGAAAAAAAAAAAGATAGTCCACACAACCATGGCCAATACTCATAGCATATTGTTGCTAGGTCAGGTCAAGGGTCTTGCCCTGCCTATTGACGCAGGGACCAGGGAGAATGTCAAGCACCATGAGAACACATTCAGTCAAATCTTGACTTTGTGAAATTGTGACAAATGGCCTGTGTTTTCACAGTTAAATTGTAAGGAAGAAAGCAAGAGAGATCGAAGGGGCCTGTAGATTAAGAGATACTTCAGAGAACTGTCATCTTATTGAGCTATATGTACCTTAGTTGAATTTTGGTTGAAGTAAGTTTTTCAAATTCTTCATGAGGCAACTAGGAACTCTGATGATTTGAAAGCTATATGGCCTGGGAATGGTAGTGTATACCATTTACAAATGACTTTATCTTAAATGTGTATGCTGAAATAGCACAGATGAAAGGTTACAGTTTGTTTTAAATTCGTCTGAAGGGAATGGCAAAACGGTAGGTATATACATGGACAAGCATAGCATTTGAGTTTATATTCTGTAGCTGGGTAATGGGTACAAACAAGGTTGCTACAGTGGTCTTTAATTTTCTCATGTTCCCCCAATTAAATGATTAAAGAGTGAAAATCTGCATAGTAATGGAACTCTTACTATACCCTGTCATACCCTGCCCTTCTCTGTTCTTTAAGCAGAACAGACACCCCTGTAGCTGTCTGGAGAGACTTGTATCAGCTCTCAATCATTTTCTAGGTTTCGGATACAGATAATATCCCAGGACTGCTGGTTCTTCAAGGCCTAGCCCATCTGAACACAGGTGCTATAGACAAGGCTACAAAGGTTGGTGCTTTCTTTCAAATGGGAATTTAGTTCAATGTTACAGTGCTTGCATACAACATGTAAGGCCCTGGGTTTGCTCCCAAGAACCCAAAATAGAATAAAATAAAGTATAAAATAAAAACTAAGCAAAAGCCTCAACTAAAATTAAAGACAAAAGTCATTTCAAAGTATGTTGTATTTTATGTGAATGGGTGTGTCTTGTGCATGTGTGTCTGTGCACCATGTGCCTGCCTGGGCCCTCAGAGACAGTGAAGGGCGTTGAAGATCCTGGGACTGGAGTCATAGATGATTGTCAGCCACCATGTGGATGCTGGGAATCGAACCTGGGTCCTCTGGAAAAGCAGCCAGTGCTCTTAACCACTGATCCATCTCCCCATTTCTTTTTAATGGGATATGGAAATGATAAGTGTCTCCTTGACAGATTATGGAAGACCTTCGAGCTTCTTACCCTGACCTGGCCGAAGTTCCCGCACTTGAGGCTTTGATTCATTTTGCTAAGAAGGACTATCTGCAAGCAGAAGCATGGTGAGGGTTTATAACTCGCCCGTGGCTCCAGTCATATCCCGTCATTTCTTAAAAATTCCACGTGGTCTTGATGAAGTTCCGCTTTTAAATTTGTGGTGTATGTATGTGTGTGTGTTTCACTTGTAGCCTAGCAACTCTACAGTTTTCTGTGATTAATTTCTGATCTCATTAACTGATCATATTGTTTAGTAAGCCAGTGTAATATTGGTATATGTTCTGAACACTTGTAGTGTTAAAACGTCACTGTGCTTCTTAAAGCTTTTCAGTAACACCACTCTTTGCTTATTGTAAATCCTGAAGTAGTGAAATGTTTTAGATTTGGGTATTTTATTTTGGATGTTTTGCCTGTATGTACATATGTGTGCATGTGTATCTAGTACCTGCATAGTTCAGAATGTGGTGTCAGATCCCCAGAAACTGGAGTGACAGTTTTCGGCCTTCATGTTGGTATTTGGAACCCAGGTCCTCTGGAAAAACAGCAGCAGGCTTACCCCTGAGCTGTGGCTTCAGCTCCTAGATTTGGTATTCTTGAGTCTCCTAGCTTGATCGTTCTGTCTTGGAGTCCCTTATGATTTACACACACTTGATAACTTCTCTTCACTCTCCTTTGGTGATTCAGTTTCCAGAGAGCACTTGAGAGAGATGGTGACGTTGCTGAGTATCATTACCAGCTTGGGCTGACATACTGGTTCATGGGTGAAGAGACAAGAAAAGATAGAGCAAAGGCTCTTACCCACTTTCTGAAGGTAAACCAGTGCTACTGCTAAATTCTTTATTAAAGTGGATTTGCTATAAAATTAAATAAGCAACAGAATAGGTATGTAAAATTACTGTTTACTCAAGTATCTTTTTGCAATTCATTTATCATAGAAGAGGTTTTGTGAGAATATTCTGTGTGTTTTCCTAGGTGAAAATTTAAATCATCAAAGTGTAAGTGTCTGTTTCGGGAATGCATGCTATGGAAGTTGAGACATGTTGACTGGGGAAGCGATGCTGTGTAGCTGATAGCCTCTGTAGTTTTATGGGGACGCAAGTCTGGGTTTTTAGCTCCCTGTTTTTATAGATGTTTAACATCTATGTCTTAAATTCTTATTTTCTCAGGGAGCATATTAATTTAACAATGGCTCTAATTTCACATTTGTTTTACCAAAGAAATGCTAGTTTTACCTTGTGTTTGTTTTCTGTAGGCAGCGTCGACCAGCTTTTGTGCCTGTTTTAAATATCACACTAAAGGACTTTTGGCATAATTTTATACTTTTAATAAAATAGTTTCTTTTATCAGTGTACTATATCCTTAATATGCATTGAAATAAACTTGTAACATTCCATTGTCAACATTTATTTCCAAGGCTGCAAGACTGGATACATACATGGGTAAAGTTTTCTGCTATTTAGGTCATTATTACCGCGATGTAGCTGGAGATAGAAACAGAGCCCGCGGATGTTACAGGAAAGCTTTTGAATTAGATGACACCGATGCTGAGTCTGGAGCAGCAGCTGTTGACCTAAGTGTGGAACTTGAAGACACGGTCTGTCTCATGACCACTTCTGTCTCTTAGCCTTTTACTCTATTATGTAAATGGGAATGTTTTTGTAATATATTTACTTGAAAGTTATGTTCATTATTCTTTTAGGTAAAATGGAAATATCTTTGTACTCATTTATAAACTACAGTTTCTTCTCATTGGTAGACACTAAATTACTTGTCACTTTTCTGTGTGTACTTTTATATGGCTATGCATATGCATGCATGGCATTCATATGGGTACATGTGCATGGGTGTATATGCCTGAGGTCAGCGTCATGTGTCCTTTCTTGGGAACTTTCCACATTGACTTCCTGAGAGGCTGTTCACGGAATCTGAAGCTCATTGTTCTGGCCAGGCTAACCATCCAGTGAACTTCCCAACCCTACTGCCTGGTGCTGGGGTTCCGGGAACATCCCCAGTCATCCTTTTACATGCACTCTGGAGATCTGGGGGTCCGACCTCAGTCCTTGTGTTTGTGTGTCAGGCACTGCACCAATTGAACCAAGTCCCTAACCCAGACTTTTCGTTTATTATTAAAACAAATTTGTTTTATGTATGTCATTGTAGAAGTAAAAAATATCAGAAGTGGGAAATGAAAGTGTTTGTGTGTTTTGTGTAGTTGTTGTGTATTTTTGTGTTTGGGGTCCTGACACTGATGTCTCCTTGTCAGGAAACCGCGTTAGCAATCCTAACAGCAGTAACTCAGAAGGCGAGTGCTGGAGCCGCGAAGTGGGCCTGGCTGCGGCGAGGACTGCACCACCTGAAAGCTGGCCAGCACTCTCAAGCCGTGGCTGAGTAAGGCGTCCTGCTACATTCACATCGAATGATGTGGTGCACGTGACCTTTGTAAATAACCGCTAGCCAAGATGCATTCTGAGAGAATCATAACAAAATGTACTGTGATTAATTTGTCGCTTATTGCCTGCAAGGCAGTAGAATTGAATGTGGACTAAGCTAAGTACTATTTTTGAGGAGTTAGCCCGTTAAGTCTTAGTTGGCATCATATTGCAATAGGTCCCCTCAAGAGACATTTCACTAATAAAAAGCTGAGGTCTTTGATGTTATACTACCACGTGTTGGTGCTGACCTTGGCAGCAAGGGAGACTTTGGCAACTTGAAGGAGTTTTTGGAGAGGCTCATGTTTGATTGATTTTAGTCATTTTGTTTGAACTGTATTTCAGGGGAAAAATATAACTATATCAAGATAAAGTCATCTCTGATGTATGTTAATTTCTAGGATGTATATACTCTTATTTTTTCATAAAATGCAATTTGATCAGAAGTTTAAGCATCCCCCTCACTCCTGCAGTTCAGGTGTCTAGAGGAGGAGTGACAAGTTAAAAACAGATGTCTACCTCTTCTGGTGGCATACACAACTGGAGGTCTGCCAAGTAATAAAGAAAAAGAAGCTACGGTCAACATTTCCCCCAAAGAACATTTTAATCTTATCTTTAAAAATCATTTCACAAGATCTTCCTGTTAAAAACATTCAAATCATAAAAGAAATAGGAAGACCGCCTTAAATATCATTTTTACAAATCAAAGGATTTATGGATGGTTTAATTGGATTACTTATTTTAGATGAGGATGTAGTTCTATTACCTTTAATTTTCTCACTGTTTCTTAATTGTTAAGTTTGCAGGCAGCACTGAGGGCAGACCCAAAGGACTGCAATTGTTGGGAAGCCTTAGGAGAGGCATACTTAAGCAGGGGCGGCTACACAACAGCCTTGAAGTCTTTCACAAGAGCCAGCGAGCTGAACCCCGACTCCACGTACAGTGTGTTTAAAGTAGCAGCAATACAGCAAATCCTAGGCAGGTATACCGAGGCCATCACTCAGTATCAGCTGATCATTAAAAAGAAAGAGGATTATGTGCCCGCCTTGAAAGGTAATTTTTTTTCAAGAGTTCTTTTCTTAATTTTATAATACTGAGCTATAAAACCCTCAAACTATTTAACACGAGTAGGTATTAAATAGTTTTAAAAGCATGTAGTCAATAGCAAATATCTGACAAGAATTTCTTATTGTACAACTTAATATTGATTTGACTATAAAAATACCAATTTTTGTTTCCTAACAGTTTGTAAATAGTAATATGGTAGCTATTAGACAAATAGAACAAAAGCTATTGGGTCCCAAATAGATCTTCCAAGCAAATTTCTATGTTTTAGTAATTTTAAATTATATTCCCAGAATAGGCTAGTAATTATAATTTTTTATTTAATAATTTTTTATTAATGTTATGAAAACTTAAATTATTTTTAGATTCAATTTTCTTTGTTTTGTAATTAAGCTGATTTTAGGTCCTCTTTCAGTAGCCCTTCCTTCCTAACCCTGTTTTTAACTATATAAGGAAAAACACCACCTATAATTTAAGTTTTTGAGACTTTGTGTTTGTTTGTTTTTGGATGTAGTGAACTTTATTGATTTATTCAACAGAGTAGGGCTCCCTGAGCTCCTGATATTATTCTGGGGTCTTGGATGGACACTGTGAGGGAGATGCTCCAGGGCCTCTCTCTTTCTGGGGTGGGTGGTACAGGGTGGGCTTCTTACTCCTTGGAGGCCATGTAGGTCTTGAGGTTGACCACCCTGTTGCTGTAGCAGTGTGCATTGTCACACCAGGAACTGAGCTTTGCAAAGTTGTCATTGAGAGCAATGCCAGCCCCAGCATCAAAGGTGAAAGAGTGGGCGTCACTGTTAAGTTCACATGAGACAACTTGGTTCTCGGTGTAGCCCAGGACGCCCTTTAGTAGTCCTCTGATGCCTGCTTCACTACCTTCTTGATGCCTTCATACTTGGCGGCTTTCTCCAGGCGGCATGTCAGATCCATGACGGCTCAGGTGGCTGACTCTGCTGCATTGTTCCTTTCTCATTGGTGTCTCTGGATCAGGTGTTTCTTTGTCAGCAGTCTCTGGGAGTAGAGGCAGGCTTGGCTCAGGGATGAAGTGCATGACACACATGCCCATGCAGGCTGGCTTGGGCCCTGGGAGAAGGTGACTGCAGTTTGGGTAGGCTGACTGCAGTTTCTCCTACATGTCTGCCCCTCCCTCCCTCCTTTTTTTTTTTTCTAATTTGGCTTAGTGGGAGTCAGAGTTCTAGCTTTGGCCTTGTCCCTGCCTCAGAGAGCATCCAGCGTGCCTGTCTTAGGTTGACCTGCCTTGTGGTCCTTATCTGTCACTGACTACCAGCCCTCAAAGGATGACATTTCTGGGAAGCTCGCCGGGGTGGGAGGAGCACCTGTCAAACTGATGTGTCAGGAATTTCTGTGAGCCAGGCCCAAGAGGCCTCCCAAGGAGGGCCACGTTCTGGGTGTTGAAGTGCCATGAGAACCTGGAGTGTGGAAATACATTGTAGGAGCATAGCAACAATGTCCCCTTTGCTAGAACTGCAGGAGCTCTGGTTATCCGGCTTCCCAACATGGCAAATGTGTTCACTCTGACTTCACCATTGTGTCTCAGGGACAAGGCCGGCCCAGCACAGAAGGATGCGCCTGTCTCTGAAACAGGGAGGAATATGGAGTCAAATTTTTGAGATTGTGTCTTACCCTTTCATACTATATATGCTACTATATAGGCTCTTCTATTTGCTTCTTATGAAAGAAACCATTGAGGCTCCAGTTGTTAGTATTGTATGTTTGGAGTAACATACAGCTTAGACCTGGAATCATTTTCCTTTTCTATCCCTTCCTCTCTTCTTTCTTCATTAATAAAACCTTCCTCAAGAGGAAAAATAACTCCCTTTTATGAAGTATTTCCTGGCACTTGAGGAATTTACTACTTCATTTAGTTTTTACTGTATAGTTTGCTACACAGGTTTTAATGTAAATGATTAAATACTATTTTTAATCCAGTTAAATCCATCTGATAGTGAGCACTAGTGTCCCTAGTTTGGAAGCTGACATCTGAGGACATTAATTAATCCATGGTCAAGAGAATTTTGTGCAGATGACTTCCTGTGAGTTTTAATGCATGTTGATTGCAACAGAACCTTGACATTGGAGATATTTTCTAAATGTGTCAAGACTGTATTTAGAAATAATTTTATAAAATAACACTTTGTTGTTTTCTGGAAGCTTTCTCAAAAGACTCAAATTGACTCTCTTCTTTGTCTATTTTAATGATGTGCATAAACCCCCCTCACCGCAGGTTTGGGCGAATGCCATCTGATGATGGCGAAAGCAGCCTTAGTGGATTTTCTGGATGGAAAAGCTGTAGACTATGTGGAAAAAGCACTGGAATACTTTACTTGGTTAGTATCACCTTTGTTTAGCACTGTTATTTTCTTGGTAGTATAATAAAGCCAAATTTAGAATGTAATTGTATGTCTCTGCTGTTAGACGTTAGAGTAGTTCTGTAGCATACAAACTACTAATTTTATCCCTGAGCTGAGAAAGAGATGTTTCTGTGCCCTCTGTAATGGCCCCGTGCTGCCGAGAGGAGGGGGCATGGCCACTGGTGGGGCAGCAGCTCCATTGAAGCCGTCTTGGAGCCTGACCTGGGCCTGGGTCCTCTCTGCTGGCACTGAGAAGTAGAGCTTCAGACACAGGTGCCTTTCATTCATCAGTGAGACCTGGTAAGGGCGTGTCTAATGAGAAAAGAGTCAGGGAGATTTAAATGTAGCACGCTATAGAGGTACAAAGTATTATATGTGCTGGATGACTTTAAAAAGCCCACATATTATGCCGGGCCGTGGTGGCGCACACCTTTAATCCAGCACTGGGGAGGCAGAGGCAGGCAGATCTCTGTGAGTTCGAGGCTGGGCTGGACCGACAGCCTCCAAAACAACACAGAGAAACCTTGTCTCGTAAAAACCAAAAAAAAAAAAAAAAAAAAAGCCCACATATTAGGGATTAGGGAGATGCTCTGCAGGGAAGAGCAGTTGCTGCTGGGCAAGCCTGAGGACCTGATTTTAAACCCCCAAGGCTGCACACGTGCCTGTAACTCTGGTGTTTTGGGAGAGAGATGAGAAAATCACTGCCTTCAGGTTTAGTGAGACATCTACCATCTTTCAAAGAGATATGACAGAGAGGGATAGAGCAGGGCAGTTGGTGACCTCTATACTCACGTGCACCCCCTGTATTCATCTGCCACCCCACCTCAGTGGCAACAGTGAGTCTATAGATTGTCTGGGGCACAAGGGTGCATATGCCTGTTCCTAACCTCTTAGGAAGCCAAGGCAAGAGGATAGCGACTTCAGAGACAGGCTCAGTACATCTCAACAGCAACTGTATCACTGAGCTGAATTCCCAGCCCTGATTTAAACAAAAATTAACGTTGAAAGATATGAATTTGGACGGTTAAGATTGCTACTGTTTTCTTCTTTCTCGTTTCAAGTGTCAGTTTTAGAAATCTTACTAAGAAATTTAAAGGAACTGAGGGATAATGTCCTTCCTTCTGACTCTCACAGTGGGTGGGTTTTCAGCAGTGACTGTGGTAATCAGTGCTTCTCAGGAAGACGCTGGGAAATAGATTTTGGCTGGACTCCTGTTGCAGAAAAGGCTATGAGAACGCCCCATGCTTGTGTCTCCTGTGACACCGCAGTGTATAGTGGCTGACTGTCGAGTCCTGGCCTACACAGAGATGCTCTGAGGAAGGCGGCGAGAGGCGTGCAGTGCTCACGCTCTCTCTAAAAGGAGCCAGCCCTTTGCGTGTCTCCTCAGACCCTGTGTACTCTTTGAGTTCTTTATCCAGGCTGCTTTTACTTGCTCCTGAGGGTAGAGCTTTAGATTTTCTTGTTTAGAGTTTTTTTTTTATTTATTTTTGTCCTCAGTGAAAATCCTGTGCTCTACCAAGTATAGTTGGTACAGATATAGTTGATACATTGTTTAGTCTTTTCTAATGTTTTTATTTAATTTAGAAACAATTTTATTTTACATATCAATCCCAGTTCCCTCTCCTATCCTCCAGTGCCCCCCACAACCTTCCTCCCAGCTCCCTAATCCCCCATCCACTCCCCCAGGGAGAGTAAGGCCTTCCATGGCAATCAACAAAGTCTGCCACATCATTTGGGGCAGGGCTTAGGCCCTCCCCCATGTATTTAGTCTGAAAGAGTATCCCTCCATGGGGGAATGGGCTCTCAAAGCCCATTCGTGCACTAGGGGATAAATACTGGTTCCATTGCCAGAGGCCCCATAGACTGCCCAGGCCTCCTAACTGTTGTCACCCACGTTCAGGGGGTCTGGGTCGGTCCTATGGTAGTTTCCCAGCTATCAGTCTAGGGTCTATTAGCAACCCTTGTTCAGGTCAGGTGTTTTTGTGGGTTTTCCCATCATGGTCTTGACGCCTTTGCTCATCACTCCTCCTTCTCTACAACTGGATTCCAGGAGTTGGGCTCAGTGTTTAGCTATGGATCTCTGCTTTTGCTTCCAGCAGCTCTGTGATGGCATTTAAGGTAGTCATCAGCCTCATTACAGGGGAAGGGCATTTAACGTAGCCTCTCCCCTATTGCTTAGATTCTTAGTTGTGGTCATCCTTGTAGATCTCTGGACATTTCCCTAGTGCCAGATTTCTCTTTAAATCTATACTGGCTTCCTCTATTAAGGTATCTCTTTTCTTGCTCTCCTCTGTTCATCCTCAGACTCAATCTTCCTGATCCCTCTTGTTCTCCTCCCCCCTCCTCTTCTTCCCTCCTTTCTCCTACATCCCTCCTCCTTTCCTCCTCTCCTGTGCCCCCAATTTGTTCAGGAGCTCTTGCATTGTTTAATCTTTTCAGGGGAAGTTCAAAGACATAAGCTTTTATAACAAAAAGTCCCTGCATTGATTATTGATTAACCAACAAAAGGCACACCTTTAGATCCCTGGTATTGAAAATACACTGAAACAACAGAAACAGAATTGCCCTAAACTAGTTCTCAAGTGTTTTCTAATAATTATGGTGAAAATATCTGAAGAAAAACCGAAAATTTTCCTACCAACTAAAATACTCAGTTCCTGGCTCTTTTTCTAGATTTTTTTCCTCTTAGTGAGGAGGTGGTAGAGTATAGTTCTGTTAAGTGCTCAGTGAGACATGCAGAGAGAGCCTGACTGAACGCATTGCTCTCAGCCAGGACTGCTGTTGTAGTCCTGAGAGGCATGCAGCTGAGCTTTTGGACATCATTTGGAAAGTTCCCATTTCTCCTTGCAGGGCACTGCAGCGTCAAGCTGATGTGTCCTGCCTCTGGAAGCTTGCTGGGGATGCCTGCACCAGCCTGCATGCTGTCTCACCGTCTAAAGTGCACGTTCGTGTCTTAGGAGTGCTTCTTGGCCAGCAGGAAGGAAGTGAAGCATTGAAGAAAGATGAGCTCCTGCATCTAGGAGGAAGGTGATTCACAGAGAATACCAGTCATTCTGTTAGAGTTGAATTAGAACATTCTATTTTAAAAACATCCTTACCATTCATTTTAATTTTTCCACAGGTGTTATGGTCGGGCATTAAAGTTGATGTCTACATCTAATACATGGTGTGATCTTGGAATTAACTATTACCACCAAGCACAACATCTAGCAGAGACAGGCAGCAGCACGGATGGCCTTACAGAGCTACTGGAGAAATCTGTGCATGTAGGAGAAATTTCTCATGAACTTAAAAACACAGCGATTTTATGAAAGATGCTTTTGATAAATATTTTGTTTTAACATTAAACCACGTTTTTAATATAAATGTTGATATTCAAGAAATAAAAATTGACCTACTTTAACTTCTTTTCAGTGTTTGAAAAAGGCAGTGAGACTGGACAGTAATAATCACTTATACTGGAATGCTCTTGGTGTGGTTGCATGTTACCGTGGTGAGTAACACTTATTTTACTTTACACGGTATTTGTTTTCAGGTGATAAAGTTTGGTTGCTTAGATTCTTTATGTTTCAGGTATTGGAAATTATTCTCTTGCTCAACACTGTTTCATCAAATCGATCCAGGCAGAACAAATTGTAAGTGTTCCGTGTATCTACAAAAGAATTGCAAAATTCATTGTACTAGTTTTCTTTTCAAAGTAGTTCATTTAATTTGTTTAATTTGTGAGTGAGTACGGTGTGCATGTGCCATGGAACGCTTATAGACATCAGAGGATTGCTTTCAGGAGTTGGGTCTCACCTTGCATCGTGTTCATTTATTTATTGTGTGTGTGTGAATGTGTGTATGTGGTTGTCAGGGCAGCTTTGAGGAGTTTAGTTTATTCTTTGCCATTTCACACATGTCCATAATGTGTTTTGATCATACACAACTCGCTCTGCTCCTCTTCCCACTCACTCTGATCCCATCATCTCCCCAGCAGGTCCCCTTCCCACTTAATGCCTTGATTTTTGTTTTTTAAAGTGAACTACTGAGTTTAATTGGGTGCTTGCCTGATCATGGATGTGGGGTTATTTGCTGTGTATGGACAAGTTAGCAATAGCCACACCATTGAAGAAGGACTCCCCAGTCTCTGTTAGCTGCTTAGCTGGTGTGGACCCTGGTGAGCTCTTTCCTGAGCTGTGGCAGCAGGCTGAGCTTCACCCTTGTGCAGGTAACCATGCCTGCTGTGTTCATGAGTGCAACAGCCAGCCAGCAGTGTTGTGTTTACAAGACGTGAGTGAGCACTGGTCCCCAGCCCGCAGCTCCTATGTGCTTTCTGCTCTGTCTTCTGAGGTGTCCCCCAACCCTTGGAGTGTGTGACCAGCGAGGAGTGTTTGCATTATCTGCTCTACACTGTGAAAAGAAGCGTCTCTGAGTGAGGCCTATTTTTTAATATATCTTTTAGAATGCTGCCGCATGGACCAACTTAGGAGTGCTGTACCTTGCTACAGAAAACATTGAGGTATCATTATTAGTTTCAATATGTTAAAAATGAAGAGTGTTTTCTACATAGGACTTTGTGGAAAAATATTTTATGTATTTTGTTCAGTATGTCAAATATACTAGCTAATTAATGTCATTTGTTTCATTATGTTGAGTAACGAATATGTAATATTTGTATTTTCCTTTCATGAAATTTCTGGTATTACATTTATGTATACTTTTTTCTTCTTGGAGACAGCATTTGTCTGTGTAGTCCACACTAGCCTTGAACCCACTATGTAGTAGCCATCTTCTTACTTCAGCTTTTTATAGATGAAAACAATTCTCTTATTAATGAATTTGGCAACAATATAAATATAAGAAAAGTTCTTTGTATGCAGTGTTTATCTGGATGAATGAAGGTAAGAGAGACAATTAGTGTTTTTTTAATATCTTAAATTTAGCATTTGGTTTTGTGATTTAGAATTTGGCTTCAGCAAATATTATTGCCGTTAAATATCCCAATGAAATTCCAGTTGAGTAGCTGGAACCTAGTTCCTGGAATCATGTTCATAGGCCATATTTGAGAAGTCTCCACACGTCTAAGTGCCATTATCTTTCCTGTTTATTGGTTTAGTCAATGTGCTGAATCTTATCCTTCGATAAAGAACCCTCCATAATATTCTTGAGGATACATTAATCACTCACTGCAAGAATGATCAACCTTGGAAGATTGTAAATGCAATGAAAGAAATTCTTAAATTAGATCTAAAGATATGTGAAGTGTGTAACTGTAGCTCAGTAAAAATGTACACACACTTAGTGTGGGCAAGGCTGAGGCCGAGTCTCAGGACCACTGGGCACAATTGTTGTTCATAAGCTTTCTTTTTCCTAAACTAAAGTCTCTTTCCTTACACCACGTGGATTATCCTGAAACAGTAGAAAGCAGTATGGAGCAAGTGTGCTTTTGTTGTTGTTTTTTTAAAGCTGGTGCGTATGAGCTTATGGTTGAAGAGAGGTATTGTTAATGCTTCTTGACTGCTTTTTATGGAGTTGTGTTATTAATCTCTCTTTCTCCAGCAGCAGGGCCCAGAGCTCCAGCTTCATTGGTTGTGAGTTCTTATTTCCTCAAAAAAGGGGGAATAGATTCAGCCTTATTTAATCATTTCTTTCACATGTAGTTAGCATATGGTATGTGATTATTTAAAAGTTCTGCAGACTAGGTGATAGAGAACTATAATATTAGTTTGCAAGGGACCAGAGCTCTTAATCTGAAGAGAAATCTGTTGCACACAGCAACAGCTAAAATTATAGCTAAAGCAAATCCAGGTATTACTAATTGTGGTTGAACAATGAAATTTTTTATTTATGTATATTCACAACATGTTTGGTCTCTCTTATTTTATGCTTTTTAAACAATTGAAGTTTATGAGATTGCTTGATGTGATATTTTCTTGTTTGTTTTTTGTTTAGCAAGCTCATGAAGCTTTCAAAATGGCTCAGTCCCTTGATCCATCTTATTTATTGTGCTGGATTGGACAAGTAAGATAACAGTTGTTAATAAACATCAATATAAAATAACTTCATATTAGTATTAATGATTTTAGTGATCACAAATAATAATGATATCATTGAGAACTTGCTACATGCCAGTCATTGTGCAAAGAATCTATTTTAGTTAATGTGTTATCAGTCTTGGTGGTGTGGCTATTGTTACACTCTTTAAAGATGTAGAAATTTAAACTCAGACATCCTAAATACTGTGTCACAGCTGGCAGTGATTAAACTTTGAATCCCATGAATCTGATTATTACTTTGACTAAAAAATATACCTAGAACTCCTATTAAACTTACATTTGCAAAGACAGTGTATATTTACAAAGGTCATTTAACCTGTTGTTTTGTAATTTTCTATAAAGTCTTCATATTGGGTTGTGCATTTATGACCATTTTCTCTTTATGTTTAGATTTATGTACTGCCAGATAGAATCGGGTTAATGTTACTAGTCTGGGTCTGTCACTGATTATTTACTGCAGTCATATCACCTGAAACCCTGAATGCCTTGTCTAGTGGAGAAAGTTGATGAGTTGCTAAGTGGTTCAGCAACAATAGGAGCATCTCATGTATCAGAACTGTTAGTCAAAGATTGGGTATGTCTTACTGAGCTTTGGTGTAGTTCAAGTTGTGTGGTAGTGCAAGCAGATAGCTCGACAGCTTCCTGTCAGTGGCACATGGGAGCAGGGCATCTCTGCACTGTCCTCTGTGCCAGCTATTAGACAGGGACACTGGAGTTTGCACTTCTGTCTGACGTCAGAATCTTATGACGTAACTGTTCCAGGGTACTTTGCTCTAGGTTAGGAAGCAATATTGTTACCTACATTGTAAAATGTTTTCTGTTTTCAAAGTATTTTGTTCTTAAAATAATTATCTTAGGATACAACTCACAGTTATAGTTAAAAATGGTAGCACTGGAAGTGAAACTAACTTTGCTTTGAATCATGAATAGTAAATCTCTGGTTTTTCTAGAACCATTTATTACCATTATTTTTATTTCTTTTAAATTAATGGAAACCTTTTAAATTAAAAATCCTTTTAACAGGCTCTTATTGCAGAGACAGTTGGAAGTTATGATACCATGGATCTCTTCAGGCACACTACAGAGCTCAGCATGCATGTAAGACTCGATTGTTTCTCCTGAGAATTCATTAGTGGGCAAAGTATGCTATCTTAGGATCAGATAAATTGTCTTTACCTAGAACTTGCTTTCATCTTCAGTGTTTAAGCTAATAAAAAATGACAATGAGATTACAAATTTTATTTATTTATTTTTATGTATATGGGTGTTTTGCTGGCATGTATATCTGTTCACCAAGTATGTGCCTAGTGTCCATGGTGGCCAGATGGGGGCATTGGAACTCTTGGGACTGAAGTTACAGACAGGTGTGAGCTGTCATGTGAGTGATAGGAAGTGGGCCTGCATCTTCTGGAAGAGCAGCCAGTGGTCTTAACCATTGAGCTGTCTCTCCTGTCCTCCACATTGAGATTTAGTGCATGTAATAAGAGTATTATGGAAGACAAATTGATACATAAGAAAAAAATAGACATGAGTTGAAGGATGGCTTTAGTTGATAATCTAGACTGAAAAGACATTGAATTAGTTTGTTTTAACATGTGGGAATGGTCTGAGAAGGGGAAAACCAGCCCATCTGGAAAGCCTCTGTTTTCTACTTTTTGTTGTATTTGATTTTACTCAGAGTTAGGGAAGTGATTTTTAAATTGATCTCAATAGGTTTGTTGCTATTGTTTTGCTTTGTTTTATCATGGCTGCTTTTGTTAAAGTTACTTAAAGAAGACTAAACTTTGATACTATTGTTATTGAAATATTTTATTTGTTAGTTTTATTGAAATATGGATTGTCATAAGTTTCCTTTGTATTTTCAAGACTGAAGGAGCCATAGGTTATGCATATTGGGTTTGTACAACATTACAAGACAAAAGCAACAGAGAAACAGAACTGTACAAATACAACATCCTCCAGATGAACGCTGTCCCTGCAGCACAGGGGGCTCTGTGTAAATACGTGGGTAAGATACCTATTGTATATAGCACAATAGTAGACCACTGAAGTATGTAAATACGTCGTAAGTGAGATACCTATCATATATGGTACAATGTCAAATGGATACATTTTTAAATTTTCCCATCTCGTGTTAGATATCAGTGCTCTTTCAGGTGTTAACTTGCCTTTTTGTTGCTACTTGGAAGGACTGCAATTTTTCAGTCAAAGTCATGCCTCTGGAAGAGGGACTAAACTCACTTTATTATTTACTGAGTCAAGATTTCTTTGAAATAATGGAAGTGTGTTAAAAGTTATGGTTCTGGGTTGCTGCTACAGTGGCTCCTCTGTTTATTTCCATTACAGTTTGTGGGCTGGATATTTTACTTTCCTTAACTTGGGTTTCATTTCTGGGGAGAGAAGATCACAATTCCCAGGTTGTATAGCTAGGGGAATTAGACAAGATAATACATACAAGATGTCAATCCCATACTAGTGATTTTAACCTTTCCTGTTAACTCCTGATTACCCTATAAGATATTGCAAACATATGTGTTTATGTTTAGGAAACTGGCAGAATGGTGAGGTTTATTAGCTTTCCCTGGTAATAATTTCCTGTCTTTAAAACAGAACCGTCACTGAGTCTTTATCTCTGCCTCACTACTTAGTCATTGTTGAGTCCTCGGGCGTACTATACAACTGAATGTTAGTTTCTTACCTGTGATATGAAAGACAAAGTGCCCGTGACTTAGGATTTCAGTGAGATGAGTTGTGCACAGTATGAAGCTGAGTTCTTGGCAGTGGTAGTCATAAAAGAAACCAACAGCTGAATAATATGAAGTAAAAATGGCTTGGCCCAAGTATTGACAAGTCAGTTCTCTTGTGCATTCGTGTAAGCCACCTGTGAAGAAGGTACTGAGTGTACTGGCATCGGCACTCTGGGACATTGTTGTTTGTCTATTGGAGTGTGCTGACATGAAGGGCACTGATAAATCACCAGAGATGAGGACATGTCCACTCAGAAACCTTATTCATGTATTTCCTTACTTTATAAGCAACTTAAAGGATTTACCTAAAGAGGTAAAGCTTTTAACAAAATGCAGATATCTAAAACGATGAACACTTTTTTTAACAATTGTGCATAGCTGTTTTTTAAATGGTGGAACCATTTTCATAGACTCATGTAAGTGCTGTGTACTTGGCCAGAAATACTAACAAAGCAGAACAAAAGAAGAGATGCTGATAAGAAGATTCAGAACATCCCTGTCTGTCTCACTTAGTTTGCATTAATAGACCATGGTGGATAGAGCTTCTAACTCTTTTTGATGGTTTTGTGATCCTATAAAGTGACCTTTGCGACTTAGGAATGATTTATTGACTATGATGTTAGGCATACACCTTACACTTACACACATTATACTCTGATGCTATATTACCAGCCATCACATAGATTCCCATCTGTGGTGTATTTGTTAGACAGCATGGGGATATGAAAGCCTGCTCTATAATATTAGCTTTAAGTAACTAGGGGAGGCATGTTTTTCTTTGTTCATTGTAGATATGTAATGCACTTCCAATATAAAAATTGTAAAATACTATATTGAAAGTACCTAGGTCCATTTCTCTGGTGGAAGTACTGAATTATTTTTTTAGAATATATAGTTTCAAATAGAACCACCAAGAGAAAATCGTTGCTAATTTAAATCATAGGAAAGAAGTTTAATTGATTAGCCAGGAAACTGTATGAAATGCTTTAAAAACTAATTTAAAAATTGCAGAATCCTGAATTTCTTTATAAATGTCATAACTAGTTTTTACTGAGTTATAATTTCAAATAATTTTACCTAAAACACTTGTGTTTGGTTTATTTTAAACAAAACATGAAAAAAAATATGTTAAGATTAAGCAAACCCATCACATCAAGGCTGGACAAGGCAACCCAACAGAAGGAAAAGAGCCCCAAGAGCAGGCATGAGAATAGAGACCCAGTCATTCACACACTCAAGAGTCCCATACAAACACTAAGCCAAAAGCTATAATGTATACATGGGGGACCTACTGCAGTCCCTGTAGTCCCTGTGTGCTGCTCCAGTCTCTGTGAGTGCATGTGAGCCTGCTTAGTTGATTTAGAGGGCCTTGTCCTCCTGGTGTCCTCTATCTCCTATGACTCTTACACTGTTTCTTCCTCTTCTGCAGGGTTCCCTGAGCTCTGAGAGGAGTCATTTGAGGGAGACATTCCAATTAGAGATGTATGCTCCAAGGACTTAAAGAAACAAACACTTAAATTATACAATATAACTAGAAACCACATATAATTCTTTAATACTATTCAGTGATTTAGAAGAATTATCCCATGATCACTGGTATTTTCAAGATAAATTAGTCCATTATTCTTAATAATACCATTAATCTCAGTAGGTAATCTCCTGTTTTGAGATACTGAAACAAAAAGAATTTTACTGTTATTTTTGTGTATATAGTTATACACATACAAATTAAACATATTTGTTAATTTCCAGAAAGAGTTCCAAATTACGCTCCAGCTTTCACAATGTTGGGTTATTTAAATGAGCATCTACAGTTAAGAAGGGAAGCAGCAGAGGCATACCAAAGGTAGGTGTGCTCCTGGACAGCACTCACTGTCAGCGGTATTCAGTTAGAGCTTAGTCTCTCTGCCAAAGAACCACTGTGATGCTTCTCTCCTTTCCCAGTTCTCATCGCGTTACCTTGTAGAAGGTGAAAAGATGAAGTTCCACATTGTTGGCTCTAGTGTGGGTTCCATTAGCTAGGGAACGGGGAATAGAGAAGGGCATAAACCAAAACCTCATAGGTTCTGTTATAGAAAAATCTATCCCCCATAGTCACATAAGAAACAACAACATGAGTATTTACTCGACTTACTTTATTATCTATGAGGTATGTCTGCTTGTTGATAAATGTTTGTTGGATACTTCGTACCTAGCAGTGTCCTTGCATGAGAAATGTAGGGAATTACAACAGACAGAGGCCCTTTTCTCATGGAACTCCTCAATGCGAGATACTCAGTAAGCTAATAATATCTGGTTCCTAAAAGTTGCTAAGGAAGAATTAAAATAGTATCCAGGGTCCGAGAATCTGGAAAGATGCATTCAGATAGAGTGAGAGCAAGTACTTCCTAACAGAAGTAGTTTGCCATAGTTAACAAACAAAACCCCAGTGTCCTAGAGTGGAGTGATGTCCTGAGATCCCTCTACGGTAATGGTAGGTAAATATGAAAATAACAGTTGATCTCATGAGTAACTACTAATAAAGGTTGGAAGAGCCAATTGCCTAGCTTTAAGGCACCGCTCCTTCAGATGTAGGTGGATATTTAGAAGATACCTGGTCAAGTGTGAAGAAGTGCCCCAAATACTTACTACATCCTTCTGTGGATTCTCATGTAGTTCAAAGGAGTGTCACTAGATGGTACTGGAGGCTACATAATGAAGTTTTGTTTGTGTTTTTCTTCCCCAGGTGATGGAGGGAGGGTTATAAAAAACACAATTTTCTTCTTAGAGTGTCAATAAACTTAGAGTAAATAAAATGTAGACTATAACAGTTAACACATAAGACAGCTTACTTTGTATGCTACCTTTGTGTGTGTTGTTGTTATTGTAGAAATGCTGAACTCAACGTCTCCGTACTGCAGGCTTAAAGTAGCAACTCCACAGCCACAAAAGAAACGTATACTCACCACAAAAGCTGTGTTACATGTTATGATACTTGCTGCCTGAAACACAAATAGTGCATAAATTCAACCAGAAGTGTAGTTTTTACTCTCTCGCGTTTTTTAACTGTAGATTTCATATCATACACCCAATCACACTCATCCTCCTGTCTCTTCATATACTCCCTTTGCCCTTGCAACCTCCCCACCCCCACAACATAAAGACAAAAACAAACAAAAATCTCACCATGGAAGCTGCAGTGAGTCACACAGTATACACTTTAGTTCATGCATCTTTATTTGCAAATGTTCGTTGCAATGAGTCATTGGTCTGGCTCTAGGCCTCTGGCTCCTGCTGCACTGTCAATATTAGATCTTCCTTCACTCTTGGATATCCTTTTGCTGCCCTGTTTCATGGAGGTCCAGTAGCTTTGATCTGCAGGACTGGCCCCTTCACTTGTTACAGCAGTTAAGAAACGGGGTGAATGTTGGGGTGGGCTCATAGCGCGTTGCCCTGTTCCGGGCCAGGTGTTAGCTGGGTTTGTTGGCCCACCTGCTCTCCCTCATCCTCACCACTGGGGGGAGTTCTCAAGCTCTGCCCTCGCTAGTTCACCCAATGCCCCAGGCAGCAAGAGCAGGACCAGTTCCACTCTCATACCCTCCAGGCCACCTCTGTAACATTTTATGCTTCCTGAGCAAATTGTGGTTTTTGTGCAACCTCATGTAGATAAAAAGACTTTCTTGGGTATTTCTCCTGGCTGATGTCTTTAGCGAGAAAAGAAAGAAACCATTAACAAAAGCTCTTAGCTTTTAGGACATTTCCCTCCTTGCCTATAGAGAGCACAGTGTAAGAAGAAAGCGTTGGCTTTAGCTCTTGGTAAATGGATTCTAAGCCTAGAGGAATCTCTCATCTTTTCCCTTAATGCATTGCCTTTTAGTGTTTCTGTGTGGACAACCTCAGAGAGCATTCAATTTTCTGCCTTCCTACATGAATATTTTCAAGAATGTCTTCTGTAAAATTTGGTGTGTCAAAATAGAACATTGATGTGGTCATTGCCTGTGCTTAGATTACAAATTTTAGAATATTTACAACTCGCATGCAATATTAAATGGTGTATGAAAAAACGAGATTATTTTTTACTGATAACCTAAAATTTAAATATATTTAAGTGCCTTTGTGGTGTCAGTGTACTGGAATATAAACAGCAGTAAAGAGTTAGTAGAATTGAAAGACTGTAAATCCTTGGGTTTGGCTGAGGAGGAGTGAATAAAACAAAAAGTTGCACATAGAAAATTTAAAATACCTTGTCCTTTTTTTTTTAAAGGGCAGCTTTGCTGTTACATTCTACGGAAGATCAACATACTTACAATGTTACAGTGAGAAACTGGGGCAGATTGTTGTGGTAAGGCTGTCTTTCCTCATTAATTCTGTGAATCTATTTCTCAGGGAAAATTGTGACCCTATAGATGTGAAGACTAGTGTCCAGAGCACTGGGATGCATTATTCCAAGGGCCAGAATGAGTTAAAATTTCTCTAGCCTTAAAACCTAGCCTGAGTATGCCTTGTGGAGAGTAAAGTTAGAGCCAATAGTTTATGAACCAGATAGAGGAACGTTTGGGAGGTAAAAGTTTTCTCTGATAGAAACCTACTTAACTAATTGGGGAGTTGTATTTATTCTTTTTGGCAATGGAATATTATGTTCTAGGAGCTCCTTTGAAACAGTACTAGAAAGTTCAGGACAGTGGAGCTAAGATCTTCCCTTGGATTCTAAGTCTTCTGACCTAAGAAGACAGACAGACTGCGTCAGAGAGTAGAAGTAAAGCCAGAGTGCAGATACATAGGAAGAAGGCTTTTGACTCACAGAGGGATTCCTTAGATGAAAGTTGCCCTAAAGTTGAATGGTTAGTTTGAACACTGAATTGCATTGTGGTATTTTATGGTCAGTCTGTACATCTTTTAAGGAACTGCACATGGAGGCATGAGACAGCCAGTAACTTCCTGTTATTTTAATTTAATCAAGTCTGTCGATAAAGAAATATTACTACTTTGCTTGTCTGTAAATTCTTTTAAGCTCATACTTTAGTAGTTGGTAGAGCTCTGTTGGTTTTGTTGAAGCAGAGAATACCTAGATTAAGAAACTGCAGTATATCTTCTTCTTGGGTTTGATATTTCATATACAGTAAATATTTTTAAAGAAAATTTTACTTCTATAGAAAATGGGCCATCTGTTTTCTTTCTTTTAAAAAAAGGTTTATTTGTTTTTATTTTATATGTATGTGAGCATGTCTGTCTGTATGTAGGTGCAACGTGTGTGTGCCTGATGCCCACAGATACCAGAAAGGGTGTTGGAGCCCCTGCAACCTGACTTAATGGGTAGTCCTGAGTTAGCTAGTAGGCACTGACTTGGGTCCTCTGGAAGAGCAGCATATGCTTTTAACCACTGAGCCATCTCTCCAGCCCCTTTTTTGTTTTTATGCAGTACCTTGGACACAGGCAGGTATATGGTAAATAATAAACTATAGTGTGTAAATCGGTAAATAGTCAAATATAACACATAAAAATTCTGTCATTTGCTTCAGGGTCATTTTAAAGGAAAAGTCATAAGCTGAAGTCCCTTTACTCTTTTTCCTGTATTTTTCTTCTATTCATTTCTGAAAAGAGTTTTCATTTAAAGAAATAATTATGCACGTATGTGCAAACAACTCTCTTGTATCAAAGGCTAGCCTTCTTTCAAAATTGGAACTTAATTTTCTATTTTTCATCTTTATAAAACTAGTATTAAGAAGCAAATGTTGCTTGTGTTTATAATTTATGTCTTCAAAGATTAAAATACTTTTACAAAAGTATTTCAAAACATTTATAAAAACCTTTTGGATTATAGTGATAAATACCAGAAACGAGTCTCAGAAATAGTTATTTAGTTAAGAGTTGGGGCTGGAGTCATGACTCAGCAGTTATGAGTGCCTGCTGTTCTTCCAGAGGTCATAGTTTGGTCTCCAATGCCCATGTGAGGCAGTTCTCAACCACCTGTAATTCTAGCTCTTGGGATCTGATGCTCTCTTCTGGCCTTCCCCGGCACCTACATACACGGGACATAGACTCAGACAGACACACATATGCATCCATTAAAGACATCTTTAGTTGATGGCAGATGAGCTTATGTGACTTCATTGTAAGATAAGCAGTTATTTTGCTATTATGATCCCTAATGTTAGTTTTTCTCACTATATATTGAAACATAGAACAATAAAATTATCTCTGTGGCCTTTAATTGTGCCTATATGCCATTCATTTAACTTACTGGATATTATAGATCCATATTCGTAGGATACTATTTAACTAACATAGTAAGCTTAAAAATTAGAATTTTTTAAATAAAAACCAACCTAAAATTATTCTTATAACTTGGGATTTAAGTAAAGTTTGTTAAAAAATCAAGAATTTAAGAGAGTGATTTGAGTTTAGCAGAGCTAATTATTTTCACACATAATTTAAGAGAAAACAAAACAAAAATGTGAAGCTAAATCATTCTGGTAAACTCCACTTACAGTGTGACTTCTATTTTGAGTCTTCTCAACAACATGAAGACTAATATATTTTATTTGCTAAATTACTGTGAAAAGGGACATGTAGATAAGTCATGAAAAGTAGTTGAGTGACTATGTCTGTGTACTTTCACAAAAGTATTTTGTGAAATTAATATTTTTATATTGCTTCTTAGTTCCATTGGTGAGTATGACAAAGCTGTCCAGGCCTTCAAGTCTACGCCCCTTGAGGAACTGGAGGACATCGTAGGCTTAGCATTGGCATTGTTTATGAAGGGACTGTATAAGGAGAGCAGCAAAGGTAAGTAATCATATTGCTTAAAGCTTTTTCAGAAAAATATAATATTGGGATTGTGATAGGGTTGCAGTATTTTACTTAATTAGTTAAAAAATTTTTAAATGTTGTATTATGTATGGATGCATATATGTCAGTTCAAGATTGTGTGCCTGATGTCCTTAGAGGGCATTGGAGTCCCTGGAACTGGAGTTACAGACAGTTGTGAGCTGCTGTGTAGGTGCTGGGGATTGAACCTGGATCCTCTGGAAAAGCAGCCAGGCCTCTAAACTGCTAAGCCATTTCAGTTGTAGTATTTACTAAAATCTGACTGGGAGTCAAGAGCTGCCATAGGCATTGTTTATGTATCGTCTTATTAGTATGCCATGATTATGAATGCTCCTTAAAAACAATCTGAACTGAGCATCCATTGTATGTTTGAGGAGACGAAGTTTCAGGCTTAGTGCTGGATATGTAGCTTAGCATTCTGTATGCTTAAAGTGAAAAATTGTGATAAGTGAAAGCTTCAGCTTTTATTAGTCATAGATTTTTATTTCCCCAAAAATTTGAAGTGAGAAAACTGTGGTACATATGCGCTCCACCACTGTGTGTACCGTACACTCAGCATTGTACATCTGCTGGAGAAGGTGATGACTGCACTGGCAGTGTGACTGTCCGCCAGTGTCCCCAAGTCTCCTCTTCAGAGTCTGTTCTGCTGGCAGAAGGTGGGGGGTTGTCCCCTCTAAAGGTACCCTTAGAGTCGCTTTGGAAGAGCTAAACCATGGTAGGGCTTATTCTGTCTGCTTGAGAAGAAGAAAGCAAGGAAGGTAGACTTTTAGTTAGATCTGTTTTGAAAAAGGGATTAGGAAGGGGAAAGTGGCCCATTTTGTTAATTAGAATTGCTTTGTATTTTGCTTGCTTTTTCCTTCTATATAATAGCCTATGAGAGAGCCTTGACAGTTGTCAAATCAGAGCAAGACAAAGCTCATGTCTTGACAGCTCTGGCAATAACAGAATACAAACAAGGACAAATGGATGCAGCCAAGTCATTGCTTTTCAAATGGTATGTATAGCTGACTTTAACACTTACACAGTAGATCTTTATGTTTGAGATAAGAGGCGAACAATGTAAAATAAAGCTCTAAATGTTTTAAGAACTTTGAAGTAAATGGAAGAAATTGGACCCACCTTGTTCAAAACTGACAGTCATGTGTGGAGCTCAATACCATGGCTTAACTTATAGCTTTCTGTCTGTCTAATATGGCTTATTTGTTTTCAAGAATAAGTGCCCATGTGAATCACAAGCGATAAACAGAATTGTAAAATGACTTGGTGTTTGGTTGCTCAGGTCCTCAGAGAGGTCTCCTCCTCCCTCTCTTCCTTTCAAGTTCCCCTGAGAAAAGTAAAGCACGTCTTTAAAAAGACTTGTAGAACTTATATACTTCTATTGTCAGAACAGCTGAAAATGAGAGCCTGTGATAAGTTATTTACATAGGACTTGTTGAGTTTTTAAGCCTGTTTGTTCTTTTTTTAAACGGTGGCTGTAAATGATTAAAACAGGCTATTGGACAGTGCTTGCCAGTGAAGTTTATTGGAGTTTTTGAGTGGTGTAGATCCTTATAGGACAGAAAGCCCCTCCCCATCGCAGGAAGCTTATAGTCCTTCCACCATGCATTAATAGTGAAGCACTCAGTTACTGTGATAGTGAAACATTCCCTGGATAACTGCCCCCTCCACCCCAGAGGACCGAACTTGTGTTACCCTGGAAGTCTCGCTGTCCTTGACTGCATGATGAGAAGAGGCCCTTGGATCCTGCAAATACAAAAAATAGACAGATTTCTGACCCACTAAGCAGTGAGGGACCTTTCTGAAAATGACTTCCAGTTACAGCCCTCTGACTCTGCTGGGACAGCTGAAGAACCCTTTCTCCAGTGCCAGCCCAGTGAGCCCTAGGTCTCCTTTCTTGGACTGTATTCCTGCAAGGTCAGGTTCTGTGCTGAGGAGACCAGGGGACTTCCTCAGTCTCTCAGCTGTTGGGCTCTGGTAGGGAAAGCCTCCTGCTGCCAGTCACCCACCTGGCCTTTGGTGGTGCACTTCCGAAACTGGATGCTGCTGGTCTGCGGGCCTGCCACACTGTGCTACGGTCCTTCTCAACAGCACCTCTGCCTTAGTTCAGGCTGAGGAGACAAAGGAAAATGCTGCCTGGTGTTTCTTAATTTGCCATCTTTTGTTTTCCTTTTACAAAACAGAGTTTATGTAAACTAAACATTTTACTAAAATTATTCTCGTTGCCTAAAACTGGGAGTCAAAGAGGCCAATATATATATTTGTCTCTAAAATTTAGATATGATGACATGAAATGAGATTTGTGAGTTTGTGATGTGAAAGGAAGGCTATTACTACTTTGTTTCTTTAAATGTTAAAAAAATTATTTTTTATTAAGCACAAAATTGACTTACTTTGATGAATCTTGAAGTAAATAGCTTTTTGTATTAAATAAAACCTCTTAATAGATATTAGTGCATTGTAGTAATACAGACTACTAAATGTTTATTTATAGCTCTATTTTAAAGGAGCCAACCACAGAAAGCCTTCAAACCCTGTGCGCTCTCGGGTTGGCAGTACAGGACACTACACTGTCAAGAGCAGCGCTAAATGAGTTCCTGAAGCACACAACGCACAAAAACGATTACCACAGATGCCTCCTTACTTCAGCCATCTGTGCACTGCAGGGCCGCAGCGTGGCGGTGCAAAGACAGGCCGCCAAGGCTGTCCACAGGTGAGCCCTGAGCCTGGGGACGAGTTATACTTGGTGTGACTATGTTCAACTTTTGGGCTTTATTGTGACTATAAAATGAAATATGTGTCTATCTGGAAGTCGTACTGATTTTTCCTTTATTCCGGTGAAGCTCTACTTATTTTGATACAAAAGTCTGTAATTCCTATGTTTGTATTACTGTCAATTCATTACCCAATACAGATCAAGTTGATGGATTTAGGAATTCTCAGTCACTTAAGTGTTGATCACTGCCTTTAAAATTTGGAAATTAAGGTATCATTTAACAGAGGCAGGCAGATCTCTTCAGTTGAGGCCAGCCTGGTCTACAGAGCAAGTTCCAGAGCAGCCAGGGCTACACAGAGAAACCCGGTCTTAGAGGGAAAAAAAGATAGCATGTAACAGCAGTTATCTCTGTTCTCATATCTTGTATCTTTAATTTCTTTTTCTTGGTTGATTAGGTACATTAAATTTTATTACATACTATGGCATGTACCTGTGAGATAGGAGGACAATTTATGGAAGTCATTTCTCTTCTTGGTTCCCATATGGCTGTGTATATTTTTGGTCACCATGACACGAGGAATATATTAAAGGGTTGCAGCATTGGGAAGGTTGAGAACCACAAACTCATGTAAGAGTTAAGTGCCTTCGCCCACTGAGCCATCTCTCCTGTGGAATTAAAGAAAATTAGCATGAAGTTTATTCCATGTGAATTATTTCTCTTAGAGTAATATCCTGCTGTATAATATAGTTCATCCTATGCCTTTAAATTTCTCTGTAGTTCTATACACGTGCTACATTTTCTTAACTGTATCTCATAATTTTGTGACCATGATCTTGTTTTACTTTGTTTTAAGAACATAAGAACTCTTAGTGTTTGTAGAAGAGGATATAGTATATTTCCTAAAATTTAAGATGTTTTCAGTTAAATGTGGGCAATTAATATGAACTTGCTTAGGTGTCTAAAGGATTTTAAACTTAAAATATTTGCTGTTCTGGTTATGGTTAAAGTAACCACCATCTTTTTTTATGAAATATTTGGCATTTTGTATTTTATTAATCAAAACTGTAGCATATGGCTTTATCCAGCATTCTTTAAATAGCATATTGATTGAGTCAGAACTAAGAGACATTCAAATCAGTATAGTGTTCTTTCCTGTCAGATGAGAGAAAAGAACATAGTAGTCCCATTTACTTCTTTTTTTCTAATTTGACTTGTTATTGATTCTTTGTGGATTTCACATCATGCATCTGAATCCCACTCTACTCCTTGTCCCTTTGTATCCGCCCTCAGAGGCCCTTGCACCCTCACTAGGTCTCCTGTTGGATTTGCTGTTGTTGCCCTGTGTTGTGGAGACCCCGCAGCTTTGTTTGGGTCTGCAGGACCTGCCCCTTCAGGTGCTCCAGTAGATCATAGATGTGTGGATGATGGGACCGGCCAACTCTTAGCTCTGGCTCTGGGCCTGGGTAGTTGCAGGGTTGGTCAGCCTGCCAGCTCTCCCCTGTCTTCACCATCCTCTCCAGCACTGTCCCTGCCAGCTAACCTAATGCCATAAGCAGCAAGGGAAGGGCCGGTTCTCCAGTTCTCATGCCCTGGGGCCAGCTCACCCACGCCTACAGCACCAGGGCCAACTCTACTGTGTTGCCCAGGCAAGATACAGGGGCAACTTAGTTGCTGGTGATGATCTCGTGACCTCAGGGCCAGCTTTCCCATCTGCCTCAGGCCTTGAGGGGTAAGGTTGGGAGTTCAGGGGGGTTTCCCTCCCTTGACCACACCACCATATGACAGATGAGGGGCAGGTCAGATCTCTCATGGCTGTGTTCTTGGGGTGGCTCGCCCATGCCCCTGTCAATGGAGTCAGCAGCAACTCCCATCTATCTTTAAGGTGAGCTGTTTTTTGTTGTTTGCTCTAGTAACCCTGCTGACCCAGCTCTTTGGTCTCTGCTGTCTCGAGTTGTTGCTCAGTATACTCAACGGAATGCAAAGGTGAGTCGTGTCTAAAATTCTGCCGAGTAGAGTAGCCTGTGGTGTTAAATACATGTATGCATATGTATAGCTATACCAGTGTGTGTATGTATATGTATGTATGTATGTATGCACACAATGAGAGAGGGGGGAAGGGAGGGAGGGAACCTTTTCAGTACTGGGATTAGAGGCATCAGCCATCTCACCCACATTAAATATGTTTTTAAAATATAGCATTTTTCTAAAGAAAACAGTAAGTACCATGAAGAGAACTTCATCATTTAATCAAATTCCTGTTTTTACCAATACTAGACCAAATGCCTTCCATGTACCCATGAAATTGTTCTGAGTGTCATGGACACTACAAAGCAGGACCCTTACATTCTAAAATTATACAGATTATCTCAGTCTATATGAGTAAATAACATGCATAACAAATAAGCATTAGTGATTGTGGTTTTAAATTCCTAAAGATCATGTTATTTAAAAACTGTTTAAAGGTGCCGGGTGTTGGTGGTACACGCCTTTAATCTTAGCACTCGGGAGGCAGAGGCAGGCGGATCTCTGTGAGTTCGAAGCCAACCTGGTCTATAGAGCTAGTTCTAGGACAGCCTCCAAAGCCACAGAGAAACCCTGTCTCAAAAAAACAAATAAAACAAAACAACAAAAAGAAAAACTGTTTAAAGATACGATTCTGATATCTAAAATCTTTGTAGATGGGTTTTTATTGTTCATTTTTCTTACTGATTTTCACTCAAGGTGGCTTTATTTCTTTCCTTTCTTTTTCTTCTAGAACATTATTTGTAGACACTATTTGAACCTTAGGGTTAAGATAGATTCATATGAAAGACTTTGTATTTGTTTTTGTGAGATGTGTCGGCAGCCGCATTTATAAGTTAGGATTCTCATTAATTAGGCTACTCTGTACCTGGGTCTCACGTCACTTGAGAATGGCCTGAGAGTCCATGAGAGGTTCAGTAAATTCTGAACCTTCATATTCGTACCTTCCTTTTATGAGTCCTGGGCTCGTTCCACTGGCTTGTGAGCCCCATATTGGGATCTACAAATGACATAAATAATCTCTAAATCCAAACTCATTGTGCCTTTTTAGCTTTCAGTTTGTCAGTTACTCCATTCTTTTAGGAATGTGTTTTAAATACTTTATCTCAGTGCTGATCAGATGGTACTGTGCTGTTTGTTGACATCCTCTGATAGTACCATTACATGCAGGTGGTAATCTAGCAGGGCTGAGAGTCTAGATCTCTCACAGCCTCTCAGGTCATGGCCATCTCCTGAGTCAGGCCATTTGAGTAGTAGAGTTTAAGCTGTTTTCAGTGGATGCATTGGCTCAAAAGCTGTTACTTGTACTCATTATGTGTGAGTTACTCTGCTACACATAGGTATGCATTTTACCTAATAATAGTACAAAGTTTTTGTAGTTTTGCTCAGTTTTTAGAGTAGGAAGCTTGAGGCATTGAGATTGATTTGTGCAAGTCACGGTGGCTGACGGTGATGGCATTCAGTTCCTCTAACTCAGGAGTTGTCTGACTGCTATGTTGCCTTTCTTTTTCATCAGCCTTTGTCTGTATTTGAAGTACAGGGTTGAAAACATTGCTGATACACATTTGAAGTGAAATGCAAGGTGTATAATGCATGTGATGAAAAACCTCTGTGTTTGCTGTTGTTACTTTTGAGACAGTCTCACACAGCCCAAGCTGGCCTGGAACTTACTATGTAGCCCAAAGTGACCTTGAACTCATGGCAATCCTTCTGCCTCAGCATTCTGAGTGCTGGGATTATAGGCATGAACTACCATCCCTGGCAAAATCATTCTTAAAATTCACTTTTTTTCTTAGGTAAAATGTTTAATAATTGAATTTAAAATTTTTAGATTTCAAATTGACCTTCTTAAAACTGATGCTGCATGTTTTTCTTATTTTTAGTATTGATTTGCTTATTGAAACAAGCTTCATGGCATGCAGACACTTATTATTAGGGACTATGGGGGTCTTAAGTCAAAGCACAGGAGCTCAGGTGAGAGGAACCTGGAGGCAGGAGCTGATGCAGAGGCCGTGAGGGTGCTGTTTACTGGCTTGCTCCTGTGGCTTACTCAGCCTGCTTTCTTATAGAACTCAGGACCACCCGTCCAGGGATGGGCACTTGTGGTGATATTTTGTTTGTGCTTTGACAGATAAAGCTTTCCTGAAGATCAGAGTGCTGAACTAGCCACTAGTTAGCCATAGAGGCCAGGCAGTGGTGGCGTACACCTTTAATCCCAGCACTTGGGAGCCATAGGCCTTTAATCCTAACACTAGGGAGGGAGAGACAGGAAGGCATGTGGTTGGGCAGAGAGAAGAATATAAGGTGGGAGGAGACAGGAGCTCAACCCATTCAATCTGAGGATTCCTAGAGACAGGATCGTGCATTCAGTATGAAGATTTGTAGGGACAGGATCTCCCCTTTGGTCTAAGAATTGGGTAGAGGTAAGAACTAGTGGCTGGCTGTTACGCTTTTCTGATCTTTCAGAATAACTCCTATATCTAACTGAATTTTTATTATTAAAACCAATTAGAATTCATGCTTCAGGATCACCCACAATGGTCTGGGTCCTCCTTCATCAATCAACAATTAAGAAAATGTTCCACAGGCTTGTCTACAGCTCCATCTTATGGTGACATTTTCTCATTTGAGATTCCCTCCTCCCGTACTACTACTCTGTTGTATCAAGTTGACATAAAACTAGCCAGCAAATGCCCTTTAATTATCGATTACATTTTTGTGCACCCAGATACCACAAAACATTAAAATTCCATGACAAAGTTAAAACTATAAAACAATTAGCTTTATACCCTTCTTCGTGCCTCACCTGTACTCGCCTTGTCCTTTATTCTATCCTTTCTCATCACCTGAGACATCTTTCCTTCTTCTTTCTGTTTTATACCTACATGGATATTTGTTTGCACATATGTGTGTACATTGCAGGATAGGATCCACATATAAGGGAGAACATGGGTTTTTTTTTTTTCTTTCTGAAATGGATGACATTCTAAGTCCATCCTGTAAAATTTGTGATTCCATTTTTCTTTAGAGCTGAACAGTATTCCACTATATCTATTGTCTGTCTTCATCTATTTTATTATCAGTTCATCTGTTGATAGACAGCTAGATATTTTCCGAGAATAAGCCATGTGAGTTTGTTTTTTATATCCTTCACTCTCCCTTTCTGCTGTTCCCTTGCACTGTTTCTTAAAAAGTTTTTTTAATACTTACTTTATGTACATTTTGCCTGAGTGTATGTCTGTGTGAGGGTGTTGGAGCCTCTGGAACTGAAGTTGTAGACAGTTGTAAGCTGCCTTGTGGGTGTTGGGAATTGATCCCAGGTCCTTTGAAAGACCTAAGGTCATTTCTCTTAACTGCTGAGCCAACTCTCCAGCCTTTTTTTCAGCATTTTTATATTATTAGGCAATAAATACATTTACTCGGTGCCCCTACAAAGTCATTTTACTTTTGAACTTGTAGTATTTTAATAGCAAATGTGAAATGATCAAAGTAGACAGTTTTTTTTTTCCTTAAAGCTGTCAATAATACATTGATGTTTAGAGGCTATAAGACACAAATTTGCTGAAAACTGAGTTTCTCAAATTATTTGAAGGAAAGATTTTATTAGTCTTACTGTTTGGTGAAAAGGTTTGCATTTGTCTGTGTATGTTTTGTTATAGGGAGGAGCTGTTGCCGGCGCCGTGGCTCATGTTCTGGACGCAAATCACGGAAAGGTTAGCTTTTGCTCTATACAAAGGAAGTAGTTAACTTGTTCAAGAGTGTTAATGAGTCAGAATAATGTCCTTATTGTTTTAAAGTTTGCATCCTATTAAATACAGGCCCTTTAGTTAGTTTTGAAAAGCAGAAACTGAAGAGAATTGATAAACACACCTCTTTGTCTTCTTTTATAGAAGGCATTATTGTATACTGCAGTAAACCAGTTGGCCATGGGAAGCAGTACAGCAGAAGATGAAAAAAATATTTCTTTAAAGACCTTTCAGAAAGCAGCTCTCCTTTCTCCAGGTGAATATATTTCCATTTCATTAATCTCGATGTCATCAATTTTGCATTTGTTGTATCAGTTGTTTAAACAGACTGATGAGAATATTTTCTTAAAGATACTATGTTAAATCTGAATGACTTATTATTTTCAGTCTATTTTATTTCATTTTTCTATCAGTATGATTTAGTATTGTTCATCTACACCTCGTAAATTACTTCCTATAATATTTTTATGTGTGGTTAACTCTGCAAGGTTGGGTTATGTTTTATATGGTGTAGTACTCTCGTTTCTATGATATCTATCTGACTTATGGAAGGAGGTTTATTTGGGGCATGATTTGAAGATTTAAGCAATCTAACAGGATGGGGAAGGCATAGTGGTGGTAGAGGCTGCTCAGCACACTGCATTCAAGTCAGGAAGCAGAGGAGGATGCAAGTTGCTGCTCAGCTCTCTCTCTCTCTTTCTGTTGGACTGCACTGTAGCCCACACCATGGCACTGCCATATTCAGGTTAGATCTTTTCTGAAGTAGACATGTCTGGAAACACCCCCATGGATACACCCGAAGGACTGTTTCCATGATGGCCCTGAATACATCAACTTAACAAGATTACCTGACAGTGTAAAAACATACAGCCTTACCTCAGCTAGCTAGTGTTAGTTCTAGCAGGCTGTGTCATATTTATGCTGCTGAATTTATAGGTAACGAGGAGCTGCATATTACTACCTTAGGGTGTTTCCCCTGTTACTACAGAGAGCTAGAAGGTCATGCTTTGTAGGGATACAAAGCAAAGTTTTACAGTTTTGTTGTAAATATGAACTAGAGCAGCAAAGAGTTGCCTTTCCCAGGAATACACAATCATTGATGCAGCATTCTTACAGCATCATAAGACGTTGTTCATGCTTTCTTATTAGAACATAAATTCAATGCTGAGTTTTTCCTTCGGTTTTTACTTTTCTTAAGAACCTAAAACCAGAACCAAAGTGTATTGACTTGTTTCTCCTTAAACGAAGCCTTTCAAACAGGACTAGAGTAATAGAGATACATGTGTGCTGGAGACTTGTCCTCCATGTCTTTGGAATGGGAACGAAATTGCTCTCTCCATAGTAGCACAGCACTTTAGGAACTGAACCAGACAGGAACAGCCTTGGGACAGGAGCTGATCCACATAGGGATAGCTATGGGACAGGAGCTGATCCACACAGGGACACCCTTGGGGCAGGACCTGATCCACACAGGGACACCCTTGGGGCAGGAGCTGAGCCACACAGGGACATCTGTGGGACAGGAACTTAGTAGACTATCCTTCTGTGAGATGTTCAGAAGTTTTACAAGTCTTGAAGGTTTGGTATACCAGTTTATTTTGGGGGGAACAAGTTTGCTTTCCTTTAAGGAAATGGTTTGGTTTTTTTTTTCTTAAGAGATAATTAATTTTTATTGGGGAAGACATAAGCTTTTATTTATGATAGTTTTACAGCAGCATGTTGGTATGAACAAACCTTCAAACTGTTTCTTGTTTAGATGACCCTGCTGTCTGGGCTGGGCTGATGGCAGCCTGCCATGCTGATGATAAACTGGCCTTGGTCAGCTGCACTCAGCCAAAGAGGGCAGATTTGCACTTGGCACTGCTCTCTGCTGTTTCTGCCTCACGTAAGTTTTATTTTTGCTTACTTACATTGTTAGATTGTTGTTTTAAATTGCATGCAATATATTTTGATCATATTCTTTTCCCTGCCCCCAGTCCTCCCATATCCTCACTCCCATCAGTCTCCCAGATCCTCGCCCCCTACCTATTCACCCAACTGCATGTTCTTTCTTTCAAAAAACAGACGAGATCTGGCACATTCAGGGTGGCATGGCATAGACTCTTTCAAAAACCCCAAAGACAAAAACACTGAGTCATAACAACAACAAAAAAGAAAAACAAAAAACATTGAGTACCGTTCTATCTTGGCCAACTACTCGTGAGCATGACACCTACTCTGGAGTATGGTCGATACACCCAGTCTCACTGCCCCAGAGAAAGCCACTTTCCCAGCAGGGATCAATTGCAAATAGATGAGGGGTAGACTTTGTGCCCGCTTCCCCACATTTTTGTCTGGCGCGGGTGTGTAGGGCTTGTGTGCGCTGTCGCAGTCTCTGAGGATTCATGTTTCCATCAGCCCTGTTGTGTTTGAAAGACATTTTTCCTTGGCATCATCCACTACCTCTGGCTCTTGGAATCTTTTTATGTCGCCGTCTGCAATGATCCCCAAGCCGTGAGGGTAGGAGTTTGATAAGGACATCTCATTAAAAACTGAGTGTGTGTGTCAAGGTCTCTTACTGTCTGCACACTGTCCAGTTGTAGGTCTCTGTGTTAAGACCTGTCTGCTGCAAGAGAAAAGCTTCTCTGAGGAGGATTGGATGAAGCACTGATCTGTGGGTGTGGCAGTGTGTCTCGGTTACTGTACTGATCTGTGGGTGTGGCCATTTCATAGAGTGGGCCTTAAATCCAGTTATTAAGAAATGGTTAGTAACCCCCATAGAATGTATGCCAGCCAATATTACATCGGTATATCTTGTAGGCAGGTTTGTTGTAGGTCACAGAGTTTGTAGCTGGGTGAAACTGATGGTTACTTCTTTCTCTAGTAGTGTAAGTAGCATTTTCTAGCTCTGTGAGTGCTAGCTAGGAGAGTAAAACTTCTAGGTGGGAAATGCTCTGTTTCTCCATGTTTGATAACATAGGTGAGTGGTGTCTTCGCAGTAGGGTCTTGCTGTTATACTGTGGAAGGTAGCCAATAGTATTGGCACCCTGTAATATTTGAGTGGTTGTTCTATGGGACCCTTTGGCCAGTGACAATAAAATGTAGCCCCTTTCTGGTGCTAGGGGTTTTACTTGGTAGCACTTGATGTCTGATTGGGGTATTCTCTTTTGGTAGCTCAATTTTAATTTCTTTTATATTAGGAATCTTCTAGAGTAGTAGGTTTCCATGTGACTTTTCAAAAGACCTTTCATTCTCCTTTCTGAATACAAGAGGTAGAAAGTAGACTCACTGATTTAGCTAGTGAGTCACTTACACTGTGTGATTTGCCAATTTGCCAAGCATGACTTGCTAACTGAAATAGAATGACTTGGAGAAAGTGCTAATACAGTGGGTAGCTGTCTTTAACGACAAGTTGACTGCAGAGCCTGTAACATCTCGGTTGCTTGTCTGCCCCACTTTGTGGCTTTAGAGGATAAATGAGAGTGCAAACTAGACTGGCGTGGACTAAGGACGTTCAGGGGCTGTCCTGGCTTCTGTCACTGGTGACCCCTCCTCTCTTCCACTCTCATTAGTGTCAGGGTGCTGAGTCCAGGAGGAGCCCCACAGAATCACCTTTTCATGTAGCCTGTAGAAAGCGTTTGTATACATGGTTTAATTCAGATTCCGCCAGTGATCAGACCAAGAACACATACAGCTTCAGTATTCGTGGTCATAAGAAAATGTATTATTCACTTACCTACACATTTCAGTTTTCTCAACACCATTCAATGACAGTGTCACTATCAATGCTGAGTTAGCTGTAACATGGTAGTGAATCAATTAATACAGTTCCTCTCTGATACTCTTTATATAACTCTGGGTTTTAATAAATGACTTTTACCACATCCTTTATCTAAAAGATCTTTCAGTGCATACTCTTGAAAGATAGATACACTGGCAACATAGTCATTCAAGTTGTTCAATTTTTGAGGAAGTCTTCATTTCTATTTTACTTTTAAAGGATAATTTTGCAGGGTACAGAATTCTAACCCCTCCCCCTTTTCAACTTTAGATGTTTTATTCTATTTCTATTCTTCTGTAGTTTCTGAAGAGAAGCTGGGGTGGTCTTATCTGTTTCTTCCCCTCTGGCTTCTTGCTGTAGTTTTGTTTTGGTTTCCTTTGGTTAGAAGGTAATGTAGCAAGATAAAGTTTGGGGGTTTGTTTTTTGTCTGGTGTTCATCTTTCAGTGTTCTCTGAGCTTCCTGACTGGCAGTTGTGTCTGACATTAACTTGGGGACATTCTTAATCATCGTGGCTCTAAATGTGTTCGTTTCTCTTGCTTTCCTGGCATTCCCATTAGGTTAGATGTTTTGTAGTTGTCCCATAATTCTTGGAAATTATTCTGTTACATTCAGTATTTATTCTTTTCCTTTTCTGTTTGAATGATTTCAGTTGAGATCTCTGAAGTTCAGAAATTCTTTCTTGGCTCTCTCCAGTCTGTCAATAAGCTGATCATGAACAGTCTGTTCTGTTAGTGTTTTTGATTTGTATCTCTTGTTGTTTCTGAGTTTTTCAGAATGTACGTGGCTCATGTTGTCTGCTTAATGAAAGCTTTCCCCATAATCATTGTTGTTTAATTCTAATAATTCTAGCTTCCTACCAAAGTCCAACATTCCTGCAATACCGACTGCAGTCCTGCTCTGTTGTACAAAATATATCATTTGCATTTGAATCTTTTTTCTTCTTTGTAGCTTGGTCATGGTTAAAGTAGCTGCTTTGTGAGCCTGTGGTGGGGAGGTGGGGTACAGGGTACATGTGGAGGTCCTGTGAGTGGACTGTCTCAGTCTCAGGGAGCCGTGACTCTGCTCTGTGAGTACCACGGAGCTTCCCAGTCCATCCCTTTGCCCTCACCTGGCCATAATAGGCAGCCTACAGTGGACTTGAACTGGCTATTGCCTTTCTTTCACCTAGTTAAGCTCCCCATCTTTGCCAATAAACAATTATTAAATATTTGGAAACTGAATAGCATACTTCGAAATAACCAAGACCAAATAACAAGTCCAAAAGGAAATTGTGAAATATTTGTGAGTTAATGTTTACACAGTGTGCCAAAACTATATAATACGACTAAAGCACAAATTATCGAAAATGTATAATATTAAATGGTTACATTAGAAAAGCGAAAAGGCTCACCTCGAATTAATGATGGCAGTTGTCTTAGGAATCTAAAAAAGGAAGCCCAAAAAAAGAAATGATAAGATAAAATATAAATCTGTTAGATAAAACAGAAAAATCAATAAAATAAAAAGGATGTGTCTCTTTTCTTGTTTTCTTTTTTAGGAAAGCAATTCTTGGGGGAGGGCCTAGGTGCCTGCCCCCGATAATATGTCCGACTCTGGAGAACCCCCATGGAAGGCCTCACCCTCCCTGGGGAGAGGAGTGGAGATTGGGTGGGGGGTTGGGAGGGGGTTGGTGGGTGACTGGCAGGGGAGGAAGGGAGGGAGAGGGAATTGGGATTGACATGTGAAGCAAGCTTGCTTATAATTTAAATTTTTTATTTTATTTTATTTTCCAGTTTAAATTTAGATAAGAAACGAGGATAATTTAAATTTAAAAAAAAGAAAAGAAAAAAATAAAACACACACAGAAGAGCAATACAATTAGTAATTCTGTAGATTTATGGTTCAAGAAAAGAAGATAGGAGAGCAGCATTTGAATGAAAGTATGTCACTACAGATATTAGCATGTTAATAATATTTAAGTGAAAGTATGTCACAACAGCTATCAACATGTTAATAATATTTCAGCAGGAACTTCATGTCCTGGGATTTGACAACTCAGAGAAAATAATAAAATTCCATAAGACACAAGGTTTACATGAACAGAAATAAATTCAATAACTACTGTCTATTAAGGATACCCAGCGTGAAACCTCACAAAGTAAACTGTAAGACCAGATGACATCGTTTATGAATTCTGCCAGACATTTAAGGAAACAGTAATTCCAGTTCTGTACAAAGTTTTCTAGAAAATCAAAGAGATGGAAATGCTCTTCTGAATATTTTCTAAGAAGCCAGCTTTCTCCTAGTACCAAAACGAGAGGTAGTGCAAGAGCAGAAAGAGACTGAGCAGTGTCAGCCCTAGCATACATGGTGAAATTCTTAATAGACCCTCAGCATTTCTGTCCAGCAACACATAAGAAAGGCAGTGCACCACACTCAGGTGGGGTTGGCCCCAGGAATTTGAGAATGAGTGCAGTTGACATTAATATTTGTGAAAGGTGCCATTCCTATGATGTTGTAGAAAGTAAAATTGGAGTAGGAGTTTCCCAGGAACAGAGGAGAAGGGGGTTGGGGTGAATCAAACAGAGGCAATTACACAGGGCAAGAGGCAGCTCTGCTAATGGCAAGTTTGTGGTTTTCCTCAGCTATGGTGTCTGCCTAGCAGTCTCTTAAGTGTGTTCCAATTCGAGAGTAGGTACAGCTTATTTTACTTCAGTTACATTGGAGGAGTTTCTCGAAGTTTTCAGTGAATTTTCTTCACTGCTTACTGTACAGGATATATATTTAAGATAACAGTCAGAATATTCATAATAAATCTATTGTGTTCTGGTGGTGTATGTACCTTTTAACATATGTAGATCCAGGCACTGGGTAGGTGGTATACTCCTGTAATTATGAGATTTCAGGGATGTGAATTTAAAGTCAGTCTGGGCTGTATAGACTTGGATAATTGTTAGCAAATACCCCAACCCAAGAACACATTATACACAGCAGAAGACAGTAGCATTCACCTCTTTTTGCTTACAGTTAAGAACAAAGACATTTTGCAAAATTACAACCAGTCACTTGAAAAGTGGTCTCTCTCACAAGCTGTCACTGGTCTAATTGACACAGGAAGAATATCTGAAGCGGAGTCTCTGTGCACAAAGGTATTGTGGAGTTGACACTGAAATTTGTGTTTGTCCTGCCTAAAAATGGGGAGAGTGTCACTTAATGAGTGTATGGTGGCGGGGACCAGCAGCAATTATTGGTTACTTACTCCAGGCTACTCATTCTGTTAACAATATTGTTTCTGGGCTTCACAACAATCTGTGATGTACATGGTTATGATTTCAACCTTTTTAACAAGTGAGAAAGTTCGTGTTTGAAGAAGGTGAAGTATTTGCCCAAAAGTTCATAGCAGCTAGAAGTAGAATGCTAGCACTATGCCACTGCTATAACCCTCATGGTCTATTTCAAAAGAAATGCTATTATTTACTTATTCATTCATTCATTTGCTTATATGTATGCATGTGTATCTAGGTATGAGGAGGTCATAGTGTTATTGTATTTTCTGGTGCTGGAACTATAGCCAGTTGGGAGATGCATCATATGGGTGCTGAGATTCGAACTCTGGTCCCCTGCAAGATCAATAAGTTCTCTTAGTCACTTTTCCAAGTTCTGAAGCCGTAGAGTGACTGTGGAGATTGTTCATCACCATGCGCTAGGATCGGGGTTCACTCTACTAAAAATCGGAGGGATTTAAATAATGTGTTTTCTCTGAAGGCTTGTGTTTCATAAATACCAGAAAGAGTGTGTTGTTCTCTTACAAATGGCCTTTGGGTGAGAAACAAATTTTACAGAGAGACAAAAATGGTCTTTAGTCCTTGAATTCTTTGAAAAGCAGAATAAAACATTTTCTTTTTCATATAAAGAATTCTATTTGCTCTAAGTCGAGGACAGTGTATTAATTATATTGTGGGTGATGACTAATCGTACATTAGCAGTTGTAATGTCTTTTTTGGTAAAATGAGGAATGTTTTATGAGCTTTTCCTTTTCGTTTTATTGTTTCAGTTTCTTGTAGACAAAAGCCTTCAAACACACTTTAGATATACGTTAAACTGTGATCTAATGAGAAAAGTAATGGAAAAAATGCTCTCTTAATAGAGAAGCAGTACAGAAATGTTTTACTACAGAAGACCTGGAAGTTTGCCAACCTACAGAGACGATGTTTTGGATGACAATTCTAACGATTCTTATTTGATCATAATATAGGTGTTGAGTTATAGTGTTGTACTCCATGAATAAATACAATCTTATGTTAATCACAGAGTATGGTCTGTTCCACTGAAATTGTAAAATCCTTTACTTTTTATATTTCTTGAGTCAGTTTTCTATTCAGAACCTAAGTTTTTTAGTATAACAACTGCGAATTAATCAACTCAACAGGGCATATTAAATCTAAACTAAATGACTCAAACACTACAACAGTATTACTTATATGAAAGATTATTTTAGTATAGGCTTTGCAGCCTTTTGTTTATTTAACTTTTATACCTGTTTTCACTATAGTCAAAAAGATTTAAATTGAAAAAACATCTCAGCATGGAAGACACTTTAATTGCCTTTTACTTAGTTCACTTTAGCGCCTATTTGATACGTTTCTGTTTGGGGTTTGATTTTTAGAATTTAAAAAGTAACCCTGATCAGCCAGCAGTTATCTTACTGTTGAGACAAGTTCAGTGTAAATCACTGCTGGAGTCACAGAAGCCCCTCCCAGATGCTGTGCTCGAAGAACTGCAAAAAACAGTCGTGTCCAATTCTACCTCTGTTCCAGCGTGGCAGGTAAGTTCTCTCCTTGTGTGTGGCTCCTAAATTAAAACATGCTGTGATGCTAGTGAGGAATATACTCCATCTCTATTGCTTTTAGGCTCCTCATATATTTGTCCATTTCCAAATGTGAAGAGTATTGTGGAAATTTAACATCAATTTAGGATCTGCTTCTATAATCCTTCAGTCATTCTGTGTTGAAGATGCTTTATAATGAGAATGCTGTCTTAGTTACTTTTCTTGCTTGTGTCACAAAATATCTGATACAAGCAACCCTAGGAAGGAGGCTCACAGTTATAGGACAGTTTGAGTGAATGAGTCTTCCATAGGCTCAGGCATGCATTTGCGCAGTTGGTCCCTTGTTAATGGCAGTATTTGCAGATGCTTAAAAGTTGTGTCCTTGCTGGAAGAAGTATGTCTCAGAGGCTGGACTCTGAGAGTGTAGCCCAGCTCATTTCTGGCTGTTTTCTCAGCTTCCTTTTCTTGTTGCTGCCATGCCGACCATTGTTGCCATCATCCCTGCCATGCTGGGGTTTTAGCTCTATGAAATTGGTATCCATTCTGTTAGCCTGTGTCTTTTTTTTCTTTTTCTTTTTCTTTTTTTCCGAGACAGGTTTCTCTGTATTGTTTTGGAACCTGTCCTGGAATTCGCTTGGTAGACCAGGCTTGGTCTTGAATTCACACAGATCCACCTGCCTCTGCCTCCAGCATGCTGGGATTAAAGGCATGCACCACCACCGCCCGGCTAGCCTGTGTCTTTTTATAGGTGAGTTAAGACCATTGATATTAAGGGATATTAATGACCATTTATTTTTGATTCTTATTTGTTTTAGATTTGGTGGTGGTGGTATTGTATGTGGATTTATCCCCTTTTGGCTTTTAGTAATGTGGGGTTATCTATTGCCTATGTTTTTGTGAGTGTAGTTAACTTCCTTGGGTTGGAGTTTTCCTTCTATTACTTTCTGCAGGGCCAGGTTTGTGGATATATATTTTTTAAATCTGGTTTTGTCATGGAATATCTTGATTTCTCCATCTATAGTGATTGAAAGCATTGCTGGTTATACTAGTTTGGGCTGGAATCCCTGATCTCTTAGTGTTTGTCTATCCAGAGCCTTCTGGCTTTCAGAGTTTCCATTGAAAAGTCGGGTGTAATTCAGATAGATTTGTCTTTATATGTTACTTGGCCTTTTTCCTTTGCTGTTCTTAATATTCTCTCTTTATTTTGTATGTTGGTATTTTGATTGCTATGTGGCAAGGGGAATTTTTTGGGGGGGAGTGGGGATCCAGTCCTTTTGGTGTTCTGTAAGCTTCTTATGCTTTTATAGGCATATCTTTCTTTAGGTTGGTAAAGTTTTCTGGCATGATTTTGTTGAATATGGTTTCTGCATCTTTAAGGTGGGCTTCTTTGCCTTCTTTTATACCTATATTTCTTAGGTTTGGTCTTTTCACAGCGTCCCATGTTTCCTGGATAGTTTGTGTTAGGGATTTGTTGGACTTAATATTTTCTTTGTTCAATGAATATATTTCCTCTAGTGCATCTTTAATACCTTAGATTCTCTCATCTGTCTCTTGTATTTTGTTGTTTATGCTTGCATCTGTAGTTCCTGATTGTTTACCCAGATGTTCTATTTCTAGCATTCTCTCAGTTTGCTATTTTCTATATTGTCTCTATTTCAGCTTTCAAGTCTTGAGCTGTTGATTTGTTTCCTTCACCTGTTTGGTTGGTTTTTCTTGGCTTTCCTTGTTTTCTTTAAGAGATTTGTTTATTTCTTGCATATTTTGGTTTGTCTTTTCCTCCTTTTCTTGCATTTTTTTGTTTTTCTTCTATTTCTTTAAGGGATTTCTCATTTCCTCTTTGAGGGCCTCTATCAGTTTCATGAGGTTGTTTTTAAGGTTGTTCTCTTCTGTTTCATCTACATTGGGATGTTCAGGTCGTCCTGGTGTAGAGTCCCTAGACTCTGGTGGTGTCATATTAGTCTCCCTGTTGTTGAGTGTATTCTTATACTCTTGTCTTCCCATCCCTGCTTCCAGTGCATGCAGGTGGCATTGCTCCCTCTCTTGGTTGGTATGGGTCCAAGGCTCAGTCCAGGTGGATCCAGGCTGGTCCAAGAGTCCAATGGCTGCAGATGCTGAATGGTTTGGTTTTCTCCCAGGTCTCTGGGTGGTTCAGTGGGCAGGATGGACTAAGTGCAGTCCCTGGGTGAGGAGACTCCAAGGAGGAGGTCCTACTGTAGCATTTCTGTCATTTGTTTCAAAATGCTCTTTAACTGTCTTTGGAGTTTCTTTGTCTTGTTTTTCATATGAAGCATCTTGAAAATTTTCTTACATGAGAATATTCTAGTTATTTTTCTGTTCATGATTTCAAGTATAATTCCATTTAGTTGGAACATAATTTTATGATTTCAGGCCAGTGGTTAGTTGTTGAAATGTAGTCTCTGTGATTGTTTTTGAGACGGGCTCAGTAGTAGTCCAGGGTGTCCTGGGACCTTCAGAGTACTGGGATTCTATTAATGCACAAGCCAGCACGTCTGGTTTAAGATATGTTTTATAATTCAGCATGAAGTCATATTTGGTAAGGTTTGCAGGTGGAGTTGTAAACGGTTCTTCAGTTGTTGGTTTCACCCTTTAAGTAGGTAGTATAAACCCGACTTGTCATTGCTGGTGTCTGTTGTCTCTTTACTGACTCTTTATTTATTTATTTTTTCTGTTTCTTCATATGACTGCTGGATTAGGCATGTTAAAATGGCCTGTCATGTAGAACTGGTTTCTGTCAGCCTTTTCTGGTGAATTGTGCATTGTTTGGGATTTGCATTGTAGAGTGCTCATGTGGGTGTGGAAGGAGTACTGTGTCAGTGCCAGCTTCGTGTCTTGCTGTCTGTGACTTAGCTATATTGTTGGATAGAACTGCAGCTGAACAAACTTGCTTTTGATTAGTATTTGTGTAGTTTATTCAATAGTTTTTACATTGTAATTTGATATTCTTGATTTGCCATCTTTGGAGACGCTTTAGACTTCAGCTTGATATGGGTAGGAAATTGTTGCTGGCAGAATAATCAGTGTGATTACCTTCATTGTTTTGGGGGATGCAAAGCATACCAATAATTGAATTAAAAATTAACTCATTAGCATTGATTGAATTTGTTGGGAGTCGGGAACCAGACTGTAGGAAACTCATTGTTGTGCATTTGTCTTCCTTTCTGCCCCTTAGTGGTTGGCACAGGTGTATCAGTCCCAAGGAATGATGGGTGCTGCAGAGATGTGTTACAGGAAGAGTCTACAAGTGGCATCCCAGCAGGGCAATTGGAGTGGGAAGCTCTCGAGTCTGCTGAAGCTCGCACTGCTCGCATTGGAAGTGTGCATGGTAAGCACATTGTGATTATGCTTCCTTCCTTTCAAGTATGTAACATTCCACGTAGTGACACTCTGTGTCCCTTTCCCCATCATTTCATTATCTTTTGCTGTGGTCTCTTGTGGACTTTGTACTTTGAGCTCTGGAGGAATGTAGAGCAACAGCAACTCACAAACTACAACAAAATTTCTTAGTTGTTTACGGACAATCGAGTGTAATTGTAAAAGTTGAGTTATAGAAAGTGTATTCTTGGTAACTTAAGAATTCAAAGTCTGTTGTTATGCCAGGATTTAACTTTTTTTTCTTAATTGAATTTGACATTCCTCAAGGTGTTTCTAGAGACCTCTATGACTTGATACCCTATTTTCTGATGCCAATACATATTAACCCAAAAAGTTTTATGTGCCAGTATGGAAATTTTTTAAAGATAGCATGTATGTGAGAGAGAAGTCAACTGTAGAACAATTTATATGATGTGATCCTATTTGAGCACTTGTGTATTTGGTATATATATTATCAACTTGCAGTGGGTTTCTTAGGACTTAGCCCTATCATGAGAGAGAAGCATCTGCAGGGGTACCCTAATGGACATGTGTCCCATGCCACCACACAGGGTTCCACTGGATTTAATGTTCTGCACTTGCCATCTTCAAATTTTTAATAATTTCTAAACACTCTGGGTTTTGTGCTGAGACCTGTGGTTTGTGTGGCTAGAGCTGCAGACGGCACCCACTCCTGAAGTTGAAAGTCTGAGAAAGCTAGCCCGAGGAAAACAGCTTGAAAATCTCTCACTATAGTACTCACCAAATATAACCTTCCAGGCATTTACCGAGGGCCTGGATGTTGTGCAGTATTTGTTGCAAAGATGTGTTGCATTTTTTTTAACTATGTAAAGATGTGTTACTGTTTTGCCTTGCCTGTCTTAGACAGCTGGTTGGGCTAATAAAAAGCTTTACAGCCAATATTGACGGAGGAGGTATGGGTAGAACTTCTGGTCAGGAAAAGTTAGTAGGAGGAGGAATTCAGGCTTGGAAAAGAAAGAAAATGAGACAACAGGGAAACACCAGGGACCAGACATACAGGACACAGGAAAGCTGTGCACACAGAATGAAAGAAGGCAAAAGGCCCCAAGGCAAAATGCTGATGAAGAGAAACAGGTTAGCTAAGTTAAAGAGCTAGTGGGACAAGCCTCAGCTAAGGCCAAGCATTCATCATTAATAATAAGTCTCCATGTCTTGATTTGTGAGCTGGTTGGTGGCTCAAAGAAAATGTCATCTGCACCTGGGAATGCCATTAGCACGGAAGTACAGGGGATAAACAATGTGTCATCATGACTTTGTTGGACCTCAGCCTTACCATGAAGATAAGAGGGTTTTGAGAGACTGGATAATGTCCTTGCATAGTAATTGATCTATTTGATAAATAGAGTATACTTTAAAGTCTATAGTAAATTTTATTAATATTATTGTTATAGTGTTTTGTAATGTTTTCCATGTAATATATTCTGAGCACAGTTCTCCTCCAGCTCCTCCCACATCTTCCCCACCCACCCAGCCAACTCCATGCCTTTCTCTCTCTTTAGAAAATAAGCAGACAAGTAAAACAAAACAGAACTAAAAAGACAAAGCATATGAAACACATAGATACAACACACATACAAATAAAGCCCTTGGAAACTGTAATGTACAAACAAAAGATCAGTAAGACAAGAATGCCCAAACAAGCAATATGAGACAGAAAGTCTGAAAATACCAATGAGTTCCTGTGTTGGGCCTATTGCTGAGCATGAGGCTTACCCTGGAGTGTGGTTAATGTTTTCTCTATTGGAATAAACTAAAGTTTCCTTAGCAATCAGATGTCAATTGGAGATAGGCTTCTTGGCTAGGGAGGGAAGCTCATGTTTTCTTTCCCTTCTCAGTGCTGGGCCCCCATTTACTTTGATGCCGTGCAATCCCTGTGCCACACAGTCTCTGAGTTGATGTGTGTGTTGGTCCTATTGTATATGGAAGATACTGGGTTGGTTTGTTGTTGTTGATGTTTTTGAGTCATCCATCCCTCTGGCTCTCAATCTTTTGGTGTCTTCTTCCACATAATCCCTGAGCCGGGGGTTGGGGCTGGGGGCACAGTTGATGAAGACATTAGGTCTGGGTGTTCCAAAGTCTCACTCTCTGTATATTGTCCAGTTGTGGGTCTTTATGTTAGTTCCCATTTGCTGCAGGAGGAAGCTTCTCTGATAATGGCTGAACGAGGCACAGATTGATACGTGTATCAAAACGTCATTAGGGGTCATTTTATTGCTGTCCTTTAGCAAAACAATAGTTTTTGTTTTCCCCTAGGCCTGTGATCTATCTAATTTTGAGCCCTTGACCACCTGACAGTGTTCCATATCGTAGAATGGACCTTAATTTCTATTAGATGATGGTTGGTTACTGTCACGTCTGTGCCATTATTGCATCAGCATGTCATTCAAGCAGGCTGCCATTGTAGATCTCAGGACCTGTAACAGGGTTGGTATTTACCTCCCTTTGTTTATGGAGAGCAACTAATAGTTTGTCAATATACTGAGATGTTTGAGGGTTTCTATGCCACCCTTTTGGCCAAAAACTCAACTAGATGTAACCCAATCCTAGCAGGGGAGGTTTTCACTTGGTGGCAAAAGTTGTCTAGTTGAGGCATTATCTTACCTATTATTTTCTGATTCCATTTGGATTTCCTTTATAAGTGTGCATTTTTAGGATGCTTTTACAGTAGTAGGTTTCTATATGATCTCTCCAGTGATGTGCTAGCTGTCCCTTTCCTTATTCCCTTCCTTATTCCTCTAGTCCATCCCCCTTCCCATTTAACCTTCCCTCTCCAGTGTCCCCCTTGTTTCTCCCTACATATGTATTCTATTTCCCCTTCCCTTCTTCCATATTATTTATATACAGAAAACAAAAAGTTTATAGTGTCATCATAATCATCATCATTGTTTTGTTTTGTTTGTTTGGGACAGGGTCTCACTATGTAGCCCTGGCTGGCCTGGAATTTGCTATGTAAACCAGTCTGGCCTTGAATTCAGAGATCCACCAGCCTCTGCTTCTCAATTACTGGGATTAAAGGTGTGAAACCCTGCTTTCAGCTCAATAAATTTTGAAGAGCTGGGGAGATGAAACCAAAAGTACGTTCTGATTATGTTGTTGAGTATGCGTAGAAGGAAGATTTGATCTCTTAGAATTTAGAGAGTATATTTTAAAGTACTAGTGAGAGTTTCCTGTTAGTGTATGTGGTATATGGGTGTGGATGTGTTCGGAGGTCAGAAGTTGGTGTTGAGTTTCTTCCTCAGTCTTCTTCCACCTCACCTATGGAGGAAATTAAAGCCAGGAAGCACCAACCCATTAGCCCAGCTTGCCCTCCTCCTCTTCTCCTGTCTCTGCCTTCCTAGTACTGAGATGACAGGTGAGCCACCGTGCTCCGCCTCACCTGCAACCCAAGCATAAAGTTGGTGCTGGAGATTTGAGCTAGGTCCTCATGCTTGCACAACAAATACCTTATCCACAGAGTCATCTCTCTCCCTAGCTCATGTTACTAGTTTGTAAAAGGACACGAGCCATTTTATAGATGTTTTCTGCAGTTACATCTGTTGGGGTTTTCTGCAGTGGTATCCATCTGTTGTAAAGAGACATTTCTTTGATGAAGGGGTAGGAACTAAACTCTGTGTGTGTAAGCAAAACTATTTATAATGTAGGGGTTGTACTGACTTAGGAAAGTGGCTGGCACCTTACTGCTAGTTCCAAGTAGTCCCTAAATTTCCAGTACCAGCCATAAGTTTACCTCATGTTGAGCAGGCATAGGTCTAAGTCCAGTTAGAGAGCTGTTGGATACTTCCAAGGTGTGTGATGCTGCTGCACTGTAAGGGTCAGCTGCCATGCTGGTGCTTGTAAGTTACATGCATACCTAATAGCAATAAAAATAAGAGGCTATGAACTTCTGAGAGAACAAGGGGACATGTGGGAGGGAGGGAGGAAATGTATATAATTTTTCTGTTATATATAATTGTATATATATATAAAATGCTTTATTTCTGCTCTCATATGTACAAAAGATGTCTAACAACCTCCATTATTCTTTTGTATATTCATTAAGCATTGATATTCCTTGATTACATAAACTATTCTTGCTTACACTATACTTAGAGGCTGTTGCACTAGTATTTTTCTTACAATTAAGTGAAATGGACTATATTTGTTATACTTGTTTTATGTATTTGTTTTAATATGGTTACATTAAAATGTGAAATAAACATTGACTTTTAAAATGCACATTCTAGATACCTGTAATTAAGAAATCTTAGTACAATTTGAGGTTTTTTTTAGTATTTTAAATTTTGAGGTTATAATTGTATAATTCTTCTCTTCCCTTCCTTTTCATCATTTTTTGTATGCCCTACCTCCCACCTGTTGGGTCCAACCAACGTCAAACATACCCGAAAGGGGGAATGAAGGTTGAGAAAAGAAACAAGAGACAGAAGGCAGACTTAGGAGGGCACTCAGTGAACATTGCAGATGCCCCAAGTTTATTACCCAATCAAAAGGGAGGGCAAGAGACTCCCTTACCAAGACACGAGGAACAAATGTCAATACTCAAAACCCCTGGTAACTACATCCTAGTCAAACATCCTATAATTTGGTCATGAGGGTCAGGACATCCAGTATCCACACCTTAGGCCAAACATCCTGTTGTTTAACCTTGAGGAGCAAGAATAGGTGTGAACTCTTTGACCTCAAGTCAAGATGGAATGGAGTCAATAACAATGGGCTCTGACACCACCCTGTAGTGTTGATTTCTGTAAGACACAATTCCTGCACTCAAGGATCAGGGATTATTTAGAAGGTGGGGCAGAAGGATTCTAAGAGCTGAGGAACAGGGTTTTGCTGAGATTGTTTTTAGTGGGGTCTTGAGAAGCCCAGGCTGACTAGGCTGTTGAGGGTTACTTTGAACTTTTAAGCTCCCTATATCCACTACAGGCATGTGCCATGGTGTGTGCCATGGTGTCTCGTGTCTGCAGTGCTGGGCATGAATCCCAGTGGTTCATGCCTGCTAGTCAAACACGCTACCAAGTACCTTACAGCCCCAGCCCCAGGGAAAGCTTTAATAATCTTTTCTTCTTACCTATTTCCCTACCGCTTATTTTCAGTTACTGTTTCCTAGGCAGTTCACGCTATTTTTGAATCAATACTTTTTATAAAACTTGTTTGTAACTGAAGGAATATGCATGCATATTCCTTCCATGCAGTGGCACTACTTTGTTTTCAGTATTCCTAACTGTGGTTTAATTCTGCTTTGCATGTTCTATATTGTGATTTTATGAAATTCCGGGGTTATCTTACATTTACCACTGTCTTAGTCATTGTTCTATTGCTGTGAACAGATGCTGTGGCCATGAACAGGGCAACTCTTATAAAAAGAAAGTACTTAATTGGGGCTGGCTTACAGTTTCAGTGGTTCAGTCCATCATCATCTTGGTGAGAAGTATGGTTCTGTGCAGGCAGACATGGTGCTGGAGAGGTGGCTGAAGAGTTCCACATCTAGATCTGCAGGAAGAGCCAGAGACACTGGGCCTGCGTGGGATTTGAAACCTCAAAGCCCAACCCACTCCCAGTGAAGCATTTCCTCCAACAAGGCCACCTCCTAATAGTGCCTCCCCTCACTAACCAAGCATTCAGATCTATGAGCCTATGGGGAAGAGGGGCATTCCTATTCAAACCGCCACAACCATAATTAAAAAAGAAAAGATTACTGGTTAACGGGCTTCTCATCTACAGTCTGTGTTTTCATGTTATAAAATGATGTTTTCTTTTTGAGGTCGTCCCTTATCTCAGTGTACCCTGTTTGTCCTCGATCATTTGTAGTAATTACAATTCTGCTCCTTCAGTATTTCTATGATGATGGACAAGAAGGGAATCCATAGTGAGAGCTGAGCTATGTGCTTTTTAAAGTGAACATGTCAAAACCTTGAGTTAATGTTTATTTTGCACTTTTTTAGGCTAACGTTTCTGGTGATCACTGGTCATCCTTGCTTCAAGAGGCAACAAGCGAGGCCTTGAAAATTTGCTTTTGTCCTCTGGCTGTGTTCTTGCAAGCTTTGTTACAGTTCAACCGCAAGATGGGAGCAAGGTATATAAACTGTGTTTGTTCTTGGCTTGGAAATCTTACTTCACCGTAAAGCCTCCTAGAAAATGATCAAGGGAGGACTTATAATGAGATAAATTAGTGTAGCAAGCTTTGGGGTATTCTTATATCTATACTTTAGGAACATTTCTTTCTGTGTTGCAATGCAGAAGAAAACATTTACGTTTATTTAACAAAAATGATGCATGGATATAAATATGACAAGTTTGGCATGGCAGCATTTTACATGGGGATGCCCTTGAGGGTTTGTTTTTGTTTTGTTTGTTTTTTGTTTTTTTATTCTTCTATTTTAGTATGAGCCAGTCATGTAGCGTGAAATCTAGAAGGAGACAAAAAATCAGAGTGACCCTGGCTTAAGGTTTTATTAATAGAAGTTTTGCTAATTTAACAAACTAGAAAAATTAACAAATGTTGGAAAAACAAACCTATTTGTAAATATGTGCTTTTATGTCTAGAAGATTCAAAGGCTGTTTGAATTAAAACAAAAATTTTGGTAATATTTTTAGAAGTTTGGGTGGTGGCATCACAAATATGAAAAACATTACTTAGTAGTCATGAATAGGGGAAAATATTTTTAAAATAACACGTGGTTATAATGAACCATAAATAAAACAATGATTTAGAGATAAACATAACTGACAACAGACTACAAAATAGGTATTATAGAAATAAAGAACTCACTATATACAAATATGCCCCTCTCAACAAAATAACACTGAAGGATGGATTAAGGTCCTATAGCTATTCAGCAATTCTGACATTATTTAATATTCGCCTGGCCGAGGGATGGATGTTCTATGCTTGCATGGGTGTGTACAGTTTCACTGTCTGTAAACTACCCAAACCTCCCTGCAGATTCACACTGAGCTACATGAGAACACAGGTTTCCATGTGGCCCTATGCTTTTCACCACCGCTGTCATTTTCAAAAATGATCCCTTAATATGCAGGGTAGGAAGAAACTGTGGTTGTGATGTTCCTGCGTGTGGACTTCTTCAAGGCAGGTTCTTCAGCTCAAACTAATTTCTATTTATGGGATCCTTCTTCTTAGCAGTTCTGAAGTTGTTGTTTTATGATATTTCTGCAACTAAGGAGTTTTGAGGGTCATAAATGTTAATAAGTTAGGAGAGAAAAAGATCAGAACTGTAAATCATTTTGTAATTATATGAGTTGAGTTCACATATTGTATATATCCTTGACAACTCTAAAAACTTGATTTTACACATGTCTTATACAGATAATAAATATTTCTTGTTCATATATATATCATGGCTATGTGGTTGGTTGGTTGATTGGTTGGTTACTTGTCCAAGAATTTTTTTCTTCCTGTGGATTTTTTGGATTTTTGAGATAGGGTTTTACTGTGTAGACCAAACTACCTGGACTTTGTGAGCATTCTGCCTTCATCTTCTCAGAACTGAGTGTACAGTTTACCACCATGCCTGGCTGATTTTCCTGCAACTGTCAAAAAAAGATTACAGGACAGACACCCATAGATGTTCACACAGTTTGCAATCTTCTCCCCATTGTATGTTGAATGAGCTTTAATCTGCTTGTCTGCAGTAGAAATAACAATAGCAGTAAGGTTGTAAACATTAAATGTGATTAAGTGTCACAGTGCTTTGTGCATAGTAAACACTTAACAAAATAACAACTATTTAAGTAAAAATCTTAATCAGGTAAGATTTTTCAAATGAATGGGAAAGGTAATATCTGGATGGGACTCTATATAAAATCCATCATAACAACTTAAGTGCTCTAAAGTAATTGTAAATGTCTTTCTTCCAGAGAGACACGGAGACTCTTGGAGAGAGTAGTGTATCAGTCTGGCTATCCCAACTCAATTGTATCCACTGCGCGTTGGTACCTCTTAAGACACCTCTATGCCAAAAACGACCATGAGCTCATTGACGTAAGCTGCTAACTTCATTTAAAATACTAGAGTTATCTTTTCAAACTTACCCTACTGTTAGTAAAATTTTAAGATAATATATCAAATTCTTTGTTGCATCTTCTAAAAGTAGAGAAATAGTTATGTGCATGGTTTAATGTGTGGTTAGTTATTGTTTTACTACATTTGTTATAAAATTCTCACCTTGGTGAGAAACCAAGGTAGTAAGCTGTGCTTTTAAGTAGTTAAATGTAGATTCAACAGAAGCCATGCTAAGTTTTCTTTGAGAATAATAACCATTTGGAGTCCAAAATCCAAATGGATGTCTAATCCTGTGTGTAGGGGCATGCATTGGTTTGAGCTTCTCTATCAAGCTCAGTGTGAGCTGTGTTCTAAAGAATTGCAGGGTTACATCAGCTAATCACTCTTGTTGTGACAGCCTGACCTAGATCCCTGCAGTGAGCTGTGGAAGGAAAAAGTGACTGCTGAGAGTTTCTTGTGACATCCACACATGTCCCCACATCCACCCCACTCCATGCATATAATAGTAAATAGAATTTATATTCCCAGCAATGGATTTTAAAAGTGTTTTGATTCATGACTTCCTTTGTTCTGTTATTATAAGAATAGTATGAAATTGTTAGTCATGTTGGGGCATGGAATTAAAGGTAACCTAAATCAGAGTCCCTGGGCTTGGTCACTCATATCTGGCTCCAGAATAAATTTTCTCTTAGCCACTCAAAGGAAATAAATAATTGCCTATGAACAATGAATGGCAAGTTTAGATTAAAAGTTATTCTAACAAGTATGTCGGTTTATCATTGTAGTCTATGAGCTTTCCTAGCTGGGAGAAAAGGGTAAATTGTTAAGGCACTTGTCTGAAAGGTAGTGTTTGTTTCTGTGATCTATGAAGAGCATGACAAATATAAAAGGCCTTTATGAGCTATCCATAGGGTTATAATTGACAGGTGCTAATTCAAAACCCTTACCTAGCAAAATCTGTATATGGTTCATCAATGGCCATTGCATTTCTGAACATCTTGCGAAACAGGTCCCAACTGCTCTTTCTTCCAGGTAGTCTTTCTGTGGTGTTTTTACAGTGAGCAGCCTTGGGAAACAGATAGTGTCTCCCTCTAGAATAAGTTCCTCTCATAATGTGTCCATCCATATCACTCCGCAGAGAGGCTTAGAGGACTGGGGGCATGGAGGCATTGGGTCAGTGTTTGTGCCACTGACTGTACCGTTAGCAATGCAGCCAATTGTCTGACCAGAGAGTCCTGTGTTATCTGGAAGAACCTTGAAATTGCCATACACAGTCTTGCTAGCTTGCAAGAAGAGTAAATAAAGTCCCACGCTTTTCACAATGCTTGACAACAGACAGCACAAAACAACTGAAGGAATTGTTTACAGCTTGTGGAATTTGTGAAAATTATGGAAAGCTTCTTGAAAAAACCTAAAGCCTAGAGCTTAAATTGCATGCCATGGCTTTAAACAGGACACGGTCATCAGGACAGTTGTTTATGGAGTTGTATATGTGGGGTCAAGATTTACAGGTGACAGGAATGTAAGCAAAACCCTTAATCTTATGCACAACTAATGATTATATCAATCAAGACATCGACGTTTTTACTAATAAACAGTGCTTATATGTTAGCTTCAGTTGAGTAGTTTATGACAACAGAAGTGAAAAACTGCATTGCTGTGATTAGTGTCACCCTTTGAAATGGCTTCCTGAGCTTCTGTCTGTGATTTGACATAGGTGTTGGTGAAAAATGCTGAAGCTAATGGTGACAAAAGAACATTGGAACTGAATGAGAAGCTGTCATCACAGTGAGCGTGGTTGTGAGACTCCTGTAAAAACTGAAGAAAATAGGACGAGGCCATCAGTCAAGACTTCTCACCTGAACAACATGTTCTAGAGCTAGTTGTATCAGCTGGGCCTGGTAGCATACACCTTTAATCCCAGCCCAGCAGAACTGAGGGGATGTCTGTGAGTTCCAGAGCAGCCTGCAGTACACAGTGAGATTCCATCTTGAAATAATTAAAAAAAAACAAACAAATAAATTAAAAGTTGCAGTTTTAATCATCCATTGCTTTTCCTCCCCCACCCCCTTTTTAATCTAGAGAAGTTGAAGTTCTTAAGTTAGAGGTGCAGCTTTCCAGTAACCCTCCATCTGCCGCTTTTAGTCTTAAAGACCTTTCTGACTTGGTCCTTAAAAAAGAAGAAAACCTTCATTCCCTTAGTTTTTTGTTTGTTTGTTTGTTTGTTTGTTTGTGTACTTTTTTTTTAGATAGTTTCTCTGTGTAGCCCTGGCTACCCTGGAACTTGCTCTGTAGAGTAGGTTGCCCTGGAACTCAGAGATCCAACTGCCTCTGCCTGCAGGTGCCGGGACAAAAGGCGTGCGCCACCAACCCAGCACAAACTGTTAGTTTTTACATTTGCATGGGTATAATAGGGTATCCTTTGGAGGTTGCCTCTTACAATAAAGCCTTTGTAGCCATTTTACAAAATAATATGAAAAAGTAAATTTTATTATTTTTTAAATTCCAGAGTTCTTCAGACCAAGTCTTGGTGAAATACACAGGTGCTCTTGCTAGTCTTGCTAGTTCCACCTCAGACTCTGTGAAGAAGCAGTGTATGGATGCGTGCAAGGTGCAGAGTTTAGCATGTTCCGTTATCTGGTGCATTTACAAACAAATATTAATGAAACATTTGTTAAAAATGATGCTGATAATTAATTATTTGCGCAATTTCTTTGTTCATGATGAAAAGGCATTAACTACGTGAAATAAAACAAAAATCAGTGTCTTATTTTTCATATTATCAATATGAGTCATAGTTTTTAAGTTTTGGGTTTTTAAAACTTAAAAGCAGAGTTACCTATTTTTTTCAAAAAGTGATTTATATATTTAAATATCCTGTGTGTCACTTACTTTGGATTGTGGTTTTCAATATTCCAATGGGCATGGTGGTACATGCCTTTAATACCTGCACATGAGAAGCAGAGGCTGGCGGATCTCTGATTTGAGATTGGTCTGGTCTACATAGAGAGTTCCAGGCCAGCCCAAATTGCATAATGAGGTCTCAGATGTAAATATTTATTGTACAGGGGTGTATGGCAGTATAATTTATTGTGTGCTTTTTCTAAGCCAGCGGGCTCCTTGTATTATTTTGTGAAATCCTATGAAGTGGTAATATCTTCTAATTGAATTGTACTTCAGAGGTTATTCTCTTAGACAGAACTGTAACCTGGTTTCCCCAGCTGTGGTAGAAATTATAGTCACTGATAGCTGTTTAGTCGGAGGCCTTGGGATGGGAGGGGTCAGGACTCAGCGTTCAGATGGAGCCTGAGGCGGTTGGAGCTGAACACACAGTGTCCTCTGCTTGTTTGGTCTTTGTCCTGCTCCCTGTGAGCTGGTCCAGTGCTTGCAGCCCCACCCACAGGCAGCTGGAGATGCTCTGCAGTAGGTGACTGTGGAGCTGGGTCCCTGTCCTTCTGTCTCCTCCTGCTGATGGGGCTGCTGCCATCTGCCCGTTTTAGGCACAGCCCTGCCGTCCACTGCCTTCTGGGGGTCACCCCCTTCCCCATTTAGATTATGTCACCAATTTGTGGTTTAGAAAATGCGTTCACTTAGGATTTGCGTAGTGAGGATCACGCATCATGTGTTTAGTTTTGCTCCAGGCACATTTAAGTGATAACCTTTGTATTCTTTTGACAATTCTGGCTTACAGGGACCTGGAACCTGGAGTTTTGTGGAAATCAGGGTGGTAAATATGTCTTTAATGCCAAATCAGGATATTTAGTCTTTGTTTTCTCTTTTCATTTAGAATGTGCACATGAATGTTATTTTGTGCCAGCCTTGAGATCATCATCTTTCCTTACTTTCCCCTTTAATATTGATGTTAAACAACAGTCTTAAAAAAGTCAGTTCGAAGCAAGTCAACATTATAAAACTGTGAAAAATTGAGTTAAATTAAAGCTGATTTCTCCAAGGACTGATACTCAGTTTTTCATTGTCATCACTAAGTTTGATATTAGAATTGCAATGTGTTTTCTCTTTTTTAAACTCACCATTTAGCTACCGTTAGTCAACTAGATAGTTATAATGTTATTTGGCCCCCAATGGTAGCCATCTGTAGAAAACACATTTTAGCTTGTAAGTGGATTCTGGACCACTGTCTATTTGCTTGGAATCACTTTTTGTTTGTTTGTTTTTGTTTTGTTTTGTTTGCTTGTTTGTTTTGCAGTGTCTCTTTATTTTTGCTCAGAAAAAAAAAGTGAAGGGTTGTTTTCTTTTTGTACATTACCAAATGAGTGATTGACAAATGTTCTTTAATTTGGGATTCATCAGCGCAAAGTAGGACTGGATAGGAAAACCCAGTACATCAGGACCATAAAGTGTATTAGTTGTTTGTTTGTTTGTTTGTTTGTTTACCTGCTGATAAGATACACATTGAAAGGACCTGTCTGGCTATCCATAAGGCATCTCCGTTCCTACTTGGATGTAACTGTAGTAACATAAAAATGAGGCGGGTTTTAGAACATCAGTGTAGATTACAAATATGTGGAAATTTTGTTTTTGTCAAGTTCACTCTTGCTTCTTTCCAGTCCTGCTCTTCCTTCTACTTGAGTTGCTAATGGAAGAAACTCAGATTCCTTCCCTGACATTTGTTCTAAAAGGAATCACTGGGTTTCATAAATGGCCCTTACTGTATAGGAGGACGTGTTCCGTTTTTACTTACATACTTAGAAATATGTGTTTATATTATAGACTTTATATGGGAGAAGTAAGTGAGAACGTTGCATCATTTAAATACGACACATTCTTAGTTTGGAAAATAGTCACAAGAGAGCTCTCATATGCTATAGTTTTTGCCTGGTAATTTTTAACTTCCTAATGGGGAGTTGTTAATAGCAGTATTCTAAATTCTAGTTTATCCAAATACCCTATGCAACTGTTTATATTTTCATAGATACTACTTTTTTGCTTTGAAGTATTTTTGAAAAGAAATCAATGCAATGGGAAAACAAGTATATTTATTAACAGGAGAAATCACTTACACAAGAAGTTGGGAAGATGAGAAGCCCTCGGAAACGTGGCCAGCATCCAAGAGAGATTTTGCTTTCCCTTCCCTTTTATCTCCCACCTGTCCTAGGTAACCCTTTGGGGGCGTGGGAAGTATCTTGAGTATGTATCCCTACATATTTTGAAGTAGAAACTTTCCTCAAGAAATAGCCATTGTTGCTCTATTCATAAAAACCAGGAAGCTGAGTCAGCCTATTCATCCATAAACAGGCAAAGGATAGGGCAGTCTGGTATATATAGGCATATTTGGCTGTAAAGAAAAATGAAATTTGCAGGAAAATGAATGAGTCAGAAAATTAATATATTAATTGAAGTAACCCAAACTCAGAAAGATAAAACATGTTCTCTTTCAAATGTGGATCCCAATTTTAAGTTGTATACGTGTATACATATATTGGCATAAATGAAGGTATAGATCATAAAGGTAGAAAGGTCACCATGATGGGAGGAAGTTTCAGTAGGCAAAGAGAGCCTAATAGAATTTATGCGACATTAAACTGGTTAAAGGAACATCCAGTGACAGAAGGGCACAAGTATTGGGGTGCAGGGCCCGGGGAAGGAGAGCTGGAGAGGAGGGACAGCCAAGGCAAAATAAGTATGAAACAATGGTGTAGGGCAGCGGATGACTGCTGGGTGGGAGGTTTTTCTCTTAGAAGTGTGGCCAGGGGTAGGTTACCCATGTTCCAGTGGATGTTGCTACGCCCATGTGCATATGATCACCATTAATTGTACTTGGTGAGTTACAGAAGAAAAAAAAGGCAGGTGGTTGGTAAGGAGATGTACTGAGGAAGTTGGAGAGGACTGTGAATGGTGATCAAAATACCTTGTGTTGGTGGATGAAATTCTCAAAGAATAAATAAACGTTTTTTTTAAGTGCCATAATGATATCTGTTACTTTGTATGACTGATTAAGAAACAAATAAGGGACAGGGTTGCTTAGTGGTTAGGAGCACCTGATGCTCTTCCAGAGGACCTACGTTCAGTTCTCAGAACTTTTGTTGGGCAGCTTACAGATGCCTGCAACTCTAGCTCCAGGGGATCCAAAACCCTCTTCTGGCCTCCACAGGCACCAACACAGGATTGAGAGCTTTCCCTTTTCTGTATTAGCATGTCCATTGATGTCATCATTGTTTAAGGCAGGCCCATCGAATTTTCAGCCCCGAGATCATGTTCATACAGATAACGTTATTTGAACTGAACAGGTTGTATTTAGTCATGTAGAAATACATACACACACAATAACAAAGAAGAGACCATGAATTTGAGAGAGAGCAAGGGGGTATGTGGAAGGAGTTGGAGGGAGAAATGGGAAGGAGAAATGGTAGTTTCTTAACTATAGTTTCAAAACTAAAATCATCATACAAATAAAATGCATTTTTCATAAAACCTCATCAATGCGTATTTCTATCTAATTCTCTTTTTAAATGCATTAAATTATACTCACATACCAAAGGTGTATGCTTCAAGCTGGTGGGATGGCTTAGCAGATAAAGGTACCTACTTGACAACCTGAGCTATTGACTTTTGGTTGATTAAGCACCAACTCCTCAAAGTTGTCCTGTGACTTCCACAGGCACACTAAGTGTGTGTACACATCACTGTGCACACACAAGTATCTTCATAAAACTTCTCAAACACAGACACGCACACATTCATATAAAGGAATTTGGAGTTACCCTACATAGGGATTCTGTTCCTCCCAGCTACCCGGTGTGAAAACCTAGCCTTCAAGTTGTTGGCCCGAGGATCCTGGATATTCCCTAAACAATGCAGACTGTTGCCATTGCTCTCGGTTGCCTACCACAGCTAGATGGTGAGATACTGTTGCTGAAGACACCACACACTCGATCAAAGGACATGGAGAATTCAAGGTGGTACAGGAGGCTTCCTGGCTACTTTTCATAGTTCTAGAAGCTCCTAGGCAGGCTGCTGACAATATACAATGACATGTATGTTTCCCAGCTGTGATCCCTGTGACATACAATGACAGGTATGTTACCCAGCTGTGGTCCCTGTGACATACAATGACAGGTATGTTACCCAGCTGTGGTCCCTGTGACATAATAATGACAAATGTTACCCAGCTGTGGTCCCTGTGACATACAATAATGACAGGTATGTCAAGATATGGCCATGGGTGCGATACTACCACAAATATGGGAGTAACCACTTTCTGATCAGATTTAAGAGTGGGTGCTGTAAATTTGACCAATTGTTAGCCCATGAACTGAAACCAAAGGGATGAACTTACTACTAGTGTTTTGCTAAATGGACAGTGTCAAACTGCCCTCTAAATTCTCATCTCATACCTATAGATTAGATTAGTGCAGACCTTACTAGAGAAATCTCAGTGGACAGGATTAATGCAGAAACTCACAGCTGGCCAAAATACAGAGAACGAGTGTCTGGAGTGCCCAGCCACTTCACATGCCCTCCTTAGAGGTCAGACCATCTTGGAAGAGAGCTGAAAGATTGTAAGAGCTAGAGGCTGGGGAAGACCTGAGTGGAGCAGGGCCACACGACTCAGGAACTCACAGCCTCTGCGCTCATCAGTCAACGGTCCAGCTAGGAGCAGGCGGTGTAGTCAGTCGTCAGTCCAGCGAGAAGCCGGCTGTGTAGACAGTTGTCAGTCCAGCGAGGAGCGGGCAGTGTAGACAGTTGTCAGTCCAGCGAGGAGCCGGCTGTGTAGACAGTTGTCAGTCCAGCGAGGAGCGGGCAGTGTAGACAGTTGTCAGTCCAGCGAGGAGCGGGCAGTGTAATCAACGATCCAGCGAAGAGCGGGCAGTATAGTCAATGGTCCAGTGAGGAGCAGGCAGTGTAGACAGTTGTCAGTCCAGCGAGGAGCCGGCTGTGTAGACAGTCGTCAGTCCAGCGAGGAGCGGGAAGGGGTTCACAAGCAAGTGCTATTGACAGCTGATAGTTTGGGGGGAGGGGCGTGTATCTGGGAGGAGTTAGGGGAAACTGGAAGGAGAATATGATCAAAATGCATTGTCTGGTATCCACCTATGAGTGAGTACATACTCTATTTGCCTTTCTGGTTTTGGGTTACCGCAATCAGAATGGTTTTTTCCTAGTTCTTTCCACTTGCCTGCAAATTTTAGGATGTCATTGTTAGTACTTAGTACTCCATTGTGTAAATATATCACAGTGTCTTTATCCATTCTTCAGTTAAAGGGCATTTAGGTTGTTTCCAAGATCTGGTTATACAAATAATGTCACTATGAACATAGTTGAACAAATGACCTTGTGGTATGACTATGCCTCCTTAAAGAAATGAAATGTTTCTTTTTTTTGGCAGAGGGGTTCGAGACAGGGTTTCTCTGTGTAGCTTTGGAGCCTGTCCTGGAACTCACTCTATAGACCAGGCTGGTCTCACAGAGATCCGCCGGCCTCTGCCTTCAGTTCTGGGATCAAAGGAGTGGATGCCAGACATAAAGCAAAAGATACCCAGCCTGCAATCCACAACCCCAGCTAGAACCCTCTTCCAGAAACAGATGGAAGCAGATGCAGAAATCCACAACTAACCATTGGGCTGAGCTCCTGGAAGACAATTGAAGTGAGGGAGGAGCAGTAATATGAACAAAGGAGTTAAGATCATGATGGGGAAACCCACAGAATCAGCTGACCCAAACTAGTGAGAGATCACAGACTCCGGTCTGACAAATGGGGAATCTGTGTAAGACCAAACTAGACTACCACAATGTAGGTGACGATATATGAGGCCACTGGCAGTGGGTCCAACATCTAGCTCTAATGCACAAACTGACTTAGTGGAGCCCGTTCTATACGGAGAGATACCTTGTTCCTGCCTCAAAGAGATGATGGGACAGACTTAGTAGACTTCCTAGGGGAAACCTTACCTTCTTGTGGAGCAATGGGAGGTGGGGGGGGGTGGAGGAATAGGGAGGAGAGAAGGGAGGGGGAATTGGGATTGGAATGTAAAAATTAAGTTAAAAAAGTTTTAAAAACGCATTGTCTGCATGTGTGAAATTATTAATTTTAAAAGCTTGTTATAAGTATTGACTAGATTTGTGACTGTATAAGTCTGTCTTTTGGCCTTTGAATTGTCTATGAATTGATAAATTAAGGGTCTTAGCTAGATTTCTAATGCTGTCATCTATTGCTTAATGATGTCGCCAACGTTTTCCAAACCAGAAATGAATGAAATAAAGTACAAGAACAAACTGTTAGTTGCTGCAACCCATGTAACCATATGCCTTAGGATAGAAGCCCTTTGCAATAAGGCGCATATGGTAAAGGCAGATAGGAGAATGGTCTTAGATCTAAGACTAGGAAGGAAAAGTGCTCCTTACTCAGGGGATGCTTCATAGAAGCAACTGTCTGTGAATGATTGAATATAATTACATGCAATACGCCACATAGGTTGTGCTTTTTTACAAGGTCACAAATTAAACAGTGCATTTACGTTGTTTTGTAAACCTTAGATAACTTCAGTCTCTATGCTCCTGCCTTTCCAATGTCATTCTCTCTATTTGATCACACCAAATATGCTCATTGTTTAATCTCTACATAGAACAAAATGCTGTACCATAAATTAATAGGCAGTGGTAACATTTTGGAAAACGTCAATGCACTAGTTTAAAAGATTGAAGTGATCTGCACTGTTTAATACTTTTAGGATGGAAAAGCAGAGACGGGTTTGTAAACACATAGCTCAGAGGTTGGGAATTAGGAAGAAAGCAGGTGGTAGCAGACAAGACAACAGTTCTTATCTTAGGCTGAGCTGTGTTTTCCTGAGTACGGACACTTCTGGAAGTACTAATTTCTCTTATGTTTGTGACACAAATATGTCTGGGCCCCAAGGAAGAAGCCAGATGGCACAGATGGTTTTTCATGGAGAAAGAAGAGGAAGTTACAGAGGAAGTAAAAACACTGGCTGGGAGAGAAATTTGCATTGATATGTGAGCAAGGTGCAATGAAACCACCAACTGGACCAGTCTGAACCGAAAGAAAGGTTTACTGTGGATCCAAACTGGCAGGCTGTCTCTCAGGAGAAGAGAACCAGAGACGTGGGGGGTGGTGCAGGGACGGGAGAGCCTTGCCCTCTAAAGAAACCACTCAGCAAGTGTGAGTTTTTGTAGCAATAGGGAATACAGATTAATTCTGAACGTTATAGAGAACCAAAGTGACTAGTTGTTCCATTTAATCCTTGGTGGCCTCACATCCCTTATTTTTCTCTTTGTGTTTCTTGAGCTTCTTCCCAAAGCCTGTCAACTTCCTTTTGAGTCCCATGTCATAGGCACCTAAACACTTTGATAGTCTAGGTGAACTTTGCACTGCAGTGCCAACTCTCCCTTTAGAGGAGGGAGTTGATTAAAAACCCATGTGTGCAATCCTTCTTTCAATGCTTTTCTATCTGCCTATCCTACATCTCTTGAAGATGTTGCATTTGTGTCATGAATGTGTGCCAGCCTTTTAAAAGGCTTAGATGGTTGACTATAGAACAGAGGATAGAAAAAAGTCCATGAATCGGGGTGGTTGGTTTGCAGAAGTGTGGGTTTGTCCGGTACCATGTAGGCATTGTCTATTTGAAGTCTGTCCCTGAATACTTGTCTTATGAGCAGTGTATAATTTTTCTAGAGAAACATCCGCCAGCTGGATACTAATTGATTCTACTTGGCCCAAGGGCTTTTATGTTTGCTTTGATGGCTAAGCTAATAAAGGACATAGGATGTATTGCAAATTGTCATTAGCACCTATGGAAACACTCATTGTCCATAATGTCTCTTCAGCTGTTAGCCTTTCTCCCAAGATAATAGAAGGTGCTTTTCAAATTAGAAAATTGTTCCAGGTCATGCAGAAGAAATCTCTGTTTTGCATTCTCGCTACTTCTGTCCTTTGCTAGAATTAGTACAAGC